TAAGAGCCTTTACAGAATAGTCTACCCACCCGCTCGGTTCCTCTCTGCTTGACTTGATCTGACTAATTTCCTATACTAAAAGTTAATAATTGTAGGTCAGGTCGGTGACGCCGAATGAAATAAAACGTGAAAAACTCATTTCAAATTATTCACAGAAAATTTCAGAGAGCAATTTTGGTTCGTTAAAAAAAATAATTAAAATGATCAAACGCATTTTGAAATTTTTAAACTTTGGAATGGAGATTTCGCATTTGCATTCTTTGACTTTTGTCAGGCATCGATATTAATTGACTTAAAAACAGAATATCGTGGCAGTTGATACCGAGTACTATTACTAGGTGTTAATAAAGCATCCAGAAAATATTATCAAGAGGTGCGGCGAGACATGCACAATTTCATGCAATTTCTTACACAGACATGCAATTTCTTATAGCCTTTTATAGTCGATGGCGATTCAGCAACTCACAGCCAGGCGATAAAGTGTATGCTAAACGTCACTAATTACGGATGCTAGGACTTAATGGGTTTTTGGACCACTGCTCTCTTTTTGGGCCGTAGTATCTTGATTTATTTTGAGAGGAAAGCTCCGTACTTTTGATGGATGCCTGCCATTCTTAATATATATTAGAGCGCTTTCAGATACTGTGCAATACCTCTGGTGTGAAATAGTTGCTTCAAGCGCCGTGGCACGCTGCGGTGCGGCAGGCGGGCAGCCAGCGCGAAACGCGCATTGGCGCCTACAAACCTAACAGGGATACTTCACGCGTTGCGCAATGCGTGAAGTATCCCTGTTAGGTTTGTAGGCGCCAGTGCGTCGCCGCTCCGCTTTATGTTGGGCTCTAATATTTAATCTGGCGGAGTCAGCGTTATTCAACTCATGATTTTGAAATGTTTGCACATCCTGTATGGATTATTCTCGTTTTAGTTGATGAAAAAAAAATATGTATTAAAGGAAAATATAACGTGTGTTTTGTAAATATTAAGGTGGTTCCGTATCAGACTTAATGATTTCCAAAGCATACGAATTTCTACACAATTTCTTATAGCCTTTTATAATCGATGACGAAAAAGCAACAGCCAGGCGATAAAGTGTAAAGTCCGGCGATAGAAACTATAGCCCGGCTGCATGATTTTTTATCGCTTCGTGTAGCTCGGCCGTATGATTTTCTCCGTATTCTACAGCCAGCTATATGATTTTCTGTAGCCTTCTTTAGCCGGCTATAAGAATTCCTATAGTATTTTGAAACGCAGCTTTTATCGCCAATTTTTACCAGGGACCATAACGTCCGATTTTTTTACTTAAATCAACTCATGACATACTTTCCGACGCATGATAATACTTTTTATAGAATGACTTTTTCCATTAATCACACAATTTTTAGGAAAATCGATGATAAAAGTCGTCCGTACCAACCTACGCCATAAAAAAAGTCCAAGATGCCCGAGATACAAACACCTCCTTTTTTCTCTCTATGGATCATCGTTCATCTCCGAACTTAATTTTGGCCTTACCGAATTGCATTGCCTAGATTGTCAGTGCGGGTTTTCTAAAATATATTACTTCTGTTTGTCTCTCAGTTCTCTTACACAGGTGGTTGTTCTCCAGCTATTTGTCATAACCATTCTTTTACGAACTGACCTCGCTAAAAATTTGCATGAACAAAATAATATCCCGTCTCCTCGCTCTTTTATGGAAACCGTCCTGTTATGACGTCATGCCGCACCGCACCAGAATGCGGCTCAAACAGAATCGAGAAAACGAACGCTAATTAGTAGCACCAAGTTCTGAGAAGTATTTTCCTGGACACGCTTATTCAATACAGACACGCGCTTATTCTGGATCATTTGTTATGCTACACAACTTGATGCGACGCGCGCTTGTTTCTGCCATACTGCCGTGCTAAGGAAAAACGCCGTATGAACCCTCACGCGTTGCCAAATTTCCTTTGACGAAACACGAATTTTCTGGTAAATTTAGGTATGGATATGTTTTTCTCTAATTTTTCAGATTATTTTGTTCACAATTTCACCTAAAATTCCTGGAAACGTGAAGGAAAAATATTCATGAATTTCCTTAAAAATGAACGATCCATCAAAGGAAATTTGACAACTCTCGAATGTTTATACGGCGTTCTTCTTTAGCACGACAGCACACTGCTGCAAAACATGGCCCAGGCAATCATCGAATCGTCAAAAAACCTCTGGAAAATTTTCTGAACAAAGTCATCTGCTTATAGTGCCGGATTTATGATTTTTTTTCTCACTTTTTTTCTTTTTTTTTCAAGTAATATAATATTAATTTAAGCGCCCTGTAAGAGAAGGTTTTAGGAACACCCGATTAATGCTAAGAAAGGAACCAGGGAAGGAGTTACAAAAATGTTATGAAGTTTATTGGCTCTCATGCTCTTTAGCGTGTTTAGTATTTCCCTTTGTGTACGAAAAACGAAATAAGAAATTATTAAGGAAAATAATTATTCACCCTTAGATGGCCCAGTCTTTTTTTTAAACGCCAAGTCCCGAATCTGATCAAATCGACTAGAAGAAGAAGAAGAAAAAAAAAACCACAAACGGAATATCATGGATGTAAAGCAAGGGAACGGATGCGGCGCAGAGATACAACTATTCGTGCTTGATGAATGTCCGTGTTGCATCTGCAAAATTGAAGGCACGATGGCGCGAGGCGTGAATTCGCAATGCTCCGCCGCTCTATGCTCCTAATGCTGTGTCGCTCATATTTCGGAGAAAAGTTAAAAAACGAGGCCGGATCACGTCTTCTGTGTTGCTCACGCATTCCTTGAAACATCACTAAAAATAAGGCAAACACACGATGGAAACAGAGCAAGGAAAAGGAAACGCGTTCATGACGGCGCAGAGATACAACTGTTCGTGCTTAACGAATGTCCGTGTTGCATATGCAAAATTGAAGGCGCGAAGGGGCGAGGAGTAAATTCGCAATGCTCCGCCGCTCAATGGTGCTAATGAAGTCTCCTCTAGGATGTATTAAGTAGATCTATACGTAAAGCTCCTGTGTAATGGCCCAATAACTCTCCCAGAAAAGATTTTGGGTCAATTTGACCCGACTTAGGCTTTCTAGAGGTAGTCGCCCAGAGAAATTCCCTGACACTCAATTTTTTCCTTTTTTTTTTCAATTTAATGCCTGATTATTTTTGACGATGTACATGTCTAAAGCTCGTATGCACCTGCCCATACAACCCGCAAGGCACGTGTTTTTAGAAAGCCGCGAGTCAATCTGCCGAGCTTGGACATCTAAGGGTTAAAGTCTCTCATTTTCTTCGGTCACCAGTGATTCTTTCTTCCGTTTTCCATCTCAGAGGCTGCGTTAGATCTTTGGAGAAATGATCACCTCCATGTTTCCATTTATGGTAGGTCTCAAAACGATACAAAGAGTTTTATTGCGGATATTTTGGCTGGAAGAAGGGACAAAAAGGAGGGGTTTGTCGGCCTCCTAAGGTGGTGTAGTGGTTGTAGCGGTGTAGCGCTAGCTCTACGATCGGGTGGTCCCGGGTTCGATTCCCGGCCAGGCGACCCGAGTTTGATGGTCAAACAATGGTTGCCTGGGACTGGTTGTTAGGGACGGAGGGGGGACGGGATTGAAGCGCAGGATTAGCCCTTGTGGGCTATTTGAAGTTAAAAAAAAAAAAAAAAAAAAAAAAAAAATTGAGAAAGAAACTATTGAGTTTTGCTAGCGGTGGGAAAAAAAAAAAAAAAAAAAAAAAAAATGTTTCACTTGAATAAAATTGAGCCGTTTTGAAGCATACCTACAGTTCAGAAAATGAAATTTCGAGAAAAAGATGGTGAATGAATGTTTGAACCTGTCATGTTCTGGGTTGAAATTTGTCCAATCAATAAAATGGCTTCTCACTCTCTCTTCTGGCAGAAAACAGGACTAAACGATTCGTGCTTTCAGATAGGCACGTAGCCTATGCAGGAAAATTGAAGGCGACCTTCAGGTAGGCAACGACTGCCTATAGGTTAAACAATATCGTTTGGAAGTTCGTATCGTATTTAAATTTTCTTGGATCTATATAAGTGCTTTCCGAATAGATGATTCACACTCCCTGGTATATTCGTTGCCTATGTGGCAAAATTGAAGGGGAACTTCAGAAAGACAGCACCTAGCACAGCGCCTCCCATGCAAGGCGCCTAAATTAATCTTTCCCCATGGAAAACAATTTACGAAGTCGGCGCTACCAATTAAAACGTCCAGAAGAAAATACAATAAGGAAACTAATTATTTATGAGCCTTCAATCACTTTTTTTCTTCTTAGCAATTTACTTGTTTAAAAATCGTAGCAGACCTTTTTCATCAAAGAGTTTTTTTTATATTTTTTTTACTGAAATTAAGAAGGAAAAAAAAAGGGAAAAAAGATGAAGAAAGTTTTCTCTCTCCTGAAATTAATAGTTCTCAAAGGGGCTCTTGAATTTATGAGTTTCGTGAAAGCTTTTCTAATAGTCATAGCTATTACTCTAACCGCCCTGGTGGCATTGAAAGTTTTGGGACTTAGGCAAAAATTAATCAACTAAGTACTTATTGAGAATACGAATTAGGAAGCCCGTTCTGGGATTTTTCAAGTAAAGCGGATGTAAAATTAACATGAAAATTTTTCAGAATTCTAAAAATTGTTCAAATTGGTTTAAAATGTATTTTTTACAAAAAATTCAAATTGAAAATGTGTGCCCCCGATTGCAACATTGCAAATCTCTGCCTATGTTTTATTTCTTTTTACTTAAAAGAGAAGATCCTGACAGTTTTCTTTGAAGCTTCTTAGGAATTTGCTTTACTTATTTAAAAAAATTAGCAGAAAATTTCCGATGGATATTTCGGTTAATTGGTATAAAGAGATATTTTGAAATGTCGCATTGGAGATATATTTCTCAACTCAAGCAATCATGCAACACACAAAACTAAAAATGTGTACATTTTTTGGGTAAATTTCTGAAATAAATTATGTAAGAGGTTGAAAAAAAAAAAAAATTAATCAAAATAGAAAAAATCAGATGTTTATTTGCCTTAATTTTCAGAAATCAAACTAGAGCATTAAAGAGAAACACTTAAACAAAAATTTGTTTCAGTTATTTAAGATCAAAAGTCGCAGGGATAAACATTCGCCCACATTGGCGAATAGAATTTAAAACAAATGGTGTGAATCCTTTACTTTAAGTAAATGTCTTTCAACATGACAACGAGGAAAGAAAATTAATAAGGCACACTATATATAATACTCCATTTGTAGAAAAAAAAAGAAAACTAAGTCAGGAGGCGGAAATCATAGGCTCACAATCCTTCGAGAGGAGAGGAATAATAATTTGAAATCACTTATGGAAGCAGGTGTGAAAAAATTCATCACCAGCAATGAAACTTACAAAAAATATTTGATACATACATAAATTGATTAAATACAATTCATCACCTTCCAGCCATAGTATCACGAGCAAACACCATTGGGACTTAGACAATATGTTGCCGAACTTCTGAAACTTTTACAATTTTTTATGAATAAAGTAATGAACAAAATCACTACGAAGATATATTTACGAATATTCCCATTTTCAAGATAAATCCTTAAAATTTTCAAGAAAGTATGGACAAAAGTTTTCAAAAACAAAATAAAACAATATTGAAATGTCTAGCAAAATAGCATCCAAGCGTAAATGGCTGATTTTTTGGCTGGAAGGTGGCGATTTGATCCCCCCTTAAAAATGAACTAATTAAAAAATAATCATTGACAAAGTTACACGCAGTTTTTCCTTCATCAAACACAAATTTGATCAAGGATACAGAAACTAGAATAGGCAGAATAAGTATAAAAAAAGTAGAAGTTAGTTGAGCGAATTTAGCCGATTCTTGTACACTTAGAAAGAATTTAAGCTTAAAAATAAAAAATTTGAGGATGGAAGAAAATAATAGTCTAGTGAAAAATGAAGTAACTCTGCAATCCTGCATACAGGAGAGGAGAGACTATGTTTAAGTGTAAAGCGTAAAAGTTAATCTACATTAAAAAGTTGAAAGTATTACATAAGTATGAAGCACAATTCAGAGAAAAGAAAGTTTCAGTTACAAATCTAATTATCATTAAGCTGGAGACTTGTGAGACTCATTTGTAAAAAGTCATTTGTTGCTCATACATCCACTCATTTTTTTACAAGCCTGGATTACAAGTTTTTTTAGTAACTATGTGATAGACTTTCATCTAAAACCTCCAAGTCAAAAAATTAGAGGTCTCATAAACATATTTCTTGGTTTAGGATGCATTGGGTCATAAGTGCCTAGCTTCTGAGTTGTACAGACAGATAATAGAACATGACCCATCATAACATCTCTCTAAATTGCTTTGTCAGCACTCGCAAGTAACAGCTGATAGAAAACCAGATACCGAAATAGACTGAAATAGGAGTACAGAACATTAATGACAAAAGATATACATAATAAAAAATAAGTTCACAGTAAATTGAGGCAGATGAGGAAATTCACTTCTGAAAGAACTTGTCTTTTTTCATTAAATGGTGCAAACTACAACAGAGCACAAAATTATAGGTCTCCAATTATATTTCTCTGTAAGCTGGGCTGTTGGATTTTAAAAATGGCGCATTCAAAACTTCTTGTAAATATATAATTTTTGTCCAAAATGTAGACTTGAAAATTTAGACTACTGCAATTATGCCCCCACGTGCATTCACAAAAACCTAAACATTTCTAGCGACCCTAATTCCGTTTAATTTGTTACATCAAATACTGTTTAGAATTTTTACATAAAATAAACACTGACTTCTTCACAAACAAAACAAAGGTAATTTTGTACAGGCTATGAAAAAATAATTACCAACAAAAATATCACAAAGTAAAACTATAAGAGAAAACTCTAACAAGAACACATGAGAATAAGAAAAAGGAGAAAGAATTTCAGCATGAAGAATCCAAGGGGCTTTAGAATGATCATTTAGCCTGAAGAGGGGAGAGCACCGGGAGAGGGACCTTATTTTGTTTTCCTTTCCCATCTTTTTTGTCTACTTTTGTAAAATGCAGTCAAAGTTGATCAAGCAATGAAGAGCTTGGGATAGAATTACATTTAATAATGATTTATACATCCATGGTGGAATTTCCAAACCTTGTGTACACCAACTGACATTTAACCCAAAAAATCATTCATAAAGTATTTCAAATAAATGAGTAACGCATCTCAATCGATTGTACTTTAAAGAATGAATTTTGCCGAGAATCAAACACAAGTATTCTGGTTTGTTTGCTTCTTCAAAAAATACATAGCATACGTTTCCAATTAAACACTGAATTCAGAAGTATGCGTAAGGAAGGAAAAATCGGGATATCTTCTATGATTCAAGAAAGCTGACACGGCAGAAATCAAGACAGAATATCAAAGTTGATGATTATACGTCATTATTTAGACATAACTTAACAAAGGGCATCATTACATATCACAAATTGAATTCCATCACATTATTAGGGTTCATAAACAAACGCTAAAATGAGTGTAGTATTCGTGGAAGACCATAAAATTACATTTAAGCCAATAAATATCAGATGTGTGAAACCACTTTCTGGATAGACTATCTCACGTTACATGTGATAATGCTTCTGTGCACCTTTATCAGTGCTTTAAGTTCTCAAGTTTGGTACCTGTGTCTGAAGCAGCTCATTAAAACCACTAGGTCTTCTTTAAAACAATGAAAAGATCCGAATTTTTCTTAAAAATGGTCAGTTAAGGTAAAGTAAAAATTTAATCTATTCTAAACTTATTCAGTCAAATGTATTTGAGCTTACGTAAGCATGGTTTACATAATGTTCATGTATTTTACAAGATGTGAGAAGTACTTAACACCTGACCAATATACCGCAAGTTCTATGTATCATACAATTAAATAAAAATAGCATAAGCTTCTCCGACTCATTTGCTCCCCATTTTACAATAAACTGAACTTACGGTATAATGGCCGGTCATTAATTATTTCTCACCCTTTAGCTTGAATTTTTGGACAACAAAAAATAATATGAATCGAGAGAAAATAGAATACAACTATGTATTGATGTTGGTGTAAAATTGGTTGTACATTGCACTAGGAACTGAGAGGCCAGGTGGATAATAGTCCCTGGGCATATTGTTTTGTCCTGCATTAACGACATAAGGAGCTCCTAGAGCACTGGGTGTGCTGGTGTACATGGTTGAATTTATATGATCTGGAATGTTTGAATGTGGTAGACTGCCAGTAGTTTGTCCATCCATAGTTTGAGCATTAAAACCTGGAGGTGGCTGAGTCCGACTAAAAACTCCAGAGGAGAAAATAAATTCACGGGCAAATGACTGAACAAAGAGCTCTTGGTCCGCGCAGTTACTAACTTGGTTCTGGATGGTTTTAACTAATATAGGGAGCATATTTGTAAAATCAACACTGTTTACAAAAACGATACCACTGTCTCCTGCTACAGATACTACTGTTTGCTTTAAAATATGAACTATTGCCTCTTCACTTAGAGTTGAAGTCATTTCTGAATTTCCACTGAAGTAATTATGTTTGGAAATAGAGGGAACTGCACAATTGGTAGGAACATCTTGCGGAGACCACTGATCAGAGTGACTAGCAGTAGTCTGATTGTTAACAATTTCATAAGAGGACATTTCCATGCCACCATTTAATGTCATCTGGCTGTAAGGATGATTACATGAATTATTTGAAAGTTGTGGAGTTTTTTGAAATATTGAGTTATTAATATGATGCTTTGAGTTACGTGAATCAGTAATTTGGTCTGCGCTTGGTAAAGAATCACTAGAACCTGAATTAGAAGGCAATGAATGAATACTACTGTTAACAGTAGGAGGGTTATTGTGCAACTCGGCTGTCACACCTGTTTCAGCGGGTAGCTCACCATTAATTTTGGCCGCCTGCTGAGCTGCAAGCAGTTTTGACAAAGACGATGACGGATCTTTTAGGGATATCTCTACTATCTGCTGTATATTTTTATGTAAATCAGGGGAATCTGGAAGGTTTAATTTTTTAATTTCCTCAGCTAGAGCTTTAATCAAGCTTTCAGGGAGATCTAATGCTTGTACGGGATTTTGCTCAGGCAAGTGATGACTATTTAAGCCTTGATTTGATTCAATTGATGAAGCACCCTTTCCCTCATAAATTGGCTCTAACAATGGAGAAAACTTTGAGGAATCAGTTTTGTCAGGCGCAACAGAAGCTGCATTTTCAGCCAACTCGTCTCCCTCCGTGCCGCTCAAAATACGTTGCAGTTTTTCAGCGTTTGAGATTTGGTTGTTGGATGGTTTAAAAGACCTTGATGGGATTTTTAACCGACCAGATCCAGGCAAACGGGGCCTTTTGCTGAGATCTTTTTCATTATCTACAATATTTCCAGATGAGGAACTTTCATCTTTTTGCTCTTCAGAGACACAGTCGTTACGACGGCTTTCTGAGGATTCTGCACCTTGGACGGTCTGCAAGATGTCTCTGAGTTTACTGACAGCTATTTTGGGACGAGGTGGATTATCTTGATAAAATTTACATGCAGGTTTTATGATGGGTGCAGGAAGATTCTTCAAAAACGGTAAAAACTCATCGTCCTTTGAAGAGCCAAAATAGTCTATGAAATTGTCAGGGTCAAACAACTCTGGGTGAGATTCCCTTGTTACAACTGGAACATGACTTGTTTCTGGATAAAAATCATAATTTTCAGTTTCAATTTCTGAAAAACAATCCTCTTCATTATCTAATAGTGTAGGTTCTGGTGAAGTTCTGAATTCATGATCCTGCTCAATTTCATCACTGATCTCTGCCTCAGCTTCAGAATCGTATGGTTCGTCCTCATAATCTTCAACATAATGTTCAGAGGGATGATTGTCATCACTGTTGTAGTGTTTCTCCTCATAATCTTCAAAATAATGTTCAGAGGGACGATTATCATCACTATTGTAGTGTTCCTCCTCATGATGCTCAACAGGATGGTCAAATTCACTATCTTCCTGGTGGGTTTCTAATAGACTGCGACATTCAATGGAATTCATCTGGCATGTTTCAGTTTCATAACAGCCGAAGTCATTGTCGATTCCTAAATTATGAAGTCTAGTTTCAGCTGAATTAGTGTTCCTCGATTTCTGACTAGATTTGGACTTCTTTACCCTCTGCTCTTTGGGAGGATATTGGGGCTCGCTAAGTTTTGTTTCTACGATGGTGGCAAAGTCTACTTCTTTCTTAGATTCCTTTTTAGACTTCTTGCTTTTGGACTTCGCTTTTGGCACAGCACCCGTGGAAACAGAGACTTTGGATTCTTCTACTTTAGTGCCTGTAGAACTTTCTCTGATCTTCTTTTCGCTTTTAGCGCAGCTCTTTAGAGACTCCCGAGCCTTCGTAGAACTCTTATTCAGTACTGGCTGCCATTCATCACCAGAGTCATTGTTGCTATCCGCATAGATATCACGGTTTGTATCTTCAGAGTCATCATAAAAAATGGAGGCATCATTTCTGCTGCTGAACGGTACACTGAAAGAAAACAAACAAGGAAAATAGTTGCGATTGGAAAATCCATGAAAATAAATAACAATAATAATGCATATTTTTTAAATGAGAGATGATACTCAACGGATTTTTAGTGCTGAATTCAAAAGGGCCAATAACTTCTTGCAATAATTTCTGAGAAATCGAAATATTCCCTGAAAACTAGGAATTCCCTGAATAAATAGGATTTTATAGAAAACTGAATAGACTTTTATAGAAGATGCATGCTAGGAAAAAACAAAGGTAGTTTTTAAATTTTGCAGTCAAACATACATAAAAACATAAACTGTATGCCGACGAACTTTTCTAAGGAAACATTTGTCTCCTTTGTAGGACAAAATACGCCCATTTATCTTAAGTAAATCTGCTTTGTTTGACCTTAATCTCACTAAGTATCACTGGATTAAGAAATTAAAAAAAGAGAGCAATAGCTTCTGTGTTCCGTTTCAATTATCATCTTTCAAATATTGGTGCTCCGTCATAATATTTTGTTCTGTTTCTTAGAAAGCCAAAAAAGGCTATTGTCTAGATATTGAATCAACAAATCATGAATTCAGAATAAAAGAAAATTTAACGTTTTTTGATGCATGAATTCAAACTTCCTGCTCATAGGAAAACAAAAATCTTCTAAAATTTAATCGCACCTTTAAAATTACAGTGACAGTCTCTACAGTATGAAAATATGACATCCTCAATCTCAGCACTTAGACTCAGCGATTCAAAGTTGTTTACACTTAGAAAAACACTGGGTGAGGAAGGAACACTGCTTATTGAGAAGCCAGCAAAAACCGTTAAAGTGCGTGATTTGATTTTGGTGAACTTTTGTTTATTTTATTTTTTTTTTTTTGGGTCGTGGAAACCAATTTTTTAAAAACAAATTCTACTTAAATTAAACCATTGTTATCTTGGTTTGGAGCTAATTTCAATTATTTTCATGGCACAAATTGTATTCTACATGAAGTTTTGAAGAGGAAACATGTATCAGAATGCTTAAATTCATACCTTGTCGAGTGGTCAATTAATAAAAAAACACTAGGTGAAGGAGGGACACTACCAGGGTTGCCAGCCAAATTATTTTTTTCCATTCCCTGACTTTTCCCTGACTTTTCCCTGACTTTTAAGTATGGATCTGACGCAGTCTGTTAAAGTGAAAAGTAGTCAGTTGATCCCGCAATGCAAGCCCGAGACCGCCCGCGCCTAATTCCACGAAAAATCAGAAAAATCCCTGACCAACACCGAAATTCCCTGACTTTTTCCGGTTTATTTTTTTTCCCTGACTTTTCCCGGTTTTCCCGGTCGCTGGCAATCCTGCACTACTCAAAACTCGGTAAAAAAAAAAGCATGAACGTAATAAATGAGATTCAAAGAAAGTTAACTGAAATCACTGTCAGAACTCACTCTTTGGGAGGAGCTTCATAGTACTGAGGCTGCTGTTCTAGGACCTGGGATGCTAAATGCTGCTCATAATACATTGAGCGGAGTCTATCTTCCTGTTCTGCTATTCTCCTGCTCTCCGCAAGAACTAATTCCATCTCATCCTCAAAATCCAGACCGGATGAGAAAAGTCTGGATGTCGGATTTACGAATAAATCTGCACCAGTTCTTACATTCCACTGATTCACTGGTGGCGCTAGAATTTCAACAAAATATAAGAAAGAAAGAAGATTATGACACTGAATAGATAAATTATTTTGTTGTGTACGAGTTAAACTAGCTGTAGCAAGAGTCGAATTAATGGATTATTCAATCAATTATTTCGGTGTCTTCATGAAAGGCAACTGGAGAAAAGTCTTGTTTGTTCCTGAAGGCATCGAAGATTTACTTGATTATCAGCATCTAAAACTTGTACTTCTGAAGTTTCAGCTTCAACTTAAAAAATGATTTCCCCATCATTTTTAATTCTTAAGCTGAAGCAAGTGATGTTAGCCTAATATGAACTTAAACAATTCAACTTTTTCAGATTAAAAAAAAACTTGGCTGTAAGTTCAAAAAACACCCTGCACACCAGTGGGGGTTTACTGGCTCTCGGTGCACTTTGATGAAACTTTAATAAGTAATCATAAAGTTCAACTTTGGGTCAAAGTAAGAAATTTGGTGATTCAGTAGAGAAGGAGCGCAGATATTTAAGGAACGACCATGCCCACTAATTTCTGTCCTTGCCTGGACCTCACTCGCAGTTACCTATGAGCTCAGCTTGTACAAACTATGTACCATTTCTTTTCCTCCGCATCTGTTGATCAAGTTTCAAATTTGAGCGGTGGTTTGAGCAGCTATCTGAAAATAAAAGGTGTCGCATCACACCACAGCCTGTTAATCTCAAGCCTTTTCAGCCCTGCCATCCTTCCTGCTTTAGCTTCCCCACTCCTTCTTTAATACGTATGTTCAGTTGCAAACATCTCAGCTCTTACTATACCATATCGCCTTTTTAGGCCATATCGCCTTCAGCCTAATGATGAACTTTATGATAACTCAGGGTTGCCACAGAATTTAGAAGATGAATTTCCCTGGCAGAAAGCCCTGGCAGACATGAATTTGCCCTGATTTCCTTGATGCATTTTGCTAAAATTTCCTTACAATTGTGATTGTGCCAGATGATTGAAAAAACATAATTTGAAAAAGTTTTTGGGTGAGATTTGTTGTCAAGCCCATTCTAGAAATCAAAGGGTGACTTAACAATTTTTCACTAACACTTTTATCATTTTTCCCTGACTCTATAAATTTCCCTGACATTTCTCGGTATTCCCTGACTATGGCAACCCTGACACAACTTCTTAAATTTCATTAAAATGAACCAAGTGCCAGTGAGCTTCTGCCACCGAGGTGCAGGGCTCTTTACTTGAAAAAATATTTATCCTCTCAAGTGTTCAAGTTTCCTCAAAACTTCATACAGTTTCCAAAAGGATCTTGCACTTCAGCTACCTCTACTCTCTTCATGAGCAGAGTAATTCAAGAATGAACAATCCCAAAACAGAAAAGAAATTGGGCTGAGCACGGACTTGGCACGAGGTCTTTTTTTAAATGAGCTTCATTACTAATTTTATATTGTTACAAGTTTGAAAAATAGAGGCGATTCTTAGAAGTTGGCAACACCGTTTTCCCTCCATTTAAATGAATAGCCTGTGTCACACTACCAAAATACCCCATCAAAATGTCAAGGTCAAGTGCTGTGATTGGTCCAAGTCATCGAATAAGCCAATCACAACACCTGACCTTGATATTTTGATGGCTAGCTTTGACAGTGTGACAGAGGCTTATGTAAAACAAGCGATTCTTGGTGAGGCAGCTCGCCTCACCTGAAATCAGAGACAAGAGACCCTCCACTAGTATCTTGGCCATTGTGGAAGCTTATACTTTCAGGGCTTCAGCATTCTACTGTTGACTTACCTACATGGTTGATGTTTAACTACGTGTTGGCAGTTTCGTTTGGCAAACAAGCTGAAAATGACCGACGTTTGGGAAACTTGTTTGGCTCATGACATCACCCAAAGCTCATCATCGACCATGTAGGTAGGTCAACAGCCAAAATTAGGGTGATGACCGTTGCTCCCTAATAAATTGTCCATAAAGAATTGTTGAAACCCTGAAAGTAAAAGCTTCCACCTGTCGCTAGGAAGCCAGTGGAGGGTCTCTTGTTTCTGCCTGAAATCAATACTTTTTACGGCATTGAATGAAACACAAACAGTGTTGCCAACTTGCAAAATCACCACTGTTGAAAAGTAGAGAGTGCAATTAACTTACTGGAATAGCTGCTCAATGAATTGTGTAAATTTGGACGAATTATTGACTAGCATTTAGAAGTGACTTACGAGGGGCAGGAGCTGGAGCAGGTTTTGTTTGCGTACGGGCAGGATATGAGTAAGATGATGCACTGTAACTTGGAACTGGCAAGGCAGATATGTCCACTGGCGTCCGCTTAGATTTCTTAACTTCTTTCTTTGTGCATTCAACTTCAGATTTTTTGCTAGGCATGCTGAAAGAAAAAAAAATGTTGAACAACACTGCCTCAAAGTAGAGAGAAGAATAAATTGCAGCTTATGAGCTTTTTGGCTCAGCTCGAGGTCCGATTAAATTGATTTGGAAAAATTGAAAGTCCACAACAAATCAAAAACCCACATAATTAAACTTAGAGTTTGAATTTATTCTTATCACTGCCACCGGTCCATCGGAATTTCTCTGTTGCAATAAAAACAATAGATACTACATGCAATGAAAAATTCGTACAGGTAAAACTTCATCCTCAGAATAAAATTCTTGATCATTAAACTGATATAAAATCAAATAAATAGTTCAGAATCCATGAAGAGAGAAATGGTATAAAATAAAGAACACTATAGCTCCTATGAAACAACAGAGTTTAGGAAGATATAAAACAGCTTGTCTTCAGATTCTCAAAAAAGTGATCTCTCCTGTATTTATCATGGCCAGGAACTGTGACCAGAGTGAACGCCTAATCTAATCTGAACTAAGTTATCATTAAGATAAGGCTTAGTTGAATGTTGAATGGATTAATTATTTCTGTTCTTCGGTAATGTAAACTGTTGCATATTTAAACTTAAAAATCTTTTATATTAGTGATGTGATGGATATGCTGTTTGCTTTTTATCATCCAGTATTTATGGCCTTTATAATGGTTTTTTTTCAAAATGATATTTGGTTTCGCTGCAAAGCCTATACCTTCTGCTGGTGCTCATACCGCTTTGTTCATCATTGTAGTTCATAAAATCTTTTTTATTATGGCAGTGCTGTCTGCAAGGGTCTCAGGTTATTTAAGTGTTTCTCTACAGCTGTGCAGCATTATAATGATTTGACAAGTGTAAGTTTTCAATTATATATGTATTTGATATTTGTTTCAATCCGTTTAGAAAGATTTCATGAAATTTTTTAAAACCTCTACAATGGACTCAGCACATACATTATAAACCTTGTGGAAACAATAAAATTACAGAGACAAATTTTGAAGTTTCTTGTCAAATTCTCAGACAATATTTGATGGTGTCATCTACAGCCTCTGAAAAATCGTTGAAATTTCATGGAAAATGAAGATACACCTTTCAGCGAGATATGATTAAGCATGAAGTTTTATAAAATTTCATTTAGACTCTAAAGTTCAGACACAATTATTTTCACTCTTCATGATTGGACAAGGTGCACTAAGTATATTTTGGGAAAAAGAGAATTCATGTGTCTCAGTCTCTCTTTCTCTCTATTTGAATAAGACGGTTTGATGTAATTCAACATTTGCTTCAAGGCCACTGTTATGAATTACCTTTCATTTTACTTTCAGCCACCGCCCAAAACTTTTGTCTAAAAAAAGTTTGGACCAAATGTTGTCACTTAACACTACCATAAAATGAGAAGATAGTCCCCCTCCCTCAAAAATTGCTAGCTACAACCATTCACCTCTCTACAATATCCACTGGATTCTGATACACAAGAAGGACCAAAAAGTAACCAGAAAACCTTCCTACAGCCGCTAGCGATAAAGTTTTGACTTCTCCGTAAAAAAAAAAAAAAAAAAAAAAAAAAAAAAAAAAAAAAAAAAAAAAAACTGTAGTTATGATGACTGAAGTTTGCAGCTCAAGACCGTACTTTCAGGAAGAGCTGCTTAACATTTTACTTAGTGCCTTCGGGATCATAGCTGTTGAGGGGATTTTTTTATTAGTTCAGGATTCAGACTTGTCCCTCACTATTGCAAATGGATTACATTTTGCAAAAAGGAACAACTATCTCTGGCATAAAAGCACCTTTCTGCAACGGAAAACCAATGGCATATATTTTGCTTCTAAAATGAGCCAGAAATAGTGGTTCCTCACTGCAAAATGAGATTTAAATCATCTTCAGTACTTTCCCCTTCTGTCTCAATCTGAATACCCTAATACCCTGTGCCCATCAATTTGTTTGCCAATTTCAATCTTACTCTGAGTGCACTAAAAATACTAAGATTCAAAGTGTAAAAGTACTGGTACAACAAAATGTAAGTACCTGATATAGCTTTCCTCCTTGTCTTTTTTGGCTTTTAGGACCGTGTACAGTTGTTGATCGGGTCTTTTCTGTTTACTGCTAAGAAAGGAAGAGAAAATAAAATTAAAAACAATACATGAGTTAACCAAGGAATAGTTAATGAAATTTTCACAGCGATACCCTGTCTGTGTCTGTCCCTTCAGGATAACAGAGTGAAGGAGGAACAAGGCTATCTGGTGGTAGCCGGTCTGTATTGTTCTATTGTTGCAATGAAATCAGGGATCACTCATAGTGCCTCTGACTTCCAGTGCGCCTTACGGTAGAGAATTAGAAAAACACAGTCCATCTCAGTGGAGGCATGCTCTAAAATTCTGCGTTCAGTAGTATGTGCCACAGTTGTCAATGCTATCTCCCACTGCACAGAGGGAAAAAACAGCCCATCTAATACCAGAAAAATCAGCAGTGAATATAGAAGTGGATGTATAATAGGGCTTAAAACTACAACAAAAAATTTTGTTCATTTTACAAACTGCAAGCTTTTAATTAAATAAGTGCTGTCCATTGAATAATCACATATTTATAAATGATTTTTCGTGATACTTGACATCAAGAAACTACAAGAGAGGGTAGATTTTTTCAATATTTGCAAAGAGAATTTGGCCATTTAACATTCTTTTGAAGTAACTTCCATGCAGTTTGCTGTTGACACTTGCGTTGGGTCATTGCCAATTGCCTTTGATATTTACATGGAAGAGAGAAAGCAGCATCTGAATTACTTCGTTAAGATTTAATGTAATTTAAGTAGTTATATCATCATACAGCAGAAGCATATCATTTTCGTAAGAGTTTTTAATGCTCAGTGAGCAGTGGTACCATTCTGCCATGCTAAGGAAGAACGTCATATGAACCTTCAGGCATGGTTCCTATGATAAAACGCAAATTTCCTGGTAAATCTAATTTTTCAGATAATTTAGCATGCAATTTTACCTATAGATTCTAAAAATTTAAGGGAGAAATATTAATGACTTTCCTAAAAATAAACATTGTATCGAAAGAAATTTGGCAACTCTCGAATGTTCATAAGGCATTCTTCCTTAGCACGGCGGCATTGGTTGGCACTTGCTGTGAAAAAAATGCGCAGTTATAATGAAAACTATACTTACAGATCTTTCTTTTTGAGTAAATGCCCCAGTCCAGCCAATTCCCGTTTTGTGGCACCACTAAAAAAAAGAACAGGCGACAATCACACAGGGTTATCGTTAAGCATAAATTTTGAAATATCCAGGGAAGCAAAATAATTCTTAACCTTTCCATTTACCTGAACCTCTTCATCAAAACTCCTGGTGTGTCCAAATTTCTGAAAATGATGAATTTTTTCTTCACTGATAAATGTACATGTTCACAAGAACTCCATTTCTATTTTAACTTCAAGAAAGTGGAACAGAGCATTTCTTTGTTAAAGATACTATTATTACTTCTTGAACTGAGAATTGTATGCAAATACAATTTGATGTTGTATGAGGTCGATGGGATCGTTGGGTTGCGTTTGAAAACGGGAGAACCAAACGGAATTGGACAAGTTTACTTCAACAGTGCACCTTAAGTTGAGCCCAAATCAGACAGTGCAACTGGTAATCTGACAAGAGCGGACAAAAAGTTGCATGGAAAGTTGAAAGAAAAAACTTGAAATGCTGCCATGTAATATCGTTGTTGTGCCCGACATCAGCATTTCGTTACTTTCGTCAGCTTCTTGCACACAAATGCAGTTCAAAATTTAACTGAGGTTTTGATTCCACTTGCAATGCTGATTGGATGCATGGAAAGCTGCGGGTGACATCAGGTAGGGCTGTTTTGTCAGTTGTCGGTAAGCTACCAACACAGTTCCGTTGAGAAAAAGTTACGATAAAAGCGCTCTTACCGATTGCCATCTGAGTTTTCAGAGCTGTAAGCTGTTGCCATGTGTACATCTATTATACGCGCCGCCGTGCCAGGCAATCTTGACAATCTGACACACGGGGCAACAATACATTGAGTGCGAGCTCTCAAACCTCCGATTAGGCCGGCTATTAACGATATCATCGCCACTGTTGGTACTGCTGCCAATATCGGTTTAAGACAATACCAATAGCGTTCTGGCAAGAATTCGTTTGAATACCCCTAACATTAGGTTCGTGTTTCTGTGGAACTTTAACATCCGATTATTGAGTCCTCGTTTCAGTATCACACAGTCCAGTTGTCATCCAACAAAAGCAGGAGAAAAGTTTGACCACCTGAATCGGGCTTCAGAGCCATGAGAGGAGAGACATAGTATTCAAAATTTTGATGCCTGAAGAGAGACACCAGATCTTACGAAAAACTTTGAAAGTCAAAGAAGTAGTTCGATACAAACCCTGACTTGGGTTCTCCTCTTTTGCCTGGATTAGTGCATTAAATTTCAATGCAAAAAAGCAGATGTCATTCATTCAACACACTCTTCAAGTCGACCAATTAGTTCTGCCATGAGCTCTACATCTATAGGGCTTTTTTTTTATCGCGGAACAGGGTGGATCGTAGTGGAACGCACTGGATCGGAATCCTGAGCGATCCGGACCAATCCAAAGTGTTCCAAGTGATAAAAAAATCCAAACTTGGAATTTGGTTTGATTTGTCATTGTTTCGATTGCTTGAGGACGGGAAGTTCTTCGCATTAGGTTAGGATCACATTGGATTGCGAGCTCGCCCCACCTTGGAAGAGCGATCCAGCGTTCCACCCTGATCCACTTGGAACGCTTAGATCACGGCTGAGGAATGGAATAAAAAAATACCGATGTTCATCGCGATTCATCGCGTTCCACGGCAATCCGCATAAAAAAAAGGCCCTCATAAATGAAAGAGTTACTGTGCACATTGGTGCACAGGCGTTGAAGAGGAAAAGGTTCATGCGGTCCTCCTAAACGGAGCAATACAGGAAAACACCTGGGGGATAAAGAAAAGAGAATGAAAAGAAAAATTCAACATACCTAGCTCCCGAAGAGTCATTTTTTGCACAAGCCAGCAGGCTCTGCTCGAGGGCTCTCATCAACTTATTTTGTGCCTTGCTGGTGGACATGGCTGGCTGTAATGATGCAATCTGATGGTGTAGAAAACTGAAATCGGCTGCAGCTAAAAAATGAGTTGATCCGGAATAAGATTTAAGATACTAAAAGCAGTGAAAGCACATCGCCAATCTATGATTCTAACCTAGACAAAAATCAAAACAAGGAATTCCTCCACCCCTCCCTCCCAACTTCCCTCCCCGAAGGTTTTCCTCCTGCAGCATTGACGTATAATACAATCTAGACCGCGCATTACGAAATTCAAGCGAGACGATAGGCAACCCAGCAACACACAGCAAGTGTACCGGCGAGACAATGGTGGAATTCGTGGAAATGCCAGTCTTGCCAGTGCCGTTGCCTGATACGGGTACACTTAGCTCGTATATCCGGCGGTATCAACTAGGCTGAAGGCGCGTCTTTACCCCCCTAGCTGTCTTACCTTCCCCGCCTAAAGTCGGGCCCAATGCGCGGTCTAGATTGTATTATACGTCAATGTCCTGCAGGTTCAGACAGGAGGGCGATGTTGCCAGCCTCTTTTTATGTAATTACAATGCATGCGAAAGTTAGGTTAGGAGAGATGTGTGCGAAAAATCTGCAGAAAATTTCAGACATTGATCATCTCATTTCGGATTAATTTTATTAAAAATTGCAGCCTTTTTGTTTTTTAAACGTTTTGCTTTAGTTTTTATTTTGGAGTTTTGTGGTAACTTTAATATATCCTTAACCTTACGTAACTGTGTTTCATCGAAGGCATGACTAATGTTACAAGAATTATAACCAGCCAAGCACCAGTGGTGTGGAAAAACCTAAATGGATTGATTTGTGTCCACAAGCCATCTGAAAGGAGTGTGAAGTCAGTTCGAAAAATTATCGCCGAAAGGATTTGTAATGGTAATCATTTCAATCACACATAGTATTAAGCGAGAGGATTCCGCATGGTGATTCTTCAGAACACTTTTTGTCTCGGAATCGGGCCTTTAGTGAAAATTTAAGATTAGAAAATTTTGTATCATGGTCTGTAAATTTCATACTGCAGTCAGATCAGGGCAGCCAAATTTCATGAAAGAACCCCGCACAGACCTTATGGGCAAAGGCTCTCTCTAGAATCTGATGAAACTTTAATTTCAATTTCAATTTATTAATTCTTCAATTTACACAATACAATAAAAATACATAATCAACTTCCCTCATCCATGAGGTGACTCGTGTGGATGAGGCTGTTATGCCTTGGATATGTTGCTCAGCTAGTCATTCTGATCAAAAGTTCTTATGGGCCGAAAGAGATCCCATGAGCGGTTTTCGATATATTCGTTGTTGTATGTGCGTAAATTGAGGTCTGTGCAGGGTTCTTTCTCTTTAAATATTTTCGGAAACAGAAATGTGTGAAATAAGCGGTCCTTCCCCAGCGAATTTTAGGGATGAGAAGAAAAAAACTAATTTTACAGAAAATACTTGCTGTTCGTTGATTTCTATGACAACAGGAATAGCCGAGTTGTGCAACGTCCTGATTCTGAAAGAGTTAGGTATTTACCAAACGCCATTATTTCATTTTATAGGCATTGAGCTTCTGTTTCACAGCTTTGATTGGAAAATGTTGATTTTGAATTGTCACAGATGGTCCTCACTGTTTGATGTAATTAGCCACGCCACTGAGGTACCATGATTTTCTCATTTTTCTTAATGGCTTTCTTATTTGCAGAATTGAACGAACTAGAAGTCCGGCCGCCAACTACTCATGTCAGCATAGTTGGTGATACCACCAAGGAGCTAGATGTTCAAGTGAAACCAAGTTTTGCCGATCACCCTGCAGTTGTGGGCCCACGATATATACCAGAGGAACTTTACATTAGTACAGGAAATTTTCTCGGTTACCATACGTCAGGTGTCCTAGGTAAGCTGCACCAAGACTTCTCTAAGCCAGGGGTCCTGAAATTTAATCTCACAAAGCTGGAGGAAGAACATTTTTTGAGATAGCCTTAACATCGCTGCTCCCATAGGACTGCGGGCTTCACTATTTTCTTTACATAAAACAGCATGTCACACAGTTTTCTTCGCAAAAAGAAATGAACTTAGCAGTTTCCCTCTAAAAGAAATAACACATTCAACGGTTTCCTTTACAAAAAGTAGTGCTTTCATATGAATTTCAAAGAAATGATACTAAAATCAATGAAAGTAAAATGCTGAATGCCATCAGCCTTTACCTTCACGGAAAAAAAAAAAATTGCTGAAAACAGTGAGTGCAATGTTTCAACGCAGATTTTACAAAAAAAAAAATGAATTAGTTTACCATGTGGTTTAAGTAGCAAAATAAATGCTACTTTAACCACCCCCGTGGTTAAATTAGTTTACAATGTGGTTAAAGTAGTATTTTTTTGTTGGAAAATCTGCGTTGAAACATTGCACTCACTGTTTTTAGTAATTGAATTGTTGAATCAGCAATTTTTTTTCCCCGTGTTTTTTCCTTTTCAAGTGCCTTCACATTTCCTCTGCGATCAGCCAACTGAGCATTTTCTGTACCCCTGCATATGAGTAAAAAATTGTCTTTTAATTGAAAATAACCACACATACATTCAATTCTTGCCAAAAGAACAGGTTCTTGTCGTGTCAGCTAACTTGTTTTTGACCGAAAACTCCATTTTGACTGCATCAGATAACTGGAGCATCGCTTAATTGAGGCAAAACTTTACTTGAAATTTTCATGAAGAAGCATGCATTTTGGAGCTTCTTCTAGCCTCTCCATTGGTTCATTCTGCTCAGTAAGGTCAATGAACTCCGTGAAATTGGCGTTAGAAGAGACTTTTTAAAGTTTCTGAATGAAGACCACTATTTGGAAGAAAATGCAGAAAGTTTTGACAAGAGGAATCGGCTATCTGAAACGTTTTCTGATGAGTGCTTCTACAACTATCCATAGGATAGCTTATGAGGTTAAAGTTAGATTCCTCCAGGAAACTGAAATTCAGTACTTCTGACCTGAAATAAATAATTCCACATCTGAGCAAATCTTGAGGATCGAAGTTAATTATGTTGCAGATTGTACTTACAATCAGTGTATTTTACCTTTTCTCATGCAATTGAATAATATGTTAAATATTTTTGTGAAATTGAAAAATCTATATGGGTATCTAATTTTCTGTGTGAATGTGCTTTGTTTGTTTTTTCTAGTTCTAGGTCTACAAAATCTTGGCGCAAAAAAAGCTAAATTCTTACGTAACTCATCGCTACTCAGAACATATCAACTGAAAGGAAAGTTGGGAGTTGCCACTGCTAACTTTTTCATGGATGGGAAAGTTCTCTTCCGTGGCCGTTACGATTATATAACCCGAGACGCTGTGGATAAAGTGGCTGCAACGATGGAGGCTCTACATAGAAAAGTGATTTTTGAGTAAGACTGCCCTTAGATTCACCCAGATTAACCCGCCCTTCAAATTAAAAATTTTGATTATTAAAATAGATTAACAGACCAAATATCAATTAAAGTTTAACCATTTAAAAATTAATTTGAAAAAGTAAAAACACAAAAATAAATTAATTGTAAGTAGAGATGATAATCTTTTACTTTTTGTATCAGGATTCCTTAAAAATATAAACCTAGTTTTAGATAAACAAGGTTGATCATTGTGGCTTATTTACAAAAGCAAACGCTTTCTCACAAGTTAAATTCTTTGTTTTCCAAGAGAATGGATCTGTGCCAAAACCAAATTTTATCGAAGAGACAGAAAACTTATCTTTTATTACCTGAGGCCTTGTCCAGGTGGGTGCGGTTTGGGAACTTCAAGCAAACTTGATTTAGAAACTTATCATAACTCAGCTTTAACTTCTTTGTGAGACCTCATTTCGTTGGACTATTTTGCCCAAAAGGTCCACAAACTCTCTCCTCTAGTAGACAAGGCCAATGCTTGTTTGAAAGCTGTGAAAATTGATTTTTAGTGAGAATACTTTCTGTAACCTTTCGGGTCACTTTTGTATTTTTATTTGTATGCAATTATGCATGACTGTTACACAAGTCACATGCTAAATAATTACATAATACAAAAGAAAGCAGTTGTTTTAACGAATGATGTTAATAATAAGATGTGCTATTATTCAATGTCGAAAGGCTGATAATTTCCTTGTCAGAGTACGGAGCATTTTTGTTAAAAACCTGTCAAGTGGGGATAAGAAACTAGCGATATTTTCTAATTTTAACAAGTCTCTCAGACTTTCAAGAAGTGAGTTGAAGAGTTTGAAAATTTTAAGTTGAGGCATTTCGCATGAAATGAGGAGAAAATGTTAACAAATTTATGAAAAACACAGGGAAAAATTTTAGGAAATTAAAGGAATGTCAAAAACATTTTAACATAAAAGTTTTGGAAGTAATTTGATGAAAGGAAAGTTTTGTCTTTCGTGTGCTGCTATTCAAATTATTATCTTTAATTAGTTTTCATTCTTTACTAACATTTTTATGTTTTATATTATCTTTTTAGTCTATGTTCTGTGGACCCACGCAGTCAAACAGCATATGATTGGGCATCTCAAGGTCTTTTGCGCCCTTTCAAAACAAAGTCGCCTGTTATTTATGGAATTAAGTGTGTGGATTACTCTCCGCCAGAATTTACCGTTGGTAAGTTTATTTACCTCTGTTTCTTAAAAAATTCAGTTGTAAAAGCCAAAATTTAGCATTAGACCCCTAGACATCAAGCACTATAAGACTTGTTCTCTGAGATTTTGACCATTGACAATCTATGTTTAATAGTTTAAACTTATTGAACATTTTCACAGACATCCTCCAACCAAAAAATTTCTCCTCTCCGCTTCTATCAATTCAAACACTCTGCTCGTCTCTAAACAAAAGTTTGAATGGAATCAAGTATTAACAAGAGTTTTTGGCTGTCTAGAAAATCTTGAAAACCAAGGAAAGTTAGGGCATAAACTACATTTTGGGAAAGTCAAGAAGTTCATAGATAAAGTCTGTATTTCCTTTAGAAAAGTCAGGGAATTTCGGGAGCAGCACTTTTGCTCAGCAACTTCAGTTGCGGCCCGATTATTAATCTATGTCAATCTAACTAGATAAGACAGCTCCATGTCTTAACCATTTAATATATCATATTTTGATTGTCTTGTTGTATTGGAATAGATGCAATCATTAGACCTCTGCTACGCTTCAAGAGAACATACAACTTTTGAGTGCGTTTCTCCATAGTTTGAACCTTGAGAATTGGAAATTTTGTCCAAAGTCGACCAAAAGATAACGTAATTAACAAGGAAAAAATCAATGTAGGTAGAAGATTTGTTCAAAGGTAAAGAAATTTTGAAGTTTTGGAGTCAGAGAATTAGAAAATGAGGAAATTGGAGAGACCTTGTACAATTAATTTTGACTTGCCTTCGTGCTGAATTTTTCTTAGCATGTTAGCAAGCACAGTAAATCAGGAAAATGGAAAATTTGGTAGGAAAATATAATATTCATGAGGCCTAACTTAATTAAATCACCACACTTATAATTAATTTTCCATAACTAGTTTCACTTTATCAGTTATTAGTTTTCCCTGGTAGGGTGAGCTTATGGCCAATGGCAAAAGGGTCACTAGAAGAGGCATAAATTTAAAGCATCAAGCATCATGTTTTCTCTTCAAAACTTCATGAGGAAAACGAGTCATACAACATGGAAGTCCAAAAATACACTCCTAAACAAGATACAAGTGGTCAAATAAAAATTTTGACATCTAAATAAGCTGACCTCCATTTGGAATTCATTTTGTAGTTAGGAACTACAATTTCTAACTCATTTGTAAAAGCACTTATCTACATATGGAGCCGTATCTAAAACACTTTTTATATCTTATTCAAGAGTTGATTTTCGAACTTCCCTTTGTGTGAACCATTTTCTTCATAAGATTTTGAGGAAAAAACAAGTTTTCCTCTAGTTCAGACCTTATTTAGTGGCTCATTCGACAGTAACCTTTAAATCTGAGTATCTTATTTATATGTTGATCTTGGACATTTTCAACCCGTCTATTATGTTTGAAGTGGAATCAAGATAAGAAATTTAATCATTTATTATTCTTATCCTAGTCTGTCTGGTGGTTTACCTTTAAGGCTGAAGTCGATGATATCCTTGATCTCAAACAGCATCGCCTTTAGTTGCAAACATTTATGTACTGAAAAAATACTAATGGAGAGCGGAATCAAAAAGTGAATAGAATAGCATTACTGCCGTGCAACGCACAAACGCTGTAAACGCCATTTAAATTTTTTTGGAAACAATGTATCATAGCAGAAAAACTTGTGTACCTTGAGACAACGTTTTTACAGAATTGTTTTGCAAGTACTATGAAGAACCTAACTTGAAACTTTGAGGTGGACAAGTAGAACAGTTTTTATTTTATAAAGTGTTCAGTTCCAAAAAACGCAGGGAAGTCTTGACGGATTTACGATGTTCTTGCTGATTTTTAGCTAGACTTGATTTTTAGCTTGGCAGATTACGGCAATTGGAAACTAAGAAAAGAGAAAATATTCGTGGCTGTCCTCAAGGCCACTTTATTATATGGTTAATGATCAGACTTATCTGGAATCAGTCTAACTACATCAGATGTTCCCTAATTTTCCATGATATACCATTTTTTAAACAAAAAACTAAACAACAGGGGAACTTGAAATTTTTTGAGAACACTCCTCACGATTGAAAGTAAATTCACAGAAAGTCTCAAAAGGTTGAATAGTTTAGTTCTCTGATAAAAAAAAAATGAAACATGAGAGAAAATTAGTGAATGTAAAATTTAGTTCCGCTGGCTTGGGTTTTATTCGTCTGAACATGACTCCGCAAAAACAACTAAGCACTCACATCAGCAAAGTTTGAGGTGGCTCTGGAAGGAATCATATTAAAACTTTTAAGCTTTTTAAATAATTGAAAAAAGTACGCTTTCTAACAAGAAGATTAAACGTTTAATTGAAACCAAAAGAAGGTTCTGTGCCTTATGTTTCATTCCCACAATGAAATATTTTTATGTAGACTTTATTTTAGTTTCAAAGATGAAGTAGTCTAAATTTAATGGGGGCTAGGGGAACCTGTTGGCAAAATTTTCCAAAAATAATCCCATTGATCAAAACAAGAACAGGCTCAAACATAAGAATTTTAAGCCTATTTAATGGTAAAAATTGGTGAATTCCATCTCTTTGTTTGCAGAAGTTCAGTGCACCAATGAAACAGAAGAATTCCTAATCGAACTCATCAGTAAGCTTGCCGCAAAATTACGAACAGCTGCAGCATGTGTACAGATCAAGTGCATCAGATTCTCTCATTTTGATATAGATGACGCTTTACTGAAGAAACATTGGAGTTTACAGCACTTCCTGGACTCAGTTTTAGATGGTGATACAAAGTACCAAAAAATTAGAGATACTATATCTCCTACGCTAGTCAATTTTCAATCAGAAGAAACATCCACGTAAGCTGACTATTCAAATGGAAAAGAAAGAAGCGAAGGTAATAATATACTTGCTTTTCTTAAATCCTTTTTAGTATTACGTAATCTGTGTTTTCCAGGGTTGCCTAGTTTTATGTTATGTTGGTATGTTATGTTGGTATGTCATGTTATGTTGGTATGTTATGTCATGTTTTGTTATGTTATGTTATGTTATGTTATGTTATGTTATGTTATGTCATGTTATGTTATGTTTTGTAGGTAATGTTTTAGTTAGAATTTTGTTGGTCTTACTCTCTAAACTTGATTCGTCTTACTAATTCGTCTTACCTAATACCCTGAGCTAATTTTCAGCTGAGTCGGATAGTATTAATCTATGATGGTAGATCGACATTTTTATGGTCAACTAGGTCAAAAAAAAAAGTTTTTTGTAGCATTGAATTCATTGAACTGGTTGATGATAAAATAAAAGTAAGGTAATGGTCAAACTTAGCAGGAAAAATTATATGAAATTTGCCCCATTAGTAACCTGGAAAAAATGGTCACCCTTCCATTCAGATGCAAAATGATCAGATGAGTTCACTTAGTGTAGTCTCTCTGAAAAATCAAATTTTCCCCAGGGAAATCTATTTCATGGAACAATTTTTGAGTTTGTAAGAAATCCTGGTGTCCAGAAAAGAAAAGAAAAGGAAATTAACTGTTAAGTAATAAGTCTTATTTCATTACACAAGTCTGCATTTAAAAAAAAAGATCAACATGTGATAACTGTTTCAATGTATGTATTTTTATGCTGAGCCTTGAAACCGTTTTCCTGTAATTTCATCAGGATTTTCCTGAAAAATTAAATTTTCTAACTCAATGTCCTACAGGACTGCTATTGCCAACAAGACTGAAATTTTTAAGAACAAAAAAAAAGAAAGGGGAGAGAGGAGATAGAACGAGAAGCCCAAAAAATAGATCTGTCAGTAGCTGCCGATTCTGCTCGTGTGCCTCAGCTGGAGACCGGACCAAACAATTAGTCCGACACTCTAAATTCCTTCTAACCTGCTGCTTGTGCAATGGCTGACTCATTGAAAGAAGCATTTCAGATCTTTGACTTAAAATGTCTTGTTTTCCAAATTCTAACTGGCCGGGGACAAGAGCGGGCTGGTCCAAGGGGCTAGAGGGCGATTGCGATTGCCCCCCTTTTTGATAAAATGGCTTTGGAGGGGCTGTGTTGGGCAGGTTTCAGAATCCTATTCAGTACTTTTTCAGAAGTTTTGCAGAGTTTCTGTGGGCTTCTTTTAAACCTTTTCTACTCTTTTTTATCAAGAATTGCCCCCAAATCTCTTGTCGACATGGTTGGTTAGACCCCTTGGAAATTTGGAGCCGGTTCTCCCCTGCCTGGGTATGACTGATCAAATGAGACCCCTTCGCGGACTAGGCAGATGGCTTCAGAGGGCCCTCAAGGAACTTAGAGGATGGTTTTCGGGAGCCCTTAAGGATCTCAAGGGAACTCAAGGTTCAAAATCCAAAAAGTAACCCAAAAAAAGAGCAACAGCCTTGGGCCCTCCAGCAAATGATGAGGCAAAAGCGGCCAAAAAGAATGGAAGCGAGGGAACCCTATTGTTAAAAAAAGGTCTACGTAAACCCTAAAATAAAATAAAAAAGCGACCAAGGGCCCCAGGCTCCTGAGCTCGTCTGTATAAGAGGGTATGCAATGGTGCTAGCAGTCATGCTACCGATCATAAAAAAACTGAAAAATGAGTTTTAAAAAAAATCACCAAAATTAGTCTATTTTTTTGGCGCTTAGACCATGTGGATTGCATTCAGCAAAAAGGAACAGCGCGATTAAAGTGTTTTCAAAATCAGGCAACTTCTTTTTTACTTTTAAAAATACTCAATATATGAACAGTATTAAAATTTACACAATTATTTTCCTTTGAAATCAACAATTTCTTGGAGGGAAGCAAAAATTATTTGCTATTCTGGGAGATTTTTTGGATAATTATGAAGAAGCAACATTTTTACAACAATTCAATTGTGGTGGTTCCTTTTTGCTAAATGCGATCCATGTATCCATGTGTGTGGTAATCAATATTGTTTGGAAGAAGCCGCAGGTAAAGAGTATGCAAAAGGTTCCTGACTTTTCCTTTTGTAATTGCCTTTCCTTGTCTGTAAATCTCTCATTTTTCCACTGTTTTTAAAAACACGAATTCTTTCTCCCAAGTCTGTTTTCCACTTTAGAGACCTTCATTTCATAGCCCGCTTGTTGCATAAACGGAAAAAATTAAATCACTGATTTAAAAATTCAAATGCTAAAAAAAGTGACTGCAATGTTTCAATGTAAATTTTACAACAAAAAAGTGCTACTTTAACCACCCCTATGGTTAAATTAGCTCACAATAGTGGTTAAGGTAGCATTTTTTTATTGTAAAATCTACGTTGAAACGATGCAGTCACTTTTTTTAGCAATTGAATTGTTAAATCAGCAATTTAAGTTTTTCTGTGAAGCACCTCTCTTGGTGCCAGGACTCCTCACTCAGTCTTTTTGCCTAAGGGACTAATCACCCTCACGTTTTCATCCAAGACTTTTTAACCCACAGATACTTATTCAACCACAACCCTTTTAACCCACGTAATTTTTTATTTACAAGCATCTTCATCAAATGAGTATGACTTTTTAAGATGTTAATGAAAGTTTCATTCAATAATATGATTGAAATTGGCTCAAAAAGAAATGCAAGATCAGCATGGTTTCAAGAATTTCAACATCTCTTGTCCTTCTTCCTTGCCGTTCCTCTATCGTCTTTTTTTGTAAGATTAATAAGCCTCACATAAGTTCCTCAAACGTTCATTGTTATTCTTGTATTTTTTTTTTTTTTCTTCTAGATCCAGAGGTCTTCAAACACACTCACCACACCACTTTATTCAGGGATAAGCCCTAGCGGAAAGTGAAAAATGTGTGGTAGTGTTGGCCAACAATTATGTTAAGAATTTTAGAATTTAAACTTTTGGTTGGTTTAACTCCCTAAAAAATATAAAATCTCTCTTTAATTGCATCAGCTGTTCCTTCCAATAGCATCATGAAATAGTATATATAGCAGCGCTCTTCACCTGTGACTTCCATAGGTAGTGTAAACTGCATGTAGGAGAAAACTTTCTCTGTGTGAAAACTCTCTTATATAAAAACGTATGGGGGTCGAAATGCTGTGTGTGAAAAGTTCTAGATGAATTATATTGAGAGTGATGAGTCTGTGGAGAAGCAGTCCCAGAATCCCTCTCTTACAGTATTTCAAAAGTTAATTTGTGGCCTTTTAGCTACTTCCCAAGTGGACTGCGTTAAGCAGAAAGGAACCAAGCCACATCAGCTATTGCCAAATTTAATTGGGCAATTTAATTTTTTACATGAAAACGGTTGTGCGGATTTTCGTGCAAATTTCAGTGAAAATTCTCCATGGTGCTAAGCAAATTCCTTAAAATTTTCAAGGAAATCCGAACAAACGTTCTCTCGTAAAAAATTTTACTGCCCAGTTAAACTTGGCAATAGCTGATGTGGCTTGGTTCCTTTCTGATAAATTCGGTCCAAGTAGCACAGTGCAACGAAAATATTGAAATTAAATTGCAATATTTTTACATCATTAGTCGATTAATGCCGATTTTAAACAATCAACAAAATGAGCTCCATGTGTCAGAGAAATTAGGCAATGTGCAATGCAATGAAAAATTGCTACTTATTTATTTAAATTTGATTGCAATAAGTTTCAATAAACGGGGCCCCTTCAAATAGGAGGTAGGCAACATACACAACACTCAGTTGAATTGCAATATTTTTACTATATACAGGGTGAGCGAAAAGTCCCCGACCCCCCCTCTAACTTTTGAACGAATTGAGCTAGGGAAATGAAACTTTGGGAATGTTCCTATCTCAAAGGGGACCATCTTTTAAGGGGGTCAAAATTTTGGTCCCCCCAACTTTTTTTTTCAAATAGCAAACCCTATCTTGTGATACCTCATTCGAAAGAACATAAAAAACTAAGAATTTTGGCGCAAACCGCAGATCAATATCTTAATTTTTGACCGAGTTATGATAAGTCAAAGGTCAAATTTGACCTATTTTCAAAAAATTTTAACTCCGGTTCAAATTATCGTAAAGAAAAAAATAAAACGGGAAAATTTACCAAATCGTGTTCGCTTTTACGTAAAAATTTCAAAAATCACTTCGATTTAATTTTAAGGGGGGGCTCGGACCCCCAAATACGTCAATTCAAAGGTCATTCAATTTTCCCGCGAAATAAGCCAATTTCCTCTGGATTTGCCTCCACAATATCTCAGTAAGGTCAAAATCAGTTCAACATTACGTTGGCAAGTCCCCAAATTTCGGGAAAAGTTAAAAAAACGAAATTTAAACGGTCAAATTTAATCACCTTAAATTTCGTTTTTTTAACTTTTCCCGAAATTTGGGGACTTGCCAACGTAATGTTGAACTGATTTTGACCTTACTGAGATATTGTGGAGGCAAATCCAGAGGAAATTGGCTTATTTCGCGGGAAAATTGAATGACCTTTGAATTGACGTATTTGGGGGTCCGAGCCCCCCCTTAAAATTAAATCGAAGTGATTTTTGAAATTTTTACGTAAAAGCGAACACGATTTGGTAAATTTTCCCGTTTTATTTTTTTCTTTACGATAATTTGAACCGGAGTTAAAATTTTTTGAAAATAGGTCAAATTTGACCTTTGACTTATCATAACTCGGTCAAAAATTAAGATATTGATCTGCGGTTTGCGCCAAAATTCTTAGTTTTTTATGTTCTTTCGAATGAGGTATCACAAGATAGGGTTTGCTATTTGAAAAAAAAAAGTTGGGGGGCCCCTGTCCCCCCCTGAGGGGGGGACCAAAATTTTGACCCCCTTAAAAGATGGTCCCCTTTGAGATAGGAACATTCCCAAAGTTTCATTTCCCTAGCTCAATTCGTTCAAAAGTTAGAGGGGGGGTCGGGGACTTTTCGCTCACCCTGTATGTAATTGCTGCTTATTGCAATCTGTGTTACTTGGGGTCTCGGGCCATTTTTGTTCCAACTGTCCGTTTTGCTCTATTCAGGGTTGCCAGTCAGGGAATACCGGAAAATGTCGGGGAATTTCAAAAAGTCAGGGAAAACCTGGAAATGTCCGGGAAAAATTGTAAATTTACCTTTATTGGTTGTTTAGAATCTATTTGACGATTAGAACAACAAATTTTTTCTAGAAAACTATTTCAAATGATGCCTTTTTTGCCAAATTGCGTGTTTCATTTGTCGGGGAATTTTACTTAAATGTGTCAGGAAATCAGGGAAATGTCAGGCAATTTCATTTTCTACCCTGTCTATTTCCTTGTGAATGTCTCGCTTGGAAAAGGGTTTTTTTCCCCTTTCTTCCCGCTTTTCCTATTTTTTAATACTATGTAAGATTTTAGACTATCTTGTCGTAAAGTGTTATGGGTTTCGACGAATCTGAGGCGTCCATTTCTTCGCGTCACGCGACTTCACGCCCCTGATGCTTCGCAAGCACAGAGGATTGTTGCCGTTATACAATTTTTCGCGATTCTACGGCATCAACATCNGGGGGGGGGGGGGGGGGGTAGTCTCTCGAAGGCCCTTATCTCTTTTGCTCAAAATTTCGTACACGGAGAAAAATGTCTTTTTTCGTTCTCACGCGTCGTCGTTGCGTCGGGCGTCCCAGCTCCAAAAATGCAGCTTAAACCATTTCAAGGTCGCGCCCTATTGATAAAGTTATCATCCGTATGGATCAACAGACGATATCAAATCGACGGTTATTATTTTTGATGCTCATCTTTCTACACCTATCTATACCGTCACCGAAGAATGTTATCAGCGACTTTTCGGTCTGAGAGCTGGACTCGTGGAATTTCGGGCGGCTCTGCAACCCGCCGCACTGTGGCGAATTTACGATTCGCCGTGGACTCAAAATCGAGGCCATGGATGTTAAAGTTCTAACGATTTTAATGCCGATGAATCTATCCCAGACACGGTCAGGTCTAATAGTTTTTGGTCATGTCGAAATAGCCTCAAATAGTACCTTTTTAATTGACTTTTCACGGCCTTTTCTCGGTCGCTGAAGCTCCTCTTTCCTGTCCACTGTGTGGGGAGGAATTTGTCCACCGTAGATTCAACTGATTGTGATATGTACATTGCTGTTTTATTTTTCAGTGCAAGAGAATCAGCCGTAGCAACAGCCCTCTTCAGTAATTCTCTACACCACCAAAGGTACGATTTATTCCTCTTTTATGCTCTCTTTTTCGTCCGTGGTATCCAATTAATTTACCTATTTAGGAAAGATGATTTATTGTGTTTTTTACACTCTCAGAATTTAAAGAATGATTTTTTCTTTAACTACACTTTCATAACTTATTTCCTCTAGTTGAGTTACATGTCGCAGAAACAATGGGTCGTATCGACGGTGTCGGCAATCACTTAACTCGGTTTGCAATGTTCGGTGGGCATGAAGGCAAAGTGGCCCAGACGTCTGGCCACATTTTTGTCTAGGTATTAACGAAAAGGGCTTATTTACAGAAAGTTCTATTGCAAAATAATTTCAATAAGTTGCAATGTTTCTCTGCATTGCAAATTGCCTACCTTTCTAACACATGATTCTCATTTTATTGATCGTTTAAAATTGGCATTTGTTGAGCAAATGATGTAAAAATATTCCAATTTCATCGCAGCTTTACCTATTTCAATATTTCCGCTGCACTGTGCTGCTTGGGTTGTACATTTAACACAATACTAAATACCCTCTTACATTCGTTTTGAAGAGAATATCATCTCGATAGTGAAACTGCAAAACTACATTTCTCAGTTTGCAAGGCTGCATATTTTTTGTCTTTTTTATTTTTCTTAAACATGGTTGTTCATTGTTATTGCCCAAAATTTAAGTGTGGATGCAAATACTGTCAGGTAATATTTTGTTTTGAAAGAATAGGAATGGAATTGTTGGAAAACTGTAATCAAGATACATGCTTAGTTGTTTCACTATTGATTGCTTAAAGTATGCCACCAGCCTCAGAAGCATGAGTAGTTAAAGTTAGTTAGACATTTTATTAAAAATTGGCATTTATATGGACCAAGTTTCACAGGAATGCACCAAGTCACATCAAGTTCGAATGGAGAAAAATAGGTCTGAAGCTTTATTCTCCCATTAGTATCATTGTTAAGGACAAAATATAATGATTATTTTCAAATTTAATTATTTTTCTCTTAACTTATTGACAGGAGAAAATATACGATTTGTTGAATTAGAAACTACTCCCATCTCATTTTTTCCAAAATGCGATTTGGTTCGTTTCTGTGGAAATTGATCCAAATGTCTTATTATTGAGTCTAGGTCTAAAACTCAACAGAAACAAATTAAAAAAGAATCAAACAAATTAATAAATCTACCATAAAAATTAGAAACCTCATGAAAATCACATATTGAGAGAAACTTTACCAACAAAGAAATAGAAAATGTTACAGAGTAACTTTCCTAATAACGTTACTATCGAAACTAATAGCTTACTAATATAGTAAGCTACCAAATACTAATAGTTACTAGTAAAAGCTACTAGTAAAAATACTAATAGAAACTAATAAACTAACTATAAAACTACCAGGAAAGAGAATGCTTAACAAGAAAAAGTGTATGTAGGAATGCATAATAAGACACGGAATATATGTTTTTAATAATGGTGACAGATTTACCTTATTTTAAAAAAATTTCATCTATTACCTAGAAAAATTTTCATCTGCAAGCGAATAGAATAAGAGTAAAGACTTTTTTGCTGACAGAGTGTAGATAAAACACAGTTATAGTAGTTATCATCCACATCCTCCTCGTTCTACAAGTGGGCAACAGGACTGGGGTGATGAAAGGATGTATGCAGTATGTTTAGTGGTGTATAAGGCCAGTCTGCTCCCCTCCCAGGTAATAAAAGACACTTGTAAATACTTTTACGGAATGCATCTCCACACATTCTAATGAGTTGGAGTAAATATAAGGGTGTCTGTTTGAAATCACTCTAATACATTTTTTTCTTTTTGACATGATGAGTTTGATAGACTCTTGTTACAGAACCAATTTTTGAAATTATTTTCCTCTGAACATATCTAATCTGTTTTTTTCTTCTTATTTCTTTCCAGAGATGGACTCAACGCTTGAGTCCACGGAACCCATGCAAATGAAATGCAAAGAAACAGAGGCTCAGGAAGCTAATGCAGTGAAAATCTCTCCCTTTCAAGTTCGGTCTTCTTCGTTTTGTTTCTCTACTCCTTTTCAGCATCCATCTGTAATTTCCAGTAATTTTCAAGCAAGTCGTGAGGTAACTGATTCAAATCGTCCTTCCCGAAATCTTTTTTTCAAGGAGACTTCAACCGTACTATCCGATTTTGGAACTGATGGTGGCTCTGCATCATCTATTTGTACAGCTGTAGACTCTGCAGCCAATGAGTTTAAGCCTTCAAGAACACAGTTAGGAATATCGAGTAATGTTAATATTACCAATCACAACAGAGTTAATGATACAACTGATTTGAGTCGAATTTTTACTTTCAACGAAAATGGCGGAATAATGCATTTGTCATCTCCCCCTCTAGCGTGCATTGATAGAATGTTGAATAACTTTCGATATGACCCAGATCGACCGCATTACTCAGGTTATGTTAGCACTTCTGAAAAAAATTGTCTCACAAGTCAAACTTCAATTACAGGAGGAGCATGTGGAGATCCAAGCTCCCTTTCTTATCAAAATATCGATAAATTGAATTTATGTAAAGCCAAGAATGGCTCCTCAAAAGAGCCAATGCAAGCCTGTGATCATGTCACTAGTGTAGAAAATTCCCTCAGAGTGAATGATTTCGTCGTGGCAAGCACGAGTGACTGCACCCAATCAAGTGTTTGTTCCCCTTTACCCGCTCTATCTGCTTCACAAGGTGCAAGTACGCCAACTTTCCATGTCAAAAGACCGGCCAAGTCCCAAGGTCCCATCTGTAGGAAACGTAGACATTCAAGAAGGGTAAACATTCCCCCAGGCAAAGCCTCAACACCCAAGATCATCACAAGTTTTATGGATGAATTAAAATCTGATGAGACTATGTGTCTTGCTGAATTATTTTTAAAATGTGAAAGTCCTTTACCCCCTCCATCTACATCTCACCAAGTCCAAAGACCGGCCAAACTTCAAAGCTTTTTGAGTAGAATTCCACGATTGAAGAGGAATAGGCACTATCCAGTAGAGTTTAAGAGAATTTCTCCAGGCCAAGCCTCTTCTCAGGAGAGAGATTGGAGGAGCAAAGGTGCTTGTGTAAGCAGTCGTCCAGGCAAGACGATACATCCACAAGGAAGTCAAAGCGTTTTATCTGCTCCATCTACATCACAAGGTACAGGCATTCTTTCTCGTAGGAGCAAAGGTGCTTGTGTAAGCAGTCGTCCAGGCAAGACCGCACATCAACAAGGAAGTCGAAGCCTTTTATCTGCTCCATCTACATCACAAGGTGCAGGCAAACCCACAATTCCAGCCAAAAGATGGGCCAAGCCGCAAAACCCTGTCCACAAAAAACGTAGAAGTTCGATTAGGGTTGCACTCAAAGGCAAATCTGAAATTCCTGTTCAGAGGAAATATGCGAATTCAGGAAGGATGAGCACCCGTCAAAACAGAGCCTCAGCACCAGAGGCATCGAACGGTGCAGGCAAATCCACAAGCCAGGCCAAAAGATCGGCCAAGCTTCACTATCCAGTAGGAGTAGGCTCTATCCAATAGTTTAAGAGAATTTATCCAGGCTAAGCCTCATCTCAGCAGAAAGATGGATATTCTTACCCCGGTTCTCCTGTTCAAGGTGCAGGTAAATCAATAAGCCAGCCCGAAAGATCGGCCAAGCTTCAAAGCTCCTTGAATAAGAATTCACAAAGGACGAGCAATTATCCACCTAAGACCTCGTCTCAGAAGGAAGACGGCAGTTCTTGCTCAGAAGGTACAAGCAAGTCAATGAGCCAGGCCTAAAGACTGGCCAAGCCCAGAATTCCTCGAGGTAGGAGCAAAGGTCCTCGGTAAGCAGTTGTCCCTGGGCTAACCCAGGTTTAAAATTAAAAATAGTTAAAATTAATTACCATGCATTTTATTTTATTTTCAAATTTATGTTGTTTCCTTTCCATTTTCAGTTTTTCTTATTTTTTATCTTTTACTTTCTTCGGTAATTATTTATGAAATTATTAAAAAATGTAGGGGTCCTTTGCGAATGAAAATCTAAATGTATAATTATAAATTTTTTCTTTTTTGTTTTATTTACAGCTTTGGCTTTCTTTCAGAAGTTTATTATGTTCATAGATAATCTGCTCTAATAGAACGTGAAATGAGTGAGGAAAGATATACAGCACTAGTCTTAACTAATTCATTGAATTTCTAAATCGATTCACTCTTCTACTCTATCTATTGTGAAAGCAGGCACCATGTTTTTTAATTGTACTCAAACACACTTGAATGTATTTAATAAAGAAGTGAAGTCAATTTTACATATTTTTATTTTAGAAATTAACGTTTTTGCAAGTGCAATTTCAGAAGGTTTGATTAATTTTTAAGTGCTAAGGCCAATGTAAAGATATTTTCAATAATGAGTTGCATTGCTGAATTTAAAGCCATTTTCTCTCCATGAGAAAATGTCTCACTGGAATGTATTGCCTCAAGTAGTCTACACTGTCAGACGAAGTATGGTGAAATTTTGTATCACTGATGACTCCTCTGCAAGTGTGTCCTGAGATCACGTTTTTCTGCATATTCTTTGTCACAGTAATAGCATCTAAACCGTTTGATGTTCAAATGTCTTAGCATGTGTTCCTTGAGCTTATCTAGGCGGCAGAATAGTTTACTGCATACGCTGCATTTAAACTTCCGCTCTGATGCATGTGTCTGCAAAGAAAAGCACAGAGAGAAATTTTCTTATAATATAGCATATTTTTTTAGCATAATGTTAATTCCAGTTCCTGTACAGTAGAGAAATAAAAAAATATATGTATTGTTTTTTAACGAAACTTTGATGACATTTTTCAACAGTCTCACGCAGGCTAGGGAGATAAGACGGCACTTTAACTCAGTTCAAAACAAAAGGGTTCACATTTTCTACTCAGTAACGGTGCTCCTTTTCAGTGTAATAATGTGTGTTAAATTCGGAAAAATGTACTTTTCAGGCCTAATTCTTCCTAAGGGTGGCACATAGAAAGTTTAATTTTAAAAGCTTATCTTACGCAGGAGATCTTAAAGAACATCATATCAAAAAATCTTCTAATTTAACCAGCACTGAATTTCTTGGTATTCCGTGTGTAATCTGCGTTGCAAACTTTAGATGAAAGGAACATTTACAAATCTTTAAGGAAATCTAAGAAATACTTCCTTATAAAAATAAAAATTCTGCAAAGTTCAGCACCCTTACTGTTTTACTCTATTTTATTAATATTTGGCAAGTTTCACCTTAAGTTTTAGTAGTGCTAATTATAAAGAAAGATTTGAATCTGACAAATTGACTTTGACTGATATTTCCCTACGTTATACTTTTATGTTATACTCATACTCTTAAAGGATCAATCCTCCCGTACGAAGTGACATTATGTAGAATATGACCAACAACTTACTTTTTCATGAACTTTTAAATGAGAACTGGTAACAAACTTTTTTGAACACACAGAACAAGCATACGTCCTTTTATTCTTGTGCATATTGTAATGATAAACTAAATAATCCGCTCTTTTGAAAGATTTTCTGCAGATCTGAAAAAATTCCAACATTATAAATATGAAAATACATATTAATAAGTGATGATGTTTTGTGGATTATAGGGTCATAGGGTTTCAAGGCTATGATCCTCTCTTTATCAGCCTCTCATAAGTGGGCAGGAGGCTTTAGAACTATAAAGTTCAGATTCTGTAGGGTCAATAATTTAGAATTTAGTTTTTATCCCGAGATAATTGGTCAGTTATTTAACCAGATAACTGTAATTGATCGAGGGCACTGTCCCTTTTCCTTTCAAAGGTTATATGAATGCAATGTTAATTAAGGTTATTTGGTGTAATGTTTTCTTTTGATGAGAATAATGCAAGATTTGGTGAAGAGCTTTGACTAGGTCATGACTACCTCCCTCCCCCGGTTTCTTTAAAAGATATTGAGTCGACCTCAAAACCGTGAATTACAGACGCTTCAAGGTTGATTAAGAACCCATCTTTTTCCGGAGACTGTTTGTCAACTAAGTAACCAAATAATATGTTGTAAACTTACTTAAAAATTCACCCTCGTTATACTTCATTTCAATGCCTAACATGTGGAGACAAGGTATTTTTGGAGAAGAAATGTACGCACCTTACATACTGACTTCTGTGAATCATCATGCTGAGCCATATGTCTGCTAAGAGCAAGTTTGGTCATAAATCTAGCCGGGCATTTTAGGCATAGAAAACAACCAATGGCATCGTGAGTTAATTTATTATGCTCCTGCAAACTTCTAACTGAATGAAATTCCTGCAAAAATATAACCAAACATAGCTTTATTAATCAAATTTCATTAAAATTTCAGAACTCCCTTGTGGAAGTATAGCTGAAGCATGATTACTGACCCACTCTCTCTTAAAGTTAACTGACCTTTGATTTGTTAACCTCATGATGCTTGCTTGCATATTGATATTGAAATTCTCAAACAACATATCTCGGAAAATCCGATTTTTTAGGAGAACAAGAAAAAATAACAAAGTGCATTTTCATTTCCAACAGGCTGATTTTACCCTTCATCCAAAATTTGCGGGTGTGCCTTGGCAAAATTTGGTCCAACATGAAGCAGCCCTATATTCAAGCAGGAAACATTTCATTTTTAATGCCATGGAAGAGGAATCACTTACCTTTTAATTCATGCATATTACTTACCAATTCATTTACACTTTATGAAAATCTGGTTAAATACTCATGGATATTTACCTTAAGGCACAGATCACACAGGAGATCATGATTACGTGAATTCTTGACTATCAAATGGCTATTGGTATCTTGATCAGACCTCAGCTCTTTCCCACATTCTTCACATTGGTCCGAGTCCTTGGTGCTGAAAAGAACAAAGAAATGCACGGTAGTAGATTGGTTTGCGACGCAGGTCCCTTCATAAACTAATTAATTTTAGAGGGCAAAATAACATTTTAATTGTTTAATTGGACGCATTTCTATCAAACAGACCTATGTGCAGGTGAGAAATATGGGGTGTGCTCGCTAGTTCTCTGTCCGTAAGAGTGAATGACAATAATAAAGCGCCAGTGGGTCAGCGGCAATGATGAAGCCCAGGCGCGAGGGGGAGATTGTCGTCGGGCGCTTTAACTCATGAGCCCTGTCCACAACGCACTCGTCCCATCCTCGCGGCTCATGAATCCCGCATTCTGTTGGCACATAGTTCTGTTTGATAGAATGTAATATCCCGCTATTAATTATTAATTCTGACCAAAGAAAATAGATCTATTTCATAGGTCTACTTTCTGTCAACTTTCCATTTAGAAAAAAGATAGAAAATTTACTGAAAATAGAATTATTTTCTAGCCAATTTCTAAATGTTATCTTTTAAGAAAATGCAAGGAAAAAATGTATTTTCTCTCTATTTTCCTGTGTCTATTTTCTAGATCTACTTTATACCTATTTTCTTTCAAGAAAATTGTTCTATCTAGAAAGTAGACATTTTCTTGATGAGCGCCACCCAGAAAGTAGATGACAATGTTACTTGGGATAATGCGGAAATGACGGAAACAAAAAAGTCAAGGCTTATTTTCTGTATCATAGGGGCACTGAAGGGTACTCTGCCACCTCAGTACAATGTATTTTACCACAAAAATTCCCAGCTCCATGACGTGGCCCTTCTTTGAACGATGTGAAACATTCTGTAAAAACTCTCCAAAGTGAGGGAAGGAGCAGGCAGGTAGTTGTAACAGATGACATGTGAGGCACAGAGAGAAGAAAAAATGGGGAAAATTCCCCAAAATTGGTGGGTACTTACTCGTTTTTGGACTCTCCCTCAAGAATTTGAGATTCCTTCAATGAAATAGCCTCCATTTTGACAATTGTGAGAATAGTATTCAAAGCTGATTGAGCCAGTTAGGCTTTTTACTTAACTGCCCAGTCCGAAGTGGAGAGTGTGTGAAAAGTGAAAGGATAATATTTGTACATATTCAGACCAAGTTCAACGCTGCAAAAAAAATACAACAGTAAGGGCTTTTTCAAGCAAATGGGAGTCAAAAGGTATTAGCTACTGCCAAATTTGATTGGGCCAAGTACTTTTTGGTGGAAGAAATGGTTGTGGAGAATTTTCAGAAAAAATCAGAGAAAACAAAACAACCATTCTGCATTCTCTTGTGAAAGAATAAATAAGTACTTAGTCCATTGGATTTTAATGATGCCTAAGGTCACTTGGCTCCTTTTTCTTGAATGCCTCTGATTAAAAGTTATGCAGAAGAGAGAAGAGAATGGAGTTTCATAGTTTCATTTGTCTAACATACATGTAATTCGATCTGGAATGATTGAAATAATATTTTACACAAGTATATTTAAAAAGTCAAATAACAAAAATTGTGCCCTGTTGCTTAGCTAAAAATTCCTCATAATACAAGAGAGAAAAACACTTTTTCATCTTTTATCAAATATAGAAAAACACTACCTATTCAAATAATGGATAGGAAGGAATATGAGGCGTCCTTTATTGAGGAGCTACATTATTTAGGGGAAGTATTATAGGCACCGAATTATTGATCGATAGTAGGTATACTTACTTAAACTGAATGAAATTTCAAAGTAAATGATGTGAGAGACAAAACGAACAATTCACACAGCCCTAGACCACGGAGGAATTCTTGGCAGGGACTCTAAATAATATTAGGTACCTATGTGCTCACATTATGCATGTCAGTTAGACAGGTAGAATTATGGAATGAAATCCAGGGTAACAAGTATCATCCTCCTTCTTACCTGCAACGTTACTTCAAAGCTTCGTGACACATTATCACCGCCTAATTGTATCCATTTCAAATTAATAGTTTGCCGTAGGATCCTCACACATTGGCCACACATCACTGATAAGAACCTTCTCCGCTATAGGCTGATAAGAATCAATATGCTTACGTACGACGTACGCGCCGACAAGCTCACGCGCCTACGCGCGCTTTGAACCGCGCATGTTGTGTCCTACTTCTCTCTCATTGGTGGAACACATTGCTATGTTTACGCGCCACATCCGCGAATCGCTTTCAAAAAGTTACCGCGCAAATCAAATGATCGCGTCCAATTAGGCGGGAAACCTCGAACACCCCTTCTGGGAAATCAGCCGAAGACTGCATCAGGAGTTCAAGATTTGGCTAGTGAATTAACAATTTCAGGCAATTGTGTGACCAGATCCCCCCCCCCCCCCCCCCCNGCACAAAAAATGTATTAGACGAAGTATATTTTCGAAGCTCAAATGATTTTAATTTTTTGAAGTTTCGGTTGTTCTTTTCTTCACGAAAGTGCCTAACCTAGTAGCATTGTGTGCACCTCATTTTCAAACTTAAACTTCTGAAAAATTTAATTAATCTCTCTAAACATTCTGGCTCGCCGCACGTTTACGAAGAGGCTCCACCTCCTTTACCGTGCCTAAGGAAGAACGCCGTATGAGCCCTTAGGCGTTGCCAAATTTTCTTCGATAATACACGGATTCCCTGGAAAACTTATGGCTATTTTTCTTCCAATTTTTCAGAGAATTAAAGTTCGTATTTTGATCTGAAGTTCCTGAAAATTTCAAGGATAAATATTCAAAACTTTTCAAAACTAAACATTATACCAAAGGGAATTTGGCAACTCTCGAATGTTCATACGGCGTTCTTCCTTACCACGGCAGCCCTGGTCACTTGCTCTAAGAATGCGTTACGACTTGCTGGGCTAAATCTGTGCCGTAAATGGAAAAGGTAATGAAATGATAAAATGCAGTTGCAATTTCTTTTGAAAAACACCAATTCAAGAGCAATTACTTTCCGGAAATTTGAATTCATACGCAAATAATTGACTATTTAGAGCAGCTTTATTTTCGGAGCAATTCAGAGGTAACAGTTTAGGCCTGAAAACAGGTACCTACACGTTTCCTGTCTTTTCTCACGGTTTTCCTTTGCCCATGGAGAGAAGTGGTAGTTATAGGGGCGAGAGGAGGACAAATTTAAATTTCAAAACACTGCCTTAAAGTAGATCAGGCCCTTTCTGACTTTTTGTTAACTGGACTTGGGCAAAGACATAGGTATGTTTCAAAATTGACTCGGCTTGATGTAATTCAACTTCCTCCGTCTAGGTACAGACATTATTTTACAAAATTATCGCCGTTCAAGGATCAATTTTTTCATTTTCAGGACCTTAAATCTCCGCAAAATTCACTCGCAGACATGAAAATCATTTCCACAATTATTCAAAGGAGGCAGGAACCGATTTATCATGTTCAAGACAAATCAAAAAAGAGAAATGTCATTTATTTGCAGTCGACTCCGCTTCTTTCCTTGAAAACAAATTTCATAAAAGCAAAACGACACACTTTTCCCGAATTACCTATTTTCCACTTTAATTCATTATTTCCCGAAAATTGGGTATTTTTAAAGGGAAAATACAGAATATTATTTTGCTTTCAGCGACAAATTTCAAAGACATTTTTTCTATTACTAGACTGAGCATATACTATGGCATTTTGTGTGACGTTTGCTCAAAACAGTTTTCTACAGGTCTTCCTATCTACAGCAACATTTCAGAAATTCAAATTTAGGCTACATACATGATTCCTGACCCCATGGACCTGTGGGGGTGAAAAAATAGATCCAGAAATTAAAGAGGGCTGGAAAAATTTTTCTTTTTTGTTCTCCAAAATTTCAGAAAATCAGTTTAGGAAATATTCGCAATTACTAAAGCAAACATGGATCCACTTTCATGGCACATAGAACTTGAAGAAGAACACTTCCTAAGAAGTGCCCTTTCTGCACCACCTCAATTTACTATGTAGCACTTTATAGTGTTTTTCAATAAATTAATTTTTTAAAAAACTTTATGAGACTTCTGAAATTCTTTTTCAAAGGTTTTATTACCATCCTTTTTTATACAATTATTTTTAATTTGATCCTCAAAATATTTTGTTACGAAATTAATAAAATTATGGGTAGGCTGAGTAGATATTTCTCTCTTTAGATCTCTAGATTCGAGTTTAGATGCCTTTTTGAATAATAGAGTAAAATGTTGCCATGAACTTTCTTCAACAAACAAATATAACTCACTACAGCACACGAAGAGACATCATTGCTCAAAAGCCGTCATGGAACACAGACGTTTTGAGAATTTTAGATACCTTTGACATTAGAGAAATGATTTTAAGGAGTGTTCTACATAAAGAGGAGTAAAATGGAAGAACATTACCTACTCTTCATTGATAACTTTTCCCCTCATACCAGTTCAATTTTGAAGGAGGATATAGTATTGACAAACACAGAAGAGGTAAAATTTTTGTCGGGTTTTTATTCAGGTAAGTATTGTTGTACGTATCTTACAATATTTATTCATACAGGAATTTAAAAAAAAGAGGGATTTAAGCTATTCAGCATTTATAAAATTAAAGCTAAATAGTGAAAAATATAGCTTTAAAATTAAAGCCCCGTGGTAAAATGAAATACATCAAAGGTCTGGATTGCTGAACTTAAAAAATTAGGGGTGGTACTTCATTAGTACCATTTACCTGCCATTCCCACTGAATTAATTCGATCAGTACTTTAAGCTGAAAAAACAAATTGTCTACAAATCAAAGTAAGAGACCTTCCATTTTTAAAGCTCCACTGTTTTCTCTTAGGCGTAATTCATTCAAGTACTTTATAGGAAAACTTAGTAAAATATTTGCGCTAGAATCACATTTTGAAGACTGTGTACAGAAATCACGAATTTCGTTTTGCAATGCTGCAGACTTATTATATTTTTTAATCTGAAAATCAACCAACACGATTTCTTGAAACTTCTATTGATTATTCTCTTCTGCTTAAAGAATATTCTCAGAAAGTTTCAAGCAAGACCACTCCACACAGGGCAATCATTGCACATCTTTTTGAAATTTACTCTCCTAACAGGCATCAATTGACTACAATCAGTGTGATGTCCAAGTGGCTGCTCTCATAAGAAATGTGTTGCATTTAAATTTCCCGCAGTAATGAGCGGTTAGGGTTTCAAAAAAGTTCCATAAGAATGACAGACCTGTGTGGATAGGTCTTGATTTCAAGAGATAAAGTTTGATTATTTTCCTCTAAATATATCAGAGGAAAAATTCTGATTCTGAAATACTAAAAGTAAGATGCATGGTTTCTGAGTTTAGTCCTGTGCCTACATGGCATGAAAGAAAAAAAATAATTTACGTCAGTTCTAACAGCTGAACTTTTTCAGGGCAAGGATCTGCTTTGTCCAAGTTTAGTTAGTAAACTATTCTTTATACAGCTTTGTCATTTTTCACTATCAGTCCAACACAGAAGAGTCTGACAGACACCCAGGCAGGGTTTTTTGTACTCATGACCTATTGTTGCAATTCAACAACAACAAAAGTATCTTACAAAAAATTACAGTATTATTGATTATAGTGATAATAAAGTCTTTTGATCAGGGAACATTGCATAAAAAACTATAACAAATCGCACTGCTTTGGATCTAACATGCAATTATGTATGCATTGCAAATCAGTACATAAACCTTCCGGGTAGAGTAGTTGATTAAAATTCTTAAGATTGAAAGAAGTCAAAGGCGATAGCTTGAAACTCATTCTTCTCTACAACACTTCATTGACTAGCGAGGATAAAATTTTTGGTTCGGAAATAAATTACATATCAGCTGCTAAAAGTGTTGGCCAATTCTGCCAAATGTGAAACTGAGGATAACTTCAGCACTAACAAAAAAGAAAATATAGAAAAAACCACATCAAAATAAAATTTCATGTGTCGTTCCATAAAATAAAAAAGTTATGAGTTTGAAACTTTTGATCTTCTCCAGTTACAAAGTTTAGTCTTTAAAGTACTGCTTAATAATGTAACTTAAAAGAGCAAATCTGATGCCTTTTATTTTGATACACTTCCACGGTATTTATTTTAAACTGAGCTGGTAAAGGTACACTGAAGTTGATTGAGGAGGTTCAAAAAGGTTTAGCACCTGATAGAAAAATGACTTCTTGATTAATTAGATCTTCATCTTCTTACGAAATAGAGATTGCAAATAGTAAGAATGATACTTGAGAGTTGCAGTTGGTAAGAACCACAATAAATCTTTAAAAAATCTTAAAATAATATTTTTACTTTCTCGTTTTTGTATTCCTTTTAACTTAAGCTATGAAATCAAAACTGAACTGACACTTCGTACAAATAACTTAAAAATGACTCTTCTTACACTGACCACGCAGTAGTTTTTGTACAAACTTCAAATTTACAGAGTATTGTTTGATAATATCACATCAAAAATGAAACACAAAAAGGTTAATAAATATTTTTTAGGCGAGAGATAACAGTAAACATACTTATGATAATAATTAAATAAAAAGTTGAAACAAGTAAATATAGAATAGTTTGAATCTTGTTTCAAACATCCAGTCAGTACACGGTGCTGAGAGTAAAATATTTCACTATTCAATGACGTTTGCGCAATAGCTGATACCTGCAAAAAAAAAAATGGGGAGGATATTACCTACTCTGGAAACGTTATGACTCGGAGAGTATGTACCTTATACAGTATCATAAACATTAAAATATTGCCTGCTGCAGCTTTCGGGCGTATGTACAACTGACTTGGCAAGCATGTAAAAAATTGAGCTTTTCATTTTTACAGATCATTTTTATGGTAAATTAAGAGGGTTATAAAAATTACTTTGCTTATGTATATTTTCTTGCTTCTACATAGCCAATGGAAAGGTAAAAAAAATGGATATCATTGAGCTTCCAGAGATGATTGCCCTTCCGCAGACCCCCGGAGCCAAAGAGCCCCCCTTTAAAAGTTCTGTGGAGTACATATTTCCTAAAATGGCCATATTAAATCTACAAATGCACAATACGTATACATTGGAGGGTCCAAGTGCTCTGCAGCAGCATATTTTTACAGTTATCCTGGGCCTGTTGACATCTAGCGGCCGCACAGGAGCCAAATGCGTTGGGTCCATAGACTTGATGCACCTCACAATGTACTGATCAACTAATAAAGTGCGTCAATTATTTTAAAAAGTACCAGACTAGGTCAACGGTTAAAATAAAATTTAAAAAACTCACTAATCAGAGAAAATTCTTGACTATCCGAAGCGCGTTTGGACCCGTTGGATCATCATCAGGGCGTGAGTCACGCCCTGACCGTCATCTCACACATGAAGTAGAGCCGTATTTGAATTTTAATGCAGGTTTACAATTTTTTAACCTTGAAACTAACTATCAGTAAAAATTTTTGGCAGAGGATGTTACTAGTTTAACTTTTTTGATATGATGTTAGAAAATGTTGATATTTCAAAATTAATCCTCACAACTCTTTCTTAACAGAATATTTTTAGAATGAAAGTTGTACTGTTAAAAAAAAATGTGATTTTTATTTTGCATGACTGAGGAAACCATATAATACTTCAGAAGGGCTGTTTGCACTTACCTCCTGCGACAACGTTCATTGTCAAGCCAGTCTTGATATTTATACCACCACTCTTCCCATTTAACATAATCGCTAAGTGATAAGTCTCGGAGGTATCCCTGTTTTTTGTAGTAGGCATAACGAGTTCGAACGTCATCCCAACTACCCTCGGCAAGAGCAGCTGATGATGGCCTGAAAAGCAAAAGAATGAATTATGTTTCAATTTTAGAAATAAAACAAATTTTTTGATCTGCCTGCACTAACATTGCCTGTCAGAGTGGTTATAGTGACCATCTTTCCATGTGGTTTTCTGAGGCTAAAATAGTTGTAATGACTGGTGTTTTCCGGGGAGTTTTTCCATGGCAAGAACGTTAGTTGCAGATCTACCATGGAAGTAACCAGATAGTACATATGATCATGAGCCTAACCTGTGCCAGAAGTGTAGAAAGTTTTAGCCTTCTTCACATATTTCTAAGCGCCTGTCGGTAACTTTTCTACATTTTCTCTATTAGTTTCCCAAAGAATTTTCTACTAATTTCAAAATTGAAAACTTTTTTTTCATGCCAGATGCTTGTAGAAAGTTTTAATGCCTAATGCTTAATAAAACATCTAAGAACATGGGTGACGCCTGCTACTTCCTCCAATCGACTAAATTGTATGCGTTCAAAAGACTTTGAACAGTTGCAATATGGGCTTAATTGAATAATTTCATCTAATTTACTAGACCCTTCAACATTGGTACTATCCTCCCAAACTTTTTAATAATCATAATTTAGTGAGAGCAAAAGTGGGCAAAGGAACAAAACCGCTTAACTGACAATTTCAGCGAGAATGAGTTAACGACTTCGCCGCATTCTACAGGAAAAATACCTAAGCTAATGTTTGTAGTTTTTTCCAATTCCGCATGGAAGTGCTGTAATGTATATAAAGAATCGCAAATCTAACCTCTGAATCACAGAGATGGCGAATTATTTTCTTCATCCTGAAAAATCGTCCTCTTGCAGATGGGCGGAATTGTTCCTTAGCCATCGTTATGCTTTCACAGTCATAAATAGACAAAATAAAAGCTTTTCAGCAGCTGTTTTTTTGCTATTCTTTAAATAGGGTGTGTTAAGATTACTCAGAGCTTCACATTTTAACAGCCCTGAAAAGTTACTAATTTCAGACAAGAAAGGGTGGAAGGAGAGTATGTCTATATTTACCCAGGAAATGGTGATGGAGGCGAGTCCATTTCAACAGTAAACTGATCCCCAGAGGTTATTTTCAAATTGCGATGATGCTCCAGGTCTCTATCGATGCTCCACTGAGCCATGCGTCCAAAGCGTTCTGAGAGAGTCATGCGAGGCTGCGGAGAAGGTGAACTGGAGTCATCTGAATTTGATTCTGTTTTGATGGGACGTGGCTGAAAATTTGGAGGATTATGATTAGTAAAGAGATCATCGGATTCAAGAGATAACTGATCGGATGCTACATAGGAATGAGAGAGACTTTTGCATCGAGCTTGGAACCAAGGGGCGAATTCCACTTGTACCTGGACTTGGCACAACTATTCATGCGTTTTCCATATGTTTTGAATGGACACCCTTATTAACCAACACTGTGTGACTAAATAAACATGATTTTGCATGGTAATTTTTTGCTTCCTTTTAATACTATGGTTTGATGCGCCTGATAAGCTTGCTTCATAAAAGATTTTTTCTTTTTTTCTTTTTTTTTTTAAACTTCAATATTTTTGTAATTGACCACTAGACACGGAGCGAATTTGAGCATGATGATAAATTTGTTCTGATCAAGAGTTCACATAAAACGCAATTTGTACAATGAACTATTACTGAAAGAAACTCATGACCAAGATGTTAACGTTTTGATGCATAATTTCAAACTTCCCGCTCATAGAAAAAGCAATAATCTGCTTGAGCTAAATCGCACACTAAACATTACCATGACGCAATATGAAAATATGCCTACCTCAATCTTGGTGTTTCAGCTCAGCTATTGTATGTTGTTTACACTATGAACAACACAGGGTTGGGAAGGAACACTCTTTGATTAGGAAGCCTGCCAAAACCACTGTAGTGCGCAATTTGATTCAAGTAGACTTTGGTTTTTCTTGTGAGCGAGAAATTCAGATTTTTTGTAACCAATGCAAAATGTAAACAATAATACCTTGGTTTGGAGAGGATATTAGTTATTTCCATCACACATTCTCAAAAAGATATTTAAGAAGCAACATAAATCAGAATGCTTAAGTTCATACTTTGTCTAGCGGTCCATTCTAACAATCAAATGAGACAAAATAAAATCCTTTTCGCGTACATTTTTGGATGTTGAACTTGCATTATGGCTACCTTAACAAGGACACTTACAACTATAGAGGCCATAATTTTGCAATCCAATGCTGCCACAGTAGATAGCAATTGTAGAAAAGAGAAAGATCAGGTGAAATGAGGTACAAAATGATGTCTCCCTCCACAGCTGTTGATGCTATCAAGACAGTTCTCAAAGGCGTTATCTTTGCTTCCTTTATCTCTTCAGTCAGAGCATTAGCACACCTATAGACTTGAGTAAACCTACTTGGATTAAATAAAGAGCACATATTTGTATCATCTCATTTATCAGCAAGATGTGCAAGTAGAAGAAGAAAGAAGAAAAGAACTGAGTACATATTTAAAACCTGAATTTATTGCTATCTATGCATATGAAAAGACCCCTACATCGCTTACTCTTAAGATTTTCGCAAGTGGACCTCACTTGATTTCTCAAAAGTTGAATGATAGATACCTTGAAAAGACTCCTTTCACGATCGCGCTTCTTTTGTTTAGATTTCCGCTGCTTTTCTTTTAACTTTTCATTTTGGGCTCGTAGACGTGGATCTGGTCGAACTGATGATCTTGGCACCGAAAATGAGCGAGACCTAGGAAAATGACAAAAATTATAATTTAAAAACTAATAAAAAACGGGTGAGAGACAAAAACTGTGTAGGTTCTGTTACAATTCGATGCCAAGTTTCAGTACCTTTGAGCATAAAGGTCAAAACTGCATTTTTCCTGTATCAAAGTATGACAGGAATACTGGCCCCACTGCTTCTCATGTAATTCAAAATGTTGTAAGTTTTTCATCTTGCATCTGGCATTAGATATCACCATCAAATTTAATTAGGTACTTGTATAGAGGTTTTTCTAGGTAAACTGAGAATGTTCACAACTCAATCTTCTCAGAAATGTTGGTTACACCTCTTTTACCCTATACTCCATATTTACATACTGCTACATTCTAAAAAATTAACACATTAACTGCCATGGTTTGCCTTACGATTTCTGGCAAGTTGAGAGATGCAAAAAAAAACTTGCAAGCATGACAGACGTCACTCTAGGGCAGCAGTAGCGTCATCAAATTATATAAAAATGGCTTTCATAAGCGCCGCCCCTAGGACAACAAACATGTACACAGTTTTTCAAAACCTGTGAGATGTTGACACAAATAGGAGGCCAAATAGAGTCTAAGAATGGATTGCATTTGTCGGAAGAAAACCAGCTTGTTTATAATGTTTTCAAAATTATGCAACTTTTTTGCTTCAAAATATACTGAACAGAGGAACAATAAACAATTTTATCAATATTTTACTTTAAAATTAACAATTTTTTTGTAAAAAAATTTAGGCTGTGCGAATAGTGAATTTTCCGAATGAAGCTAATAGCGAATAATTTCGGTAACTATTCGTGAATAGCGAATAATTTAAGTCAATTATTCACAGCAACGAAAAGTAAAACGAATAATTCGAAATGACTTTTTTAAGTGTGAAAACTTGCAAATATTACAAAAGGTACTCTTGGAGCAACCAAGATATGCGGGCCAGTCGCAATTGCGCTTGCTGTTCGTTAATTCGTCAATGTTGGTTAAGATCAAAGAAGATCCGCTGTTCGCAACGTCTTGGATGGAAGCGGAAGCCTTGCGCAGGTCCTCACAACGTTTCACGATTGCCACTCGGAAATTCGTTATTTTTGATGGCGCGAATATTTGAAAATTCATTCCTCGTGACAGCGCAAATATTTGAAAATGTCAGTTCAAAAATTCACTATTCGCGATGGCGCGATTAATCGCAATTTGCGAATAGTGCGCGAGGCAGACGAAGCGAATATTTGGCAAATATTCGCGGCGCGAATAGTCGGAATTGCGAATATTCGCACAGCCCTATAAAAAATCAAAAAGTATTTGCCATTCTAGGCATTCTTTTTAAATGGACGGAGTTAAACAGAAAGGAACCAAGCCACGTCGGGATCGAACCGAGAAAAAGAGGTTTAAAGTTTGGCTCCTGCATAAGACTCAATGTAAAAGATAAACTTCAAGTTCAATTTCTGCAAAATTTGCTCCAACAAAAACTTTGAATTTTTGGCGACAGAGAGTAGAGCAGTGGTTGAGTTCAAAACCACTCATAACTCAATTTTTTCCATAATGTGTGTTGGTTCCTTTCTGCTTAACTCAGTCCAAATGAAGAAGAAAATGGACAGTCTTCACAACAATGAAATTGAGTTAGCTCTCTTCTATTGAATACAATCCAAATAAAGCTTGCACAGTGAACTTCCTTTGAAGCAAACTGCAGGCCAATTATTAAAATTTGTAGACAAAGCTTTAGACAAAAAAGACAAAAGGGATATGGGTGGATCCTATTGGTGGAAGTAGGTGGTTGCAATGGACAAAGGTGGTAGGTAATAGACTAACTAATGGCAATCCACAAGAGACCCTATACATAGTCCATCATTTTCTCCTTTAGTCTGTAGGAACCACCCATTCCGACCAATAAGATAGCTTTATACTCCATATGTCTTCTTTATCTATCGCTTTGTCTATCAATTTCAATAATCAACATGCTAAGGCTGATATAAGTTGCAAGGGTTGAAAATGAAAAGCTTGAAAAAAAATCTGTGGTTAAAGGTACCTTGATCGAGGTGGTGGTGGCCTAGGGAGAGGCGATCTTGGCCTCAAACGGGGCTCTTTTGGTGGGAGCCGTTCCTTTCGTACTCTTTCACGAGATTTTGGCTTTGGTGAGCAAACGCTACAATGTGAATCTGAACAGCTGCTGAGAGAACCTGAGCTGCCACTTTCGGACCTCCGCTGGAAATATAAACATAAAAAGCTCAGGTTAAGTTTTGTGAACCAAGGCTTCCAATTTGAGGAACTTGAGTACATATTTTAGATTGATAATACATAGGTAAAGAAAAAAAGGAGAACGAATTGGGGGCACAGTAATTAAGTAGTAAAAAGTTATTAAAACACTATGTAGATAGAGCAGTAACTATGATTTAACAGATCAAAGAGGGCTCAATTCATCGGAAATTTGAATCTTCATTCGGTCCCTTTGCTTATATTTAAACACTTTGAAAAATGGATTTTTCCTTTAGATGGTTGTAGCAGATTAATTTTTAAAGTGCATAATTACAAAAGAGTTTCAAAAATCAGCTGCGATTCATACCAGAGAGAGGACAAATAATAAAAAGCCAGTCTCATGCGCCCCACATCCGCCAATTTTTGCGTTGTAGACTGTAGTACAAAATCTGTATTGTATTCATTAATGATGGTTCTTTAATTCAAGAAAGATCATGGAGGAGGTATCCGATCATCCACACAAAAACAACTTTCTGAGGAAGTCACTACGCATGCGAGAGAAATTTTAGTAAGATTTAAAGAAATTAAAGTTACCCTTGCAGGAGGGGATGAAAGTTTCCTGACTCTGGCAACTGGCGACCTAGCTCTTGGAACAGGCGATCTAGCTCTTGGAACTGGAGATCTCGCTCTTGGAACTGGAGATCTAGCTCTTGCGACTGGTGACCTGGCTCTAGCAATTGGAGATCTTGGAGGCTTAGCCGAGGGAGATCGGGGCCTCGGAACTGGAGAACGCAAACGGCCAGGCGGTGAGCGAGTGTAGGAATTCCGTCCCATTGGACTGAGCGGACTCCTTGAATGTGAGGACCCACGTTTTTCTTTATCGACGTACATTTTCTTGAAACCAGTGTGCCTCCACCTAAAAACAGAAAGGGACAAAATGATTTAATTCCTAAAATAACTTTCAAATTTACTTATTGACCTTGTGCCAAGATTATAATTTAATGGGGTGGGGGGGGTAATAAAAATAAATAAATAAATAAATAAATAAATAAATGCAAGCAAAGATGCGGCAAGAGATGTTGCCAATATACCTCAGACTACCCTTTTTCTAGGTGGGCTTTATCAGTTTACAGGCCAGAGAGGTAACCCATCTCAAATTCTAAGGTTCATGATGAAAAAAATGCCCAACTGAATCTTTCACTATCCAAAGACCCGTTGGTGTTGAGGGGAAAAAACGTGGAGTCAGTGTAAAGTAGGCAAAATGCTTGGCGAGGGGTTACACCAATTGAAGTCTACCGGCATCAGTTAAGGCTGCTCCAAGTGCCGGCCAGCTAGGCCAAAATGCATAAATCCCCCGAATGATTTAAGGATGCAACTTGCAGAGTCAACGATAAATAATGTTAATGGTTTTTGTCCCTTTTTTCAACTTTATGACAACAATTTTGATATATTGCCCAGCCGAATAAATCTGGTGAAATATGTTTTTGAAACTTCTTAATCACCTTCAAAAAGGGCATCCTAAAGAGAAATAATAATAATAATAAATAATTAAAATTACATTTTAAGAAAAATTAATGTATCTAAAGCATTGACAGTTTGAAATTAAATGGAAAAGACAGATTAATCATTTTCTACTTATCAATCCACAATCAACTTGTCACTGATGGGTCTGTTTTTCAGTGTGGTTGTTATCATTGACTTGAACATTTTGAAGCTCTTACACCTTGAAAATTAGAATTTGATTTACTTATTTCTATTTTAAATTCTCAATTTAAGCTTAGAAAAGCAGAGCTAGGCAAGTGTGCTGTTTAAAGTATCGTTTACTACAGGAGTGCAGAATGTTGACGATCAGTCGGGCTATATCTTGCAGGTGAACAGTGTACACTCCAGCGGTATCGCGCTGATTTTTTGTTAAACGTACTTCGAGAGCATAGATTTTTTATCAGATTACAGAAATTGCACTAGTTTATGATAAAATTACTTCAATTGCACTTAACATTTGTCAAATTTACTTCAACCGCACTTATTTTTTGTCAAAATTACTTCGACCCTGCGGTGTAATAGTGCGTAGGGAAAATTTGCATTTTGCTGGTGAAAGCGTTCACTGATAAACTTTCTGTATCCCTGATTGACTGTGAGCTTAATGCCCTTCTAGCGTATTTATTTGCAAGCACACTGACCCAGGGGTTACACTGTTTGCAAACAACTTGTGAAAGTTTGATCAGGATTAGACACAGATAGTCCGTGATGGTGGTGTGGGCTGAAAAGGAATCTGGACCTCTGTGAACTCTCATTTTTTGTATTGAAATAATTACCTGTTAGGGTCTTTTTCTTCTACTTCCAAAAGTTTTTTGTTCCAATATTGACTCTGAGAGCCATTGTCTTTCCGTGCTTTCTTCATCATGTTGTCCAATTCCCGTCGTCTTGGAGGAGATGCTAGAAAAACATGGGAGAAATCTTCATTTTAGAAAAGACAGTTTGGGTAAGTTTGTGAAGACTAATGGAGGAATTTGAAAAATTTAAAGACAAGATTTATCACAATGGTTAGAACTTTGAATCCTTATCTTCGCTAAATTATACACCTATTTTTGATGATAGACTATTATTGAAATATCATGCTAATTTATTTTTAACGATATTATTGCATTTACACAATTAATATATTTTTCGGCTCTCAACATATGAGTACCCATTCATTAGCAATAAAATAGTTCCTGAATTTTTTCTACTAGCAGAATTAATGTGTATACTGTATTTCCTCCTTTTTTCCTGCATTTACTTGCAACGAAGGAACCAAACTCTTAAAGAGGTACCCTTGTGTTGGGAATGAATTTAACTGAGAGGAAATTTCAGCATATATTATTACCAAGTCCTCTGCGACCACTAGACTTCCCACTGTACTCGTCCATGCGCAACCTTGTCTTTTCACGCTCGCGACTTCTCCTTGAGCTCATTGTCTACCTATTAAAAAAAAAATAAGAAAACAAATTTTAATACCAAGGAGAATAATTGAAAAAAGAAACTATATGCAACTAATGGAAAATTAACGCAGATTACTAAACAATTGAATGAACTTATAGTTCTTGAAACTAAAATTATTTGAGGTGTATTGCATCATGAATGATGAGTAACAGAAGAATTTAGATTTAAAAGAGATTTCGTTTGTTGATTTAGTCTCTTACGCTTTGACGCTTCAGGTAATTTTTGTAAAAATACTGATACATTGAGTGTCTATCGTATTAACCAGTTAATGCAAAAAAAATGTTGCAGAGACGCAGAATTCTCTTTTAAATAGGACATATTGGTGTCAAAGAAAAATTTTGCCTCTCCATCTTCTCTTTAAGACGTGAATGACACAAGAAGAGCATCTGAAAGAAGAAATGATTTTATCTTGAATTGGAATTGAGCTTCATAGTTATTCCTGTAGAGAAATAAGTCTTGATTAAGACAATCTCTCATCATCATTTGTTTTTTTTTTTTTAAAACTTTGAGTTTATTGTCCATCTATTTACAAAAATTGCAATATGACATCTTGATATCCCTACTATTTTGTCTCAGATGTTAGCGACAGAGCACATTGATCATAATCAGACGCTTAGAGAACATTACGTTTCAAAGTGGTGAGAATGATCCATGAGCTTCACCAGCGAATGGTCACAGAATGAATTGTCTGAAAATAAACATTAGGAGACTAAAATATGGATACTGTACATTTATTATGATAGATGTTAGGTATTGTGTCTGGATATTTGCGTGAATAAGTAGTAGTAAATTATGAATCTACTTTTTAAATTGGGTGTAATCTGCACCTCAAGAAGTGGCAGAATATAGAGAAAAAAAGTTGGCGTTTGCACTTCGGGCATCTTGGAATTTTTTGATGATGTAGGTTGTTCCGGACGATTTTAATCATCGATTTTCTTGGAAGGGGTGTAGAAAAAAGTCATTCTGTATAAAGTGTTGGAAATTATATCATGAGTTGATTAAAGCAGAAAACTGGAAATTACGGTCCATTTTTCATACTTCCAATTCCAGATTTTGCCAGAGTGCCTACCTGTTCCGGCCTATGTGACGGGGTAAACAATCCTCCTGAGTCCTGATGCAAACACCTCCTCTTTTTCTCTGCGGTGGCAGGTGACAGGTAGAGATAGGTGAGCAGCTCAGTCAAAAGTTAGAAGAAAGATTAGCTCTGATGAGTCTAGGTCGTTTGTTTGAATGAGCTAATGAACTTGTAATTCAACCCTTAAGCTATACCCTGAGATAGTCACTAACTTTGCCCCTCACCCTACGATTGGAACAAATCTTAATTTTTTGCGGTGACCCATGAAATAATCTTCCACGACAGTAATTTGATGGTACGAAATTTGATCCAAAATGTACAAAAGCTGGAGAGGGGCTTTAGAAAAAGTGAGAGAAAAAAAATAGGAATAAAGAAGTGGAATGAAGACATCAAAATAAAAATAAGGAATGATATTCATACCTCTGCATGTTCCATAAAGCGTAAAAAGAAAAAAACCGAAAATAATAACGCCGCGCCGCGAAAGAAAAAATGGACAATTCGATGCCGGAACCGGAAAATCAGCAAGCAATGATATGGAGAGAGGGTGCGACTGAGAGGATGAGGATAAAGGTGTAAACTTAGGTAAACTGAAGCTCTTATCGAAGGAATTCCAACAGGATATGGGCATTACCGAGCGCGGACAACTTGCAAAACAATGGTATCCGACGTCAGAGAGAGCACGCGCACGAAAACCATAGTAGGTTATAAGTAAAACGGACCCGTACAAGCTGTCATGAGTTTTGATACGAAAAGGTATTCACGGAAACATGATGACCGGTGAGCAAACCAGTTTGTCACACGACTGACAAACCAGACCGAAACCGCTGAGATCACGAGCGCCAGATCCATTTCGCCACAATACCGTACCGGCTGAAAAATCGATTTCGCCATGAGAACACCATGAAAGGACGCATACTCACCAAGCGATCAGTGGGTAAAGAAAAGAAACCGGTTCTACATAAGCTGCTCATAGCACTGCAGCTACACCGTGGTTGTCGAGTACCGATGATAATTTTCACTCGCACACTACCGTAACAAGCTGCCCGGAGCACTGCAGCTTTCAGCGCACGTGCGGTTAACCATGAGATGTCCATGGGTATGCCACTGCAGAGCCACTTCCTATCTTCCTCGTCAGAGATCCATGAGCTATATATTGAAGGCATCATGGACGATAAATAACAGGCGCGCATCAATGGAATCCTGCTACTAATCCCCACAACAGATGGTGGATGGATCCACGCAGCGTTGAACTAAACTCTAGGTACGGAATTTAATTACATGCCCCCTTCGAAGCATGCTAATTGGACACAAAAAGAGGATAGCTCTTAAAGTGTTGGGGTATCTGTGAATAGTCAAATACGTAAGTCATCATGAATTTACATCTTACTTACAATATTGATATCACTGAAGTTCGCTTCAGGTAAACTTCAGTTGTAAATATGAAATGTTTCAACCTCTCGCTTGAACTTGTGCTTACTTGCTCGACACGCAACAAAAGTGTCTCGCTATATTTTGAAAGTAACTACATCTTACAACAAATTGAATCAACTAAGAGCTACCCTCCGATTGAGATATATAGTAAAACTTCCTCAGTGATGATTGTTAGTATGAAAGCATATGCATAGCTCCAGATGGAAGTCAACTGAAGTATTGGCATTAGCCGAAATCGAGACATAGTTGCTGATTAATCGTTGTCAGAATTCGGCGTCCATGATCCTCAATGGCTGAATGAATGGTTAAATAGTGATGATGGTATAGAACAGCGCAGAGCCAAAACTCCATGGCGAGACATTTTTTCATTTGTATGACCGACACACTGACGAACTTACCTCGAGACACGACACCTTCAATAGCGGATTGAATTCTCCCGAGTCTCACGGACTTTGACTTACGGTTTGATTTCCGGTCAGAACACATCGAGTCGTATAGAATAAAGGCTTCGAAAAGGAAGCGAGAAGGCGTCTCTGAATGATGCTGGGTGAAAAATGTATGAACCAAGGTTGAGATGAAGGTACCCCGAATCAGGGGTGAGCCAAATAGTGGGTCCGAAGATGCTGAGATCAAATCACGGACGATTGATTGCTCGGTCGAACATCGGATGCGGCACACGGATTTACCGATGTAAAAATAGGGATAAGAAGCAAGAACTTACGGTTGATCCCGAGAACAGGGGCACTAGGGTAGCCCAGCCGATTCCGATCTCGGTCACGGAGCGAATGCAAAACCGGACGAACAGACGATAGGCGAGACGCCGATCAGGCCGGGCTGGAGAGACTTTCCAGCTGTTTCGTCGATGTAGAACTCACAAAACACTGCACTGCACTACGAATATTACAACGTCGTAGATAGTAATCGTGAAAACAACTATCAGGCGGAGAAGCGATTCTTCTAGTGAAAGAAGTCGTCATTCACCCACCATCTTGCTACTTTCCGGGGTCAGCGCCATTCATTAATATGTTGCCGGTTGGATAGTTATTGAAGTAATAACAAAACAGTGACGTTGCATTTGATACATAGGAGAATTAAAATTTTTTTTTGAAATGACAATATGACAACCCAGCATAGATTGGAAACGTGGCAATTTGATTGGCTCTCATTGGAAGATGATCAGACTAATTCAAAAATTTGATTGGCTCATTTGAATTCTACCGCTCTTTGATAAGACAACAACAACATTAGTTAAAATTTGTAGGTTATATTTACATAAAAGAAGCTACGATGGTTGTAATTTTCTTCTTTCAATCTTTATTTTCAATCTGTTTTCAGTGAAAACTCGTGGTATCCATCGGAAGTAGCAAAAACGCTTCAGTGAACCTGGGTCCAGTGAATCAAAGTGTATTTTACCCTCGATTCCCCCTCGTTTATAATGATTTTATCGCTAACTTCCCGGACGTGCTTGTCAGGAACAAGATTATTTTTTGGGAAAAAGTTACTCTCATCCGTTCTTGTCAATGGTAAGTCATTCTTCATTTGTATTTCCAGCTGATCCAACGTAAAGAGGTATCGCTCATGTATTGCCGCAGCTATATCCTAAATAATTCTCGATGTTGCGACCATGTTTACGTACCTTCTAAAGTTGAATTTTCAATGTGGCAATTAAGGAAAAATAGCGACTGTAAAATGAATTATGAAGAACTCTCACTGCGTTTCTTGAAAGAAAATTGTCAGATGAAGAGCAATCTATGGTTTTGATTTAAATTGATGCTGGTCACCTTCGTTGTCAGCATAATATTACAGCTGTTCTAGATTGATTCTTACATTGTGTGAGTCACGCTGTCGTTGTATGTGAATGATCTACTCAGTTGTTCAGCCTTTTGTCCTTAAATGAGCACGATGCAAAGAATCGTTCTTATTCACACACTTATTTGTAAGTTCTAGGTTTTCTGCACCTCTTCCTACCTGTTTCTGAAAAATAGGGTCAATTCAGCTTTTATTTTTTCTTTTAAAATAAAATGTTTGAATCGCTTATCTGCTTATTGACCCTAAGCACACTGCATTATAGAGCTATATACTTAGCCTGTCAGATTTTATCAGGTTCAATTTTTGCAGCCTATATTTACATCTTGGCGCAACATTGCACTTGCAGCAGGATGGAAGTTATCCGCAATATTTTGGATGAAAAGCCACTAGATCTACAAAAAAAAGATATACCAATATAATTTAAGTCGCAAGGTTTCAACATCATGTCCCCAGTTGTTTTCGTTCTGATGGTAACGTGTACAACCTTTTATTTTGAAATGTATTTTGAGGATATATAATGCCAAAATGATGAAATTTATTAAAAGAGAAGAGTAAAACATACTTCAGGTTCGGAATTAAGTATTTTGTGAAAATTCAAAATGGCAATGCCTCCTACAACTGTTTTATCGGGCTGCTTTTAATAGATGCATCCTATCATATCCTCCTTTGTTTTTTTGTGAGCTTCAGGTTACAGTATCTTAGATTATTTTCTTTTTCCTTTTTTCTACAGACTTGGCTGCACTAAAATTTACCGTCCCAGACCAAATAAGGATCCTCAAAACTTTCAATTCATTAGCATCAAATAATTTTGATACTGTTTGCCGCTTATCAAGTAGCCGACACTCGTTTCAAAATACTTTCATGAGCACCTCCAACAAAGGAGAAAAACCTGCAGATGCCAGCGCTGATACCAGTAAAGTAAAAGTTAATCCAATGAAGGAGAAATTGAGATTGGCTGTCAGAGACTATGGTGCTACAGTTATAGTGTTCCATATTGGAATATCACTCATATCCCTGGGAACATTTTATTTAGCAGCATCAAGGTAAGTGTAGCTAAAATTTATTAACAGAACATTTCTATTCCAGCAGAAACTCCTCAAGAAATTCACGGAGAAATGTTCTTTTTTGTGGTTTGTCTCGATTGGAGTTTCTTAAAGCTAACTAATTGACACATCCTAGACCATCCTAGGCAAGAGGTGACTAAATACCCGTGTAAGGAAAATAAATTTTCCTAAGAAAATAAAAATTCTCTTCACTCACTATTCTACAGCAGTCTCGTTCTTTTGCCTCTCAGTTTGCAAAATATCAATTGAAAGAAATATAGTGTGCAGCATGTCGGAACTCTGCCAGCAGGCCTGCACCAGTTTATCAGTCCATTTTTTTCTTTGCGCCTTTGCCACACTAATAAAGAGACTTACCACATTCGAAGGAAATACATTACTATGTTAACAACAGACATTTTTTTAATAGACAACACTTAGTCTTGCATTGAATTCTCAGAAAATTTGCTCTTACAAGAATGCTGCTCCTCAGACTACAGCCTTTGTAGCCTAATGGCAAAGCTGGCTCTGGACACATTCAGAAGATGACAAAACCCAGCCCCTACATCAAAATATTCAAAACGTTGGCATGAAAGTAGTAAATTTTACTTAGTAAAATTTTTCAGCAATTTTGAACAAAATATTTTACAGATTTCTTTCCACAATTCTCAGTTTCTAAGGAAATGTTTTTCAAGATCGTTTCTTCAATGAATGGTTAAAGTAAAAATTGAAATGTAGAAGAAGAATTATCTTAAAAATTGCTGCTTCCAGAAATTTCTTTGGTGTATAATTTCAAAATGAAAATAAAAAAGTGAAAATTCGTTTGAATAGTGAAAATGAAATGCCAAACCAAGAGCAAATACCAATAAATTGCTTAATGCCTTATGAAAAACCAGCAGGTCATGCAAAAGGGGAAAAAATGCCTTTTCTTATTGGCTATACTGTAAGTCACAAAATCAGTCTTCATGGGAAAAATTTAAAATAAAAAACGCTGTCATTCAGGGTTAAGGGATGGTCTCAGAAGCAAGAATCAGTCACAATCTCACTTTAAAATGTTCTCTCTCTTGGAAATCTCCTCAATCCACGACAACCTCCTGCTGTTTGAAAGGAGGATGGTCTCTTTAAAAATCCATGGAAAAATGAAAAGCTATCAAATATTTTTTCGCCTAATCTTCTTGATTAAAATATGTATGTCTTGGCCAAACAAGTTGACATATTTTTAGTGCGCAACAGAAGATCCACCATTTTGATTCTTGTATTGACTTTCAGTCCTAATCTGAAAACAGATGATCTTCTGTCACCTTATTAAAGTGTAGGATCTTATTTGGGCGAACTTTATCAACTTTCATCTCTGGAAACATACTTAATTTACTTTTTTTTCTATTTTTATAGTGGTTTAGATGTGGAGGGAATGGCTCAATCAGTTGGATTTGATGGTCCTGTCACCGCAGCCACAGTCGGTAATGCTGGTACCTTTGTTATTGCTTATGCTATTCACAAATGTTTTGCTCCGGTAAGAATAACTATCACTCTTACGGCTGCACCATTCATAGTTCGATATCTTCGTAGTAAAGGTATTTTGAAAGTGAAACCCCCTCAATAAGTTCCCCAAGATTCACAACTCTGTTAATGCTATAAGAGACTCTCTCTGATTATTGCTGTTTAATGGAATAGCAAATGCCAACAGCCAAATAACTCAAAAACGAACAACTGCTATCACATCTGCCTATGTCCCAACATTACTCTCCTGAGAAATTACCGATTGTACTTATTCCAATGGTCGCTATGGCTGAGCTTTTTGGTTTTCTCCTTTTTATTGCTCGGGGTCAATCCTTTTCTTTTGCTCACTTACTTAACTAACTTAAGTGCGAAGTGCTAAGCATGGAACGCAGTTGTTTTAATTGATTATGAAATCTAACCTACAGAGAATTTCTGGACCTCAGTGTTTGAGTAGAAATTGATTTGGGAGTGTTTAGGACAGTTATTGAGCCTAGACATTCAACTTATTAATGTACTTTAATTGATGGATAACCCAACATGATAGGGCTTCATTCCTTACGGTCCTTTCATTAAGGCACAACACATTGATTGATCAACCCTCTGTAAAGTAAAGGTAGATACTGATCGTGATGAACATAACTCTTGCAATCAAACTTTCTGATAAAAATTAAAATTTTGACTGTTACATTGGTTTGCATAAAGTTATGTTTGTAATTAGAAAGCATATAATGTGTTTTAAATTTTCCATTTGTATAATAATTAATTTAGTGGTAAGCTATTAATTGATTATTGTCAATTTTGTCAACATCGGGTTTCTTCTTTCTTTGTTAGACTAATTAGACTGCAATAGGCGAATTGTATCCACAGATTTAGGATTTCTCTTTGTTTGTGGCTCATGTGATGCTTTGACAAGAACAACTGAGTCCATGCTGAAAGTTGGACCCCTACTGAACGATTGAATTTTGTGTTTTTGGATAAGTTCTTTTTTATCACATTCTTGTTATTTTCCAAATGGTTGTTATGTACATACAAGATAAATAAATTTATAATTATTGTCATCAATCTCATTTCCTCTTTATTTTGCAAAACTAATTTTGTAACAGCAAAACTCAAATTAGTGTGAATGGTGAAACAGATGAAAAGGAAGCTCCCAAAATGCACATGATTCTACCTTCAAAAAGTACGAAGGAAGAGGGATAGGTAAAAAAATTGGCGTGTGTGGTTTTTCTGACAAAAATATATATTATACTATTAACCTTCCACAGTAAAGGTACAAAAATAAGTTTTTCTGAAGACTCTAGTCATGACCGATTAGAACTAAAAACCGGTTCGAGGCAAAAACCTGTTCGAGGCCGGTTCGGTCTTTCAGACTTGGTGTGATGTTTGACATCTAATAAATGCAGTGAGCTGCCAAGATCCTACGCAAGTTTGCACACTAATGGCTGCTCAGGGATTTTTACTCATGCTCTTAAGGGAATTCCTAGTCCGATAGAACTCGACCCTGGTTTAGGTGAGTCACCATCGATATATAGTAAGATGTTTGGGACATCTTCACATTCTTCTTCTTGGGAACAAATTCACTTACACAAAAGCATTACAAATGCTCCTGTAAGTCTTCTCATAAAATCTTAAGTACAATAGGAATTTTAGACCCATTACATCGACTCACTGATCTCATACTGATAGTTGAGTAAATTTGACTGTAGCTCCTGTAATAAAAAAAAATGAAGAAATCAGAAGATGAATTGTACATTAGGGAAATGTCATAGGTTAACAATTAATTCATGTATTACAGTGAAATCTTTCATTAAGAATAATTCGTAATAGATACTGAGACTGTCATACATTGAAATGAAATGTTCAAGTGAAGAAAGTTAACAATGCAGAGAAACTGATACTCAAATAGTTGGTCAGAACTTCATGACTGAAATTACAAAAAAAAAGTTTGGTAAAAAAATGGTTAGGGGGAGAGGTGAAACTCCTTTTCTAAACTTGGCTTATGTAATGTCAAGGATAAAAAATGAACCACTTTACCAATAATTTTTAAGCATTTTTCAAGACCCGTGTAATTTTTCTCCAAATGCACAGTTTTCTTCCCATATCATAAGCCCTAATCGGCAATTTTTAGTTATGTTTGAAGGGAGATCGCTGTTGCCTTTGTAATTGAATCAGGACGTGCTAATGTCCATTTTATCAGTCTTAACCTTTTTCGAGTTCATTATACTTTTCGGAGTTGGTTGCGACCCCGAAAGTGGCGGTAAAACTCGTCTTCGGGTTTCCTTAATCCCAAAACGAGTCCTTTCATCTTTTTTATGGTTCCATCAACTCTTTAAAAATATTATGAACTCGAAAAAACTCAAGACTAGAAAAATGGACTTTAGCGGTTTTCGCACGTCCCGATTCAATTGGTATGTCTCTCTGAACAATTTTTTTTACTCAAACGCTTTGTTATTTCTCAAAAAAGGGCATTCACCCCTGAAAAATAGTAAAGATTGAAGTTCAAGCACTTTTCAAGTACCTTCCCTAAAATATAAAAAACTGAATCACTTACTTTCTTAGATTGCCTATACATTTGCAATAAACTTATCTATGACTTAAGCCTGAAATATCTATGGCTAAAAATATGCGAATCTCCAGATGCTACATTGCAAACCTCCACTCAGGTTCTCCAAAAGAAGTCCAACCGATGGTTTTCCAAGGAAACTTCTGCGAATTCTTTACTTTTGTCGAATTATTCGCAAGAAATTTTAAAAAGATGTTAGGATTAATTTTCTTTTTAAAAAATGAAATATTATTGGAGATTTTTAAATTTTGTAATGGAGATACACATTTTTTATGTACGCCATATGTTTCTTTGAAAGCAGATGTTTCTAAATGAATGATGAAGAAGCATGACAGTTCAGAATTATAAAAAGAAATACATTTCTGTGGGTTTTTTGCAGCTTTTTAATCCTTCAATAACTGATGTGAAAAACACTAGCGCATGGGCTGAAACTTAGTATAATGATGATTGGTGCCCTAGAGATTTTTATTATATATTTTATTAGTAGAGATTAGTAGAGTAGAGTATTAGTAGAGATTATATTTTAGTAGTAAAGCATTGTAATCCCTGTCAAGGACCCATTTCCAAAGTTATAATGCTGAGTTTTACTGAAGGTTCGCAAAAATTGTTCTCTCCATGATGGTATATGCTAAGAATCTCCTTGAGCTACCCTTGGTCACAATGTAAACCGTATGGGACCTCCTAAGGTAAGGAGCTGTCTAAGGAGCGGCTATGCATGCAACCCTTATTCACTGTTGCAAGTCCATGTCATTCGAATATTCTTTGTCGAAAGCTATTCGTATTAGGCTAGGTAAAATCAAGGATGAATGAATTAATGTATTCATAATCACACCTAGACTGCACTACATTTGTCTTCAGTACCAATATTTCTTAAAAAATAAAACGATTCAGCCTGGAAAATGGAATAAGAAAAATAACAGGAGAATAGGAGCATACCTTATTTCCTAAGGCGTTAATCCTTCCGAGCAAGATTTTTGCACAAGTGAGATCAGGGTGCAACTTAATAAACATGGCCACGTGATGGAGAGCCACGTTATAAAGCAGAGGACTCCAGTTCATTCGAACTTTATCTGAGAAAGAAAATTTTAATTACAAACAAGGTGATCAGATAAGACTTCAAAATACACAAATTGCTCTTGAGAAATGACTAATGTTCTGCATAATCTTTTCTTAATGATTTCATGAATAATTGAAACCTAATCAGTAATATATTTTGAGATGAACAGGTTTTTTCTCACTACAAGAGATAGAGCAATGTCCTGAGCAAAGGCTCCTGCAGCGGCTACGGTTCAATAGTTGAGAACAAAATTAATTTATCAATATTGAGGGTCAAAATGCAATTTTGCAACGTTGCAAATTTCTTGTTATACATTATTTTTTCAAAGGAAAACCAACAAATATTATTCCTTAGAATTCTTATTAATTTTTTTTTTCATCCCACACAGAATATTCTCACGATTTTGAACAATTCTTTGAAAAAAATTAAACAACAGCAAATAAACATTTGGCAATTTGGCATTTCTGCCCATTTTAATGCCCAAATTTAAGTATTAAAAGTAAAAGTAGGGTAGTGAGTTTCCATTGCCTTTACAAAAATTTATCATGAAAAATTCAGAGTTCAACCAATCCACAGAAGTTTTCAAGAGGATAAAAATTGACAACTGAACCAAATAAGAGAAATAAAGGACTTACTAGTTGCTAAGAAATACAGGTAAGTTGTGAGTAAACTTTCATCCGTTTCCACAGGCTCAAGATAATTCTGCAGAGGCAAAAGGTACTTGTCCAACGGTGTCCCCAAAAATCTGATGGTTGGTGACTGTTCACTCCAAACAAGTTTCCGGAACCGATCACTGTGCCTCTGTTGTAAGGGAACCACGATGAAGTTACTGAAGGATTCGTCATTATATGACACACCGTTCAACTGCTCCAGTAGTTCACGATAGAAGTCATAAAATGACGTCAGACCAGAGATAGGCTTTTCGAAGTCCAAGCTATCATTATACTGCAAAAACTTCATCAGAATTGCGTTCAACAGTAGCGGAAAATCCCGGAACAAATCATTCTCAATCAAGAAGACGCAACATAAACGGCAAAATCGGGCTGTGACTGAGGTTCTGCTGGCGATGACGGGTCTGAGACACTCTAGAATATAAATCCAGTAAAGTGCAACTTCTAAGACTCCTGAGAGGTTTTCAGTAATTTGAGAATTATGTAGCTGCATTATTGGATAGAACTGCCAATCTGTCGGCAAAGCAGGCTCGAGTCCTTTTTCTGAAGAAAATAGTGAAGCACGGCAACTTTTGTTTACAGGACAGGATGTAAGATTTAGTAACTGGAGGTAACACTCAGATATGGAATTTAATTTTTGGAGACCATCTTCTAACAGGATTTGATTTGTATGCATATCTATTTGGGCATTGGCATTGGTAAAAAACGATTGATTGAAAACTATCAGTTTAAACAAGTCGGACAAACTAGCTTTATCATTCGTTTGAATGCATAAAATCAAAACCAAACTTAATTCATGGTAAATTTTCGTGAACTCTGCTACAGGTGACATTGCAAATAGTTTACAACAATCAACTAGGAATAAAATTTCATGCCTGGCATAAATACAACTACTTCTTGAATGAATGCTTGTGTCTTGGGTAATTTCACTGAAATACCTTTGAATGGATTCATTCCTCAAAAATGCCTCTGACCATTCATAAGGATTGTGCAGAAAAAATTGCACTATACTAGAAAACAGAGGAAGCACAGACTGTTTTCTTAATGTGGGTGGAACTATTCCAAGGACAAGTATATTGTCAGGAGACTTCTTCGTTGAACCTTTCAACAACCACGAGTTCGAGACTAGATTTTGTCCGAGTTGACTGATTCTTGGATTGAGAATTAACTTGCGCAAACTTTCTTCTATAATATTTTTCACACTGGAATTTTTTGTGAACACAGCTAGGAATCGAAGCACAAGGCCACAGAGTTTACAGAAAAACCAATCTACTTCGCAACTTGAGGTCAACTGAGTGAGCCACTTGCGACAACACTCGACAGAAGTAGGCACGAACTCTTCGACAGAATGGTAGCTTACAGCAGCTGCTGATTCCAGCATTACAAATAAACTGCAACAATGACTGATATCTAACTCATTTGAAGTGATGGATGTAGAGTTCAGATGAAAAATGAGAAGTTTGTGAATTACAAAAGAAAATTCACTGATCTTGTTGAGAGCGATCCCGTAACGGATGAACGTGTCCCAGAAATGGAAGCACTCGCAGATCAGGAGAACTGAGCTCTGTTTGTTTCCTTCATGCTCAGCTGCAATAAACTTGAGAGCCATTTCAATCAAGATTTTCTGTTCGTGTAGATGGTATGCTAAACCGTTGCCATGGCTTGCAATCAACCGAAAGAATTTCAGGGTTTCGATAGTGTGAGGACCGGGCTGCAACAGCACTGAAACAAGATTAAGAATAACAAGATTTTGACAAACTTTATGGGAGAAAATGTCCATAATTAAACATTTTTTGTTTTTTTGTATTTGTAATTTTTTGTGTGGGTCAATCATTATAATACTTTGCGAGGGTCTGTGTCCAAAGTTACACTGTTGAATTATACTTGAAGTTCGTGAAAATTTTCCTTAAAAATATGACGTAAAAGGCTTCCTTCAACCTCCCTAAATTATAATGCAAACCATATAAGGCTCACCAAAGGGAAGGAACTGCTTAAGGAACAAGTAAGAATACGGTCTTTAGTGTTAAATAATCTCTCCGAATATTCTTACGCCGGGACAAAAATCAAGAGAAATCAAGACAAAAAAACTAAGAAAAGATGTTGATGACAAACTTACTTACATATTTTTTGGACGGTTTCTAGAAGACCTGGACACTTGATGAGAAGTAGGGTCGATTCGTAGGAATGGCGTACAATTCTAATGAGACATTTGATAACATAAACAATTTCCATTGGTTCTGGTCTTAATTCATCTAAGATATACCTGCCAAAGATAAGAGAAGTCATTTAAACATTTCTTCATAACACAAGAAGCATGTTTAAAATAAGTTTTGGCTGTTGTTTTATTAATTCAAGAGATTTGGATTAAATGATCCTTTTGTGGCAATTTGAATGATTTGAGTCTTGAAGAAAGGCATGCAACTTATGTAACTGGAAAATAATTTTAAAAATCACTATATTGTGATTCTACAATGTCCATCCAGTATAGTCCCTTCTAGGGATCTATTCTATATTCTTCTACCACGAAAGGAAACATAAGCACATACTTAAACTGTCATATGTAATGACCACAAAGATACCAGTCAATTTACCTTAGTCTAAGCAGTAAGTCTGTTCGTAATGCTCCCTTAATAATATCTAGTTTCAGAATATCAACATCTTTTATTTCTTTCTCTTCTTTGTGCAAATCTTCAACGGCAATAAACATTAGAGGCTGACATACATCTGAAAAAGTACCTAATTCTCGATCAAAGCAAAGCTGAAAATGAAACAAATACACCTTCAGATTATACTCACCAAAAATATGAATAAAAAATAAAACAGACCGTCCAACCAAAGATTTTTGATAAAAGTAATTACTGGTCTAGACTTTGAAGTGGTATAATTATACTACCATGAATGTTAAATTGAGCGCATGACACACTACGATTAGAATCTATCTTTTCATACGTCTTCATTTCACTATTGGCATTCTTTGACTTATAAACTTGAGTAAACCATGCATGTTAGCTACTATAGTGTTTTTTCTGTGTACAGAAAAAAAGAATGCAACTGACCCATGAGGGAACTTATCAAAATAATCAAAATTTTCTCTTTTCCTCACAAATATAAATAATCGTTATTTTGGATGTTAAAAACCAGTACGATTCTTAAATACAGTAATAAACACGAAAAAAGGTTTTCATACATTGAAAATCCCTGAAAATGATTTAAAATTATGGCAATGCGAAAGACAAGAGATTTTCATTTCTAGTTTGTTATGATTAACGATTGGTTTCGCTAATCATGTTATAAAGTTTGTGATGAGATAATTATTTCGGCACCAGTCAATCTTTTTGAGTCAGGATTGACAAACTGACTAAGGAATGATCGATAAAGGATGAAACAAGAGTTCAGACGAAATAGCTTGTATTGACGTGATGAAGGCACATATCACAGATTTCACAAATTAAATGTCACTAGGTTACACAGCGTTAAAGTTGAAGTGAAGAGTTGCACTACTGATGGAATAAAACCGATGAGAGAAAGAGACACGGGTCGTGGGTCGTAGGGATGTTAAAGACCAGAGAGAGAGTTACACGTTTCGTGGGTCATGGCGATGGTAAAAGACCTCGATTTTTAGGCAACCCACGCTTATATAGTCTTGCTGACGTCACGGGTGGTGAGACAACAAGGCTACGCGTGATTGGTTGGTTATAATATATGTAGGTATCAGTTGCAAGTCTAGTAATTAATTTTATGGGACATTATTAAAGATTGTACAGGGACAAAGTGAAAAAGTTGAAAATAAGGACTGGATTGACTGAAACTAGAGTTAAAAATGAAAATCGAAAAATGTAAGGGAAAAAATATGCTGAGGTGTTGACATAGTTATTATATTTTTTTTAGAGTTGGGCCAAAATGGATATTCCACACCACTGGATCCGGATACGGATACCGGATAATTCGCCAAAGTTTCCGGCCGGAACAGGATAGTGCTTTTTATATATCGGATATTCGGAATTCGGCCGGATAATCCAGCAATCTGGATACCCGCCCAACTCTGATTTTTTTTCCTTAGTCTTGAATAAGTTGGTCAAATTCTTACCTCATCAAGATGGCAGACCAGAAGATTGCATAAGGCTCGTAATGAGGTCATAACAGTTGATTTAATTTTATCATCAAGGGAGAACCTTATTAATAAGAAGAGCTCTGGATTCATCAACTGTACTCTTAATGGAATATCAAAACAGCCATCGTACTCTTCAGCCTGCAGAAATAAAACAAAAAAATAGAAAATATAACTTCTGCTTCACAATATTTGCTAACATTGAAATGAATAATAGGCATGAACACTTTTTTTGATACAAATTGAAATTTGTTCAAAAACCGATTTTAATGACTTACTTTAATTTTTTACTCCACAATGAAGAACGTCACCTGAAGATGGGCGGCCCGCCCAAAATGGCAATCAAGGAGTAAAAAATTAAAGTAAGTCATTAAAATCAGTTTTTGAAAAAATTTCAATTTGTATCAAAAGAAGTGTTCATAGTGCCTATAAGGTCTTAGAAAAATTGTGCATTATGTTACAACATAGTAATAGGCATAAACTCTACAGGAGCTACCGTGGACATCCACGGCAAACCCCCACCAATTTTCTAACTTCACCAACAAAAATATTGTGGTGCGGGTTGTATAAAATTTGTTCACAGAGTAGGTATTGTAAGTTATTCCTTTCATGGAAAAAATGCCGCTAATCTAGAGACGCCTTTGGTACTAATTGTAGGTTTGATGATTCAAATTCATGTTGTGCTTCCTTAGGTTTGATTCATAAAATCATCATGTAAAATGGAGAAAAGTAGAGCTCACTGCTTCATAACGGTGAGACATACTCTTTCTAAGATTGATGCTAAGCTTGATATGGCCAGTATTCGCTGCTGGGTCACAGCACTACGACTTAGATGAAGTAGCTCTTGTAAAGTGTAGCCAGGCCTCTGCGCATCCTCTCCATGATGGTGTAGGCCAGCATTTAATGTTTTATCAGTACCGTCAGTGTAAGGCAGCAACACACCTATATTTACAAACAAATCAAATTTGTCAGCAAAAAACAACTTAGAAAGAAAGAGAGGGAATTTTAATTATTGGGGGATAGGAGATAACCAAATCAGTGAGACGCTTGAAGGGGATCAAATTTTGAGTTTTACCAAAAATTTGACAAAATTTAGAATTCTGTAACACTAAATAATGTAAACTTACATTTTAAGCCCCATATAAACTATTAGAGGGCATGTTTCTGCAGTTTTACCTTTCTTGACAGGAGAAATTATTTCTACCTGCACATTAAAATATAATATCTTGAAGACCAAATTTTTAAAATTATCAGAGACCCTTATCCTAAACACATACGACAACAGAAGTTCTTAAAAAATTTAACAATGACCAAAGTCAAAAAAGAAGTACCTATCTTGCTATTGCAGCTCTGCAAGTCTCGCTTAATAACTTTAATTTGAAATGAGAAGGACCTAAAATATCTCTTGAATTTAATATCAATTTTTTTCATTTATTAAAAAATATTCATAAAAAAATTCAAGGAGATATTCTGAACTGTTTTATTTTAATTGAAAAGATGTCTTTAACAACCTTTTGAGTTTGATGAGCTCTTGAAATTGAAGTTTATAAGTGCCACTTGGTAGAAAATCAGGGTTAAGTAATTTTTTTCCGCATTTTCACATGCATTTTTCTGTCGAGATGTGGCACTGCCACTGTAAGAGATAAGCAGGGCCTATTACACTGAAGCAGTTGAAGCAAGGTTGCGCCTGTGTTCATTTCATCTTTCTGACCAGCTCACATCCAGGAAAGAGAAGCTCTACTCGATCACTATCATTCCTATTAGTTAATGCCAGTTACAATGCTGAAAAATTATCTTTTAAGTCACCACCTATCATACCCTCTATCATACGCCCTCCTATCCTCAAAATTTTTGCATAGTAAGTTTAATTTGAAAAACTCATCTAGTTCGGAAGGTCGTAGAGAACACATATCAAATAATAATCAGATTCAGACGGAGCTAAATTCCTTGGTTTTCTGTGCAGGAAGGTCACTTCTTTGGTAAAAAGTAGAGTAAAAGTATCCTCTAAAATGTTTAGTCACCAGTATATTTTTGAAAAACGTCTAATCCATCAATGTACTCAATCTCAAACTTATACATTCAATTTTTTGGAGTTATATTTTGAAAAACCTACCATTAAAATCAAATCGAGCTGTATATGGTGCATCCGGTGGTATTGGTGGGAGAGGAGGTAGATCTTCTAACCATTTTAGCTTCTCCTCTTCAACGACATCCATATGAATATACTTATTTGCTAGTTCAGGAACTCTTGAAAGTTTCGTCTCTTCCCTGAAACATGAATATAAAAAAGTATCAAGAAAGTTCCAACCTCTCAAGAAAGTATATTTAAAATCAAATTCACTCGGAGTTTATTTTATTTCATTTACACAATCTATACATCCGTTATGTTTGTTAATTGTGGGGTCTGGGTTGATTGAACAATTAAAGTCTAAGCCGTTTGATCTGGCTATACCAGTGGCTGGGGAAGACCAATAATATAAATTGTATTACCTTGAGAAATATTTACCATTGAATTTTATCATTTCAACATCATTCCAGCACATTGAATACAAACATAGGTATTCATATCTTTTGATAAGTGAATCAAACATAAAAATGGGAAAACACTTACTCAGAAATGGAGTTATGGGATGAGTTCTCTACCATTGGAGGTTCGACAGATTGAAGCAAAGCTTTCTCCCGTTTAGCTCGTAAAAATTGGACCAAGGCAGGATCTAATTCTTTCAACAATCTTTTTTGCTCTTCTTTGATTTCTACAATTGAAAGATCTTTTAATTTTTCGATATTCTCATTGTGGATTGCATTGGCATCTAAGCTGTTCACAATAAAGCTTCGGTCACCTGGAAAGAAATTCAGACAGGGATAAAATAAAGATAGGGGAAGAAAAATAAGCATACATTTCCAATTTAGTTTATTCTTGCCTTCAGATATCTAACTTTGGATAAGCCTAGCCAAGTCCTTGTCAAACAAGAAAGAGCTGCTGAACTGGCTCAAAAGGGCTATGCATCCTCATGGAACATCAAGAAATTCGGCTCTGACTAGATTTCTGTAATATTTGATAGGTATGATGTTCCTTCAAGCTTCCTGAGTATGATGACCTTTGAAAGTTGTACTTTTTATGGGGGAATCTTGAGGAAAGCGAGGCTGAAAAATAGAAACTGAAATAAAAAACAAATACTACTATACATACTGACGATTACTACTACTACATACTGCTATAATAACTACATGGACAGGCTTGATTGCAAATTTCAACACAAAATTAACAATTTTTACCAAAATTTGAAGATGAGGGCTCATTACAGGTGTCGGACGTCTCCTCTGCAGCTACTGGGGTATCATCCATTTTCTCCAGTCGTTGTGCTTTCATTCTTTGAGCAAAAATACTTAGCTTCTTTGGAGGTGCCATCATGGAGTGAAAAATAACCACAGCCAATTGAATGGTTCAAAAAAGGGGGAGAGTGTTGCCAGGAACTTTTCTTAACAGAAAGCTTCTTGTTGCATAAATCCAAAAATCAGGATCAATTAAATTACACTAAGCATGTGCTACAGTTGAGTACCATTTTCATGATGCCCATTGAGACCTGGTGGGTGACAACACGTTTCAACTATTAATTATGGATTGCATTTTAATCTGTACTTCAGAGGACACAACAGAGGGAAGAATGGCAGAAAATCTTGATTGAGGATCGCATGAGCTAAACACCTCGGTAAAAATGCAAGATGCTTCGAGACAATGACGGGCGAATGATTCTTGGTCAGAAACTTCAAACCTTGCGAGTAGTTCTTGGTTCTCTGTGCGCGATCGCACTTGTATAAAATATTTATTAAATATGTTAAAAATCACATTTCACCACCACCACTTTCTATGTTCACAATCACAACCCATGCGCTGCCCCATGTCAACTTTTGAGGTTAGGTGGCTTTGTTTACTAACAAGATTTAATTCGATATTGTTCATTCTATATTCGATTGATTCGATTTTGTTCGATATCTTTAATGTTTATAACCTCTTATCAGTAGTGTTAGTTATCTAGTTATCTATCGTGATCAAATACTAAATTTATTATCAATGCAATTCTGGAGCAGGATTTGATCTAACTCTTCTCCCGTGAAATAAAATTATTCTTACAGCAGACATGTATATTTCTTAATGTGCTAAAATACCTTTATTTACTTCAATTATTCATTCCTTCACATTTTGTTACCATGACAGAGAAGTATCCTGGTGATGATGTTGAATCTCCTAAAAAAGGTATGCCCATCTCTTTCTTTTGAAAATAATATATGTATCTGATCTTTGAATTATCAGTCGATATCCACATCCAAGAATTATAGATGTTTCGTGAAAAGCTAATCAAAATTGACTCGGGAGTCTCCCTGAACGTATGGAGTCATTAGACAGACCATGCTTGTTTACAACTGATCGCCGATACAATCATGAAAAGAAATCATCACCATTGAGAATCTTAGACCACAAATTTTTATGTAGATGACGCACAATCAACAGTAAAAGAAATGTCTCGTGTGTAGATGATGAGACGACTTTCCGTGGTCTTTATAGATCTCTATGTTTTGGGGTTTTCTTTCATCGACTTTTACCCCCGAGTTTTACCACCCGACTTCCATAGTAGGTACCCTGCATCTCCTCTTTCTAGAACTGCCTCCTCCTATCTCACACTTTTATTTCCCTCTTTCATGATCTAATTCTCTGAATTAGGTTTTTGCCTCTGATCTTTGACGAGGTATACTATGGATGGTCTGAGTGAATGGAACCGTTATGTGAGGAAATGTATGTCCAATGATCAATTCAAAGGAGCAGGTTTATTCCTACTCTGAGAAGTAAAATTGTTTGTTTTGGAGAGGTGGTGATTAGCTCTTGGTTATGTAATATTTTACGTAGGTAAAATTTTATAAAAAAAAATCGAGACATCTTGTTTTTAAACTCTTGAGAGTCAGAGGGTTATGGAGAGTGTTATATCATTACTATAGGGACCAAGCAACCAAGCCACAGAAGCATAACCAGGTGGGAGGGGGCTCAAAAAATCTGAGATCTAACGTATTACGTATTCAATGAATGGGCCCTGTAATCATTCTGTGGCCGTATGTATTTTTAGATTTTATCCTTTGATATACGTCTGTAGGAAGCAGGTACTAATTTCCAGAAATTTTTTCTGTACATTTTGTTGAGTTTCATACTCCTTTGGAGTTAAGGTAGCCTGAGTTTCCATATTTATTAATTTAATACTGTAATTATTTTATTTTTATTTTTCAACTGTTGCAGGGCCAACTCTTTCAACAAGCACAAGTAGTTTTGAAGCTCTTGATCCTCATGACCCAAATTTAAGTCAGATTGCTAATACTATGTTCCAGAAAACTGGAGATTACATTTCGGGAGAGTTGACCTTAGCTCAGGTATGAAAGAGATCAATCAATCCTCTCGCCTTCTAAAAGGGGGGGGGGGGGGCAAAATTAAAAAGTTAATAAGTAAAACATGTAAGAGAATGCAATTTGATTATCTTATGTTTCTGGGTTTTCTGAGAAAACTGGAGATTACATTTCGGGAGAGTTGACCTTAGCTCAGGTATGAAAGAGATCAATCAATCCTCTCGCCTTCTAAAAGGGGGGGGGGGGGCAAAATTAAAAAGTTAATAAGTAAAACATGTAAGAGAATGCAATTTGATTATCTTATGTTTCTGGGTTTTCTGAATCATGTTTTAAATTCTAAAAGATGGGATCGGATGGTGATGTTTTGAGAAATAGAAAGCGACAGCCTTTATTAGTATTGGAACTGTACTTCAACTTGACAGTTTTTACAAAGAATGTTCAAAAATGATACAGCAAGATTCTGTCCGGTTAGCTCTAAAAGAAATTGGCATGAGTTGGATGAGGTCCTACTAAAATTTCTTGTTTTTGTAATGCTTACAGAAGAAATAAGAATAATATTGATATTCCACAGGTTTTTAGGAAGGATACTTAACTCTTTTTCTTACTGGTTTTGTGGCTCTTGTATCAAGAGTTTAGTGTACAAATTGCTTTTAGTTAAAACTCAGGATTTTTTTAAGAGCCAGCTTTACTGCAGTAACCTATTTAAAATCTGCCTATTCATTGGATTTAACTTTTCCATAGAGTTGTTTTTGTGACAGATTTTCCATCCTTTTTTCTTTCCAGGAAGACTATAAATTACTAGAAAGTATGAATAATGCAACTGTCACAAAATTTGCGGACATGCGGACGGTTGCGACCAATATTCAGAAATCTATGTCTGATTTGAATGACAAATGTAAGTACGTTTTTACTTCTTTCGTACTTTTTTTTGGGTAGGACATTTTCTTCCCTTGTACATGTTGAACGTTGTTGGTGTAACTACAAAACCTTGTGTCTTAATTTTTGTCAGTTTTGAGTCAGGTGCATTAATGGGTTGTAGAAGCTGTTGTTGATCTGCCATCATAAAATGTCAGTTCAAAGAAATCAGACATTTTTTAACTCAAAATCATGAAAACATTTTGTTAATTGACAATGACGTAAACAAAACAACACAAGATTCTCTTATCTATTTGTTTTCAGCACTGTGATTGGACTGTTGGATAAAAGTGTCTTTTAATTTATTCTGCTTTTTTTCTTGTTACAGTTAAAAGTTTAGAGCCGTATTTGGAGCAAATAGCAAAAATAGAAGATAGTGCAATGAAGTTAGAACAAGCTGCATATAAACTCGACAACTATACAAAACGGATAGAGGCAAAATTTAAAATGATCGAGAAGAAAACATAATTTGGTACAGAAACGAGCTTTTATTTTTTTAATTTTTTTTTTTTGTGTGTATGTGGTGGTGGTGGTGGTGAGGATGTGGACTTAAGGGTGTTCACTTTGTGAAACTTTCACTAATAGCTACTGAAGGTCCACAGAATGGTTGAAGGAGAGACTGAACATTCTTTAATATAAGTTGTCAGCAGCATAGAGATAAAAGTTTTTCCCTTAAGAAAAGCTTCTGCGTGGAAATTCATGAAGTTCTCCTTCTTCTAAATTTGAATATCTCAGCTTTCCAGCTTGAAAACACCCTTCATTCATGTCTTCTCTCATTACATATTTGATATACTTTTCTGATCATTGTGCTTCAATTTTGGTCCAAATTGTTTTGTAAGTTAATTGACACTTTCCTATTTGATCAAAACTCTTATTATGAATTTGGTATTAACTTATGTAGATGAATTCCGTTGTGCCCAATTTCAACCAATATGTTGTTCTTAATGATTCAAGCAATAGTTCAGCTTTAGCTGAGATAAGAAAAAATGAAACAGGCACCATAGCATCAACACCAAGATACTGGCATTTGAAGCTAAGGAAGGTCTATGCTGTCAGCCCCAAAATTCCTGTAGTAGCACCTACTTCAATTGAAATGCATGTGACTTTTCGTATTTCACCCCTAAATCTAGTCCGACTTGATTCTGTTTCCAACAAAAGAAGTTGTCTTGCTCACATAATTCAGTAGGGTTGAGAAAATTTTTCAAAAAGATCTGCATAAGAGTTATATACGAGTATTAACTATCAATATTTTTATGAAGACTGACAAGTACAATTATTTTCTCGTTGAATGCACTTTAAGGGCCTTGCGTTCATCTTCAGCAGTAATGGCCTTGGACCAGGCCAGTCACTAAAGACTAGAGCAGGGCCTTTGAATCACATCCAATCTAAAAATAATCATGCAAACGAGTCTTTTTAAAACTGCTGATAGTCAATTCGAATTGTCCTGGAAGTTCAAGAGGTGAGGATGAATTCAGTGTTAAGTTTTTAGACATCAAAAGTTTTTTTTTTAAAAACGTTTAATATCAACTTTACGGAGAATTATCAAAGAACTGATCCAGGTTCAAATCCTTTATAAATTTATCAAGATTAATACTTGTTGAATTCTTGCATTTCTGTGATATTTCAGCCATCAATTCCTTTAGTGATCCCTGAAATGAGTTCATGAAAAAAATAAAAAAAATTAGTGAATTCACTGAATTTTTACTCCAAAAGTGACTGTGTCCAAAGCAGTGAAAAGTTTCAAAGTGAAAACAAATTTAATGTTGAGGTATAAAAAAAATAATTTTATAATTGAAAATCTGAATAATATAATGTTACTAATAAAAATGCACTAGGTTCCGATTTCGTAAATCTATCTTTGTATATGTTCCATCAGAGAACTTGGAAGAGTTCCTAGATATCTTAGAGCACTTTTTCTGGCGATTTAGCCTTCATATGCGTTACGGAAGTCTGCTGCCATTGGGGAAATAATATTTTTTTAAAAAAAAAGAGCTTATATCCTTCATTTACTCTAGTCATATTACACATTTTTTCATCAATTTTATCCTTTGGAATCCTATCAAATCAAACAACCCTTTAAGATAAATTTCGTTTTAATTAGAAATGTGCTGTTTGGATGAATCAAAGAGACTTTTCTACTGAGTAAGTAACTTATTTAAAAGGAAGGATAATGTATCAGTTTCAAGAAAAACTACCAAGACAAAGAAGGAAACTCACTATATTCTCCTTTCCGTAAGTTGGAATATCAATCGCAACTGATTTATAGTCCAAAAATTGCAGCAGCTCCATAAAATCTATTAAGTTGTCCGGCTCTGTAATGCTAAATTGGAAAAAGAGTGGTGAGATACTTACAAAAGAATTAGTACTTTTAATGTCACTATACTTAACCTACCACTCTTAATTCATTGAGACATTTTTTTTTTTTTTTTTTTTTTTTTTTTTTTATGTATGTCTGTAGACGATGCTTCAGTTTTAATTATCGAAAGAATTAAGTGCAACACTAGATTTTCAGTGGTGAGAATATGATCGTTAATTCAATGCCACATCGTTCTCTTCAGTGTGTCACAATTTTACGAGTCAATCACCTATAGAAGTTGAATCTCTTACTTTTGGGGGTAAAATCTCAGAGAAAATCAAATCTAAGATAAATGTGTTTGCTTGCTTCTTTTGAGCTTTTTGGTATATAGGTCATCCTCCCCCCGCTCTGTGAAAATTGGAATTAATTAATTATTTTGAATTTTTATATATACTTGAAATAAAGAAGAATCAAATTTTAATGAAGAATCCATCTTAATGACTTTATTCCATGAAATATCCGTGGCATGTCACAGTGTGTTTGTTTGTTTGGTTGGTTGGTTGGAAGATGAATAATTCCATTACATTAAAAGTCCTTTTCAATCTCTAAGTCAATGTCCATTATTGAACAATGACGCTGCTCTTCCAAAAACGTGGTGAGTACTAATATTATTCACTGCATCAGTGCATTTAATCATCACTTTCTCTCAAATCTCATCAGTCTGAAAATGTACTTGCATCTTCGCATTTCCTCTACTTCGCTCCATGTACCTACATCATGAACAGCTTAAAGAGAGAAACTGTGGATAAAATCTGCTATGATATTTCTCTGAAATGTATTTTTGCCAGTGCTATAAAAGAATAGAGATTTAGCATTTTTTTTGGACCAATATAATTTTTGATTGCTTATCTTTACCAACGAAGCATGATTCTGTAACCAAAAAAACAGATTTTTCCTAGTTTTGATCATTCAAATATTACTTATTTGGTGAAATATATCTTTAAGAATGGAAATTTTTTTTATTTACTTATCAAGAACTATCAAGATGAGTTCATGACTCAATGGGATTTGCGCTCCCCTCAAAACTGTGTATGCAGTTTTCTTAGAGACTTTGTTTGTTTTTGCTGGGTCTCTATGTCGAAATTGTTCCAAGAGTCTATCAAAATCGTGGAACATGAACCGCCGTAAATTATCGTGCACCAAAGTCCTGCAAAGATAAGAAGGATATATGGAGTTGGAGAGGTATCAATTCTGACTTAGGTTCGAAACAAATGGAATTTCTTTGAAAAATTAATGGGGCATTTGGGAAAAACTGCCCCGATTTGCAATTATCAAGAGTTTTATACATGGAACGTTTCAATAAATTCCTTCTTATAGTCATGAATAAGTATAATAATATGAATCTAAAGCTGAAAAAATGTATCTTTAGTTTATGACACAACAGAATTTTTAACTTGAAAATAATGCTGTAGACAAAATCGTGAGTCTCAGTCTGTGCTACACTATTTCACTAAGAAGGTATTTATACTCTGCAAATTTTACTTGAAATGACTATTGCCGTATATTTTCTGAAATGTGTTTTTAATTCCTTTACCCATAATATCCCTGATTTATGTTGAGGTGAAACTGATATCATGTTATTCTACTGTCATTCTATCCGTGCAAAGTTTTTAATTAAATCCCTAGATTTGTCTTAAGTCACAGACTTACCGTAGTTTTTGCAATAACTCTCTCCTATCCTCTTCTGACTGCATCCTGTAGTATCTTGCCAGAGTCAAAATTTCTTGTTCCACTAATTGGTTGCCCATGTATTCTTGCATTGCGGTCCTAGGTTTGTCAGATGAAAGAATGTGTTTTGCCATTAAGATTGATCCAATTAGTGATATATACTTACTATAGTTGCTATGCAGCATCTATGTCACTTTTTAATGTGAAAAAGGACAAACAATTAAGAGCCATAAAATAAATAATTTCTAAATCGTTCGAAATAGGCGCCTATCTGCCAAATAATACAATTTTAAAATAATTACTAATGGGTGTACATTATGTGATTAATTTAAGCAGGTAGATAGGTAATTAATCTTATTAAGTTGAAGGCAGCTTCACTTGCATTTGTCAAATAATATTTTGGCTTGGATCTTACTAAAAATGGCTCCACATGCGGAAGCACCACAAATTTTGAAAATTTCCTAATAGAGGCTCACCTGACGCCTTACGGTGAGGTTAGATGGGGGTCTCTTTTCTGGTAATCCAGGATTGCGCGAAAGGTCTAAGAAAATATATGAGGATTGCCCGAAAAAGGCACAAGGATTGCGCAAATAAAAACCTTATCATCTGCTACAGGAATGCGCAAATTTAAAATGAAATTAATTTCAGGGAAAAGTCTTGCAAAACAGGAAACAGTTAGAAAATAAACGCATTTTTATGTTATTGCTAGTTTAGGTTAGTTTGTTAACAAGTCATCGATGTTTTACCCTCTGATGATAAATGAAGTGAAATAATAGAGTAAAGTCCGAATGCTCATACGGCGTCGAAACACATCATGGGCTTTTTAAGCTCTATTTTTCGATGCCGCGAGTATTCTAACGCGAGTTCGAATAATCGCGCCAGACCCAGTGCGGCCGGCGTTAAACGTATAATTAGCGCCTGCAAGACTTTTGGAATACTTCACGCATTGCGCCAAACGGTGCGGTCGATGTCTAGCCCGTAATAGCGCCTACAAGACTGCCTGAATACTTCTCGCATTGCGCCAAACGCAGTGCAGTCAGTCAGTTGGCGTGAGACGCATATTATACGTAGCGCCCACAAGACTGTAGGAATGGTGTAGTACTGCGTGTCATCATTCTTTACTTTCTGCTCCAGTTTTTACCATAATTAAAAGGAAAATATGTACTCTCGTTGTAACGATTCAGAAACTCGGATGATATTCAATTTTTGCTTTTTTTGTTACATTAAAGGAAAACAGAACGAACAAAAATATCATCGCGTCTAAATTTTCGACACTTTAATTTGAGAGCCTTAAGGTAAATTCAAAGAAACTTTTATAGAAAAACTGTGTTTAGCTTTTTAAAAACATGTACTTTTTAAAAATAAACATAAGAGTAGTGCATAACGTTGCAATCAGAGATAAACATAGGTACGCTTTCTTTCGGGTGCACCTGTCGGGTTTTGAATTCGTTCATCTCTGGAAAAAACTTGAACATCGTTGTTCTACGATTTTTTATGTGTTTTCAGTGGAGACTTGCCCGTGAGTAAGGAGGGAATGAATAGTCTTCCACGATGTGATTATCTGCCACAAACTACCGAGGTTGCCAGATTCACGCTTCTTCGTTAAATAGCATTCGCGCAATCCTATATCGTAGCCGCCCTCTTTTTAGGCAAATCTCGGGGGATATTTCTACAATCTATGAACATTTCCGTAAGAAAAAGTCATCTGTCAATTGAAACCGCTGAAATCCTCAAACCGCTTCAAGCAACCATTACTGCTCCTGAGCCGCTCACATTGTCCAATCAGCTTATTAAAGGCGAATGGGTAGAATAAGCGGAAATCATCGTGTTGGGACTTAAGGGAGTAATTAGTAAAACTGAAATCTGGACAAAATTCGGAATATTGTTCTATCTTTTTTTTCCTTTCAATTTTTGTCTGCTTGAATAATCGAAAGTGCCTTACTCACCTAAAATCTTGAAAGTTGATCAACTTTTCGGGTCTGTTTGTATAATATTTCTCCAAGAAATGTCTGAAGATCGATTTGAAAGCAGCGCGTACTTTGTCCAAAACAACAAGCACATTGCTGAAAGGAAACTGCATCCCATGAAAGATTAGCGAAAGCGAATAGTGGAAAATTTGAGAAATTTTAAAAGATTTTTACCAACATAACGATGATGATTGTGAAAGAGTCGCGGAGCTTATTCTTCGGTTGCAACTTTTCAAAATTTTTGCTGTTGTTTTATATTTCCGAAGGAAAATCAATGAACATTATTAATAGAAATTTTCACAGTAAATGCTTTACCAATGGAAGAAAAATCATTGCGAACACTCAGGGTGGCAAGAAATTTGCATCTTTCAAAGATGCATAATTTAAGTAAAGGTGCGTTTTGTAAAATTGAGTCAAGCATTTTGTGCCTTTCATTATCGGATAAGTCCGTTACTTTCCGCGTTATTAAAAAATCGCATTAAAAAGTGCGGTATATGGCAATTAAATTGCTACACATCGCAATTTTTATTTCGAAAATATCGCGATAAATTGTCGGGCGATTTTATCGCGATAAGATCAAGGACAATCGCTCAGATGTTGATGATCCTGGCGATTTTATCGCCGATAAAATCGTAATATATAGCTATTTTTCCGTAGAGAAATGCTACTTGGGTTGGGTTTTGCGCCTTGTCCTCCAAGCCCCAGATCAATTACAGCAACATTGATCGGTAGGTGAATGAAAAACTTACGTCGATGCAATGTTCCTCCATGTATTCTAACGATCGGGAATCAGCACTAGCTAAATAGAAACGGAACCCTTCGACAGTGATTGTATTCCCGATGTAAAAGTCCTCAGCCTTGTAATATTCCGGCAACTTGGATGAGAGAATATCTTGATTCGGTTTCAGGACTCTTCGTCCACTGTAAAACATACCGCCACAGAAACCTGCAATAGCACTAAGTGAAAGTGTAATGCATACAAATAGTAGTTTGTAGGGTTGACATCAGCGATGTTTTAATAAACATGTTTTTGTGGAGAATGAGAATGTGACGGAAGATTTAAATGGAGATAGCCTCCATACACGCGGGGCTTGTCGATTTCCTCTGAAATTTTTCAAGTGGTGAATGCATAGCTGAAGTGCGCTTCAGCTAGAATTGTATTTACAAAAGGGTGGTTTTTATACGAGGATTAAAAATAAACTAGTAGTAGTAGTAAAATAATTTTATTTTAAAGCGGTGCTTTAGCATCTGGTGCGGAATAAAACAAAAGAATATGAAATATGCAAAACGATTAGCCCGATAACGAAACTGGGCTGTTTTGAAAACGCCTTCAAATGCGGCGTGATACCTCACGCACTCCGGAGAGTTCAAATAGTTGCATCATTGCGCCTTAGAAATGCGACGGAAGATTTAAATGGAATTAGCCTTCATGCAGGCTCGCCACATCCCATCTCGGGCCCTGGTACCAGTTTTAAGGTCCGGGCCCCAAGCACGGAAGGGGGGGGGGTCCGAGGGGCATCCCCCGAGAAATTTTAGAATTTATACGACTAATTGGACGCATTTTGAAGCTTCTATAAAGAATTTTTCCATCAATTTTTGCGGAATAATTATGTTTTTTTTTTTTTTTTTTTTTTTTTTTTTTTTTTTTTTTTTATACTTTCAGCACAAAATACTTGCGAATTGATGCATTCAAAACATCTGGAAAATTTTTATTTTTTGGGGGGCGGGGGGCTATTTTCAGTTCTATGAGGGCCAGGCCCCCCTGGACTCCCCCTTAGTGTGTCTATGGCAAGGGAGTTGAGCCATGAGCCATTGAAGTTGAGGATGCCCAGACTGGAGACCCTTAGCATCTGACGACGGAAGAAAATGAAACGCAGTTACTAAAAATATCCCTCAGTACTGAAAATCTTAAAAAAAGATAGAAATTTTCCAAGAAATATACTTCTTTGAAAATTTAAGAAGAATTCTACAGTGCCCCAGCGTGTTTCTGAAAATCTATTCACCTTTTGCAAAATTTTTAGGGTAAATTTTTCATTTTTTCTTACGAAACAAGGGTTGCATGTTAATTCGTAGTGGTTTTTCACGGGTAACACGGGCCCCCTCCGGGGCCCGGGCCCCGGTACTAGGGACCCAGTATCCCCCCCCCCCCTTGTGGCGGGCCTGGACATAGCGGTAGACAAAGCGATGGATAAAGAAGACAGTAAAAATGGATGGAGAATTTGCACGCAATTTTTTTATTGCTTCATCTGAAAGTGCCTAATGAGCTGAGTTCGCAATATTTTTCATAATTTTTTTCTGACATGGGAAATTGGAGAAAAATTGATTTAAAAGTGAGAAAATGCGCCGCCTTGTGACGTCATCTGGCGGCATTTCCCATTTAAACACATGTATTTTAGCAGAATCGGTTATTTTGTCGTATCTCCTCTAATAATCGCTCAATTTATGAATCAAGGGTATCTTCGTGTTCAGTTCACTCAGAGGATTCCACTTAAACAGGAAATTCATCAAATTTCAGACCCTTGCAAATTCTCCGCTAAAAGGAACTATGTCCCACGCAAACCTTATGCACATAGTTCTTTTTAGCATTAATACGTCCGATGGAGGAGAGTAATGCACTAATTAATGGCAACTCACGAGGGACTTTATAAATAGTCCATAATTTTCCCCCTTAATCTATGATAACCACCCTTTTCAACCAATAAGATCGCCCATTTCCCTTTATCCTCTTCGTCTATTGCTTTGTCTAGCAATTTAAATCATTAGCCCGCAGGTCCTATCTATGTCCATCACACCTGAGATTGTAACTTGGGCAGGTGGTGAAAATAGATCATTGAGTTTTTAATGCGTAGATTTATACATACCAGATAGTTTCGCTCTCGTTTCATTTTAAATTGATAGTTTTAGGAATGGAAAACTATTGTTGCCTTGGTTTACTCTTCTATGCGATGAGAATATTGCAATAACGTTGCAATTGTTGTTTGCGATAAAATTGCAATTTGTTTTTAACACGCAATCGCAATATTTTCACAACATTGGGTTAATTAATTTCCCGGTTTGAAACGATCAAACGAGAGGCAATTTGCGATGGAATGGGAAATTGCAAATTATCTTATTTATATTACAATATAAATTTCAACTGAAGGTGCTCCTTCAATTAGTATTCAGGCAACATACACGACATTTCCATGCTGCAGCAATCTTGTTATCGTCATGCAGTTGCCTTTTAATGCAACAAGTGCCAATTGGAATGTGCGGAGACGTATCGAATCGATGAGTTTCACTTACCGGAATTTTCGGTTGGATTCTCAAAAATATCAACTATATGTGTTTCAAGGTAGTAGGTGATCGTGAACTGTCTCATTTGGTCAATAACATCATTTGTGTAAATTTTTGCCGCAAATTTCAAGAAATTGCAACTGCTACGATCTCTGCAGACAGAGATGGAAAAAATTATACGAAACGGTCAGAGGTCAGGAGGTGCGTTTGGAATTTGTAATGGACTTGGGGGTAGCTAGAAACTTTCCGGGGGAAGGGACAGGGGCCCACATTTCTTCCACTTGGGATTTTATTGGACTTCATTTTGCAGTCGGGAACTACTACTTCTGGCTCAGTTTAGAAACAACGTATGTACCTCGTAGTTTCTTTATGTACATAAGTCCTTTCACAAATGAGCCAAAAATTGAAGTTTAGTCAAATTGTATTTACATGTTGTAACAACTTCTTCGGGAGAAGGGATCGCCCTCTCCCTTCCCAGCTAAGTTCCAGTTACACGATCAAATTGAGCCATCAAATTGGGCCTCTCATTAGTCGCATTCTCACCTCAGGTCTTTTCCCACCAATCAGAGCTTCACTTTGATGGCTCAATTTGATCGTGTAACTGAACCTCTACGCTCATGAAGATGGACTTATTTTCTCAAAGTGCACTACCGGACAAGGTCCGAATTCAAGCATTCTAATTCATGTTTCCTTAGTGAAATATTCTGAGGATTTCAATCATAGAAAAATATCTAACTTTTTAACAAAGATTACTAAGGACTCCAGATACCGCATTGGAATAAAAAACGGCCCCCTAGTCCCCTGCAGCTCCAGGGTAGGCAACTTGTTTAGCGGTATGCCATACTTCTAGCTAACGAATATACTGTTTGCCGTGTGTTTGACCGGTTTCGCCACGTGCTGTGCTAAGTTTGGTTAAAGATTCACTGTATTAAATTTTCTTATGTTTTAAATCGTTAAAAATGCCGAAAAAACCAAAAAAAACCAGAAAAAAAAATTAATGCAAATATCTCTGCTCAATTTTCTGAGTCCATTTACCATGACTAGTGACTAAAATGAACAATTTTCGCAATTTGCCGGTCATAATCTGCACATTCGAAGTGCAATTTCCCATGCACTTCCATACAGATGGGCTAAAGTATGGCATACCGCTACACAGGTTGCCTACCCTGGCGCTGCAGGCGACTGGGGGGGCCGCTTCTTTCCTACGGCAAGTATACGGCCTGCGGTATCTGGAGTCCTTAGTAATCTTTGCTTTTTAACTAGTCATCGTGGGTAAAAAAATGTTCCTGGAGGAACACGCGCAAGTCGCGATACATTTTTTTTCTGATGAAATCAATATCGAGGACTAAGGAGCAATACTACCGAGCTTAGGAAAAAAGCCGTATGAGTCTTCAGGAGTCGTCAAATTTCCCCTTATAGAACATTAATTTTTGAGGAAAGTTATGAATATTTTTCCTTGAAATTTTCAAATCCTCTAAATCTTAAAAATTGGGAAGAAAAACAACCAACAGTTTCCTTGGATATTCGTATTGTATCGAATGAAATTTGGCAACGCTTGAAGGCTTATGCAGCGTTTCTCCTTAGCACGGTAGAATACCGCCTGACAATTTTAGCAGAAAATGAGTTAGCGACCTTGCCGCATTCCAGAGAAGAATATACGCAATCTGATGATTTTAGTTGTTTTCCAAATATGTAGAGGAGCGTTGTGATGAGGCTGTAATGTATGAAAAAATTTAAAATCTAAGATCAAAATTATACAAAAATGGCGAGGTTTTCTCCTCGTCCTGCAAAATTGTCAGTTTACAGATAGGCGATATTGCTCCGTAGCAAACAATATGCGACCGAGGAAAGTACATACCTATGTGGACTATACTGCCGTGCTAACGAAGAACGCCGTATGAAAATTCGAGAGTTACCACATTTCCTTCGATAAAACATATATTTTTGACAACATTCATGCATATTTTCCCTAGAAATCAGATAATTTAGATTAAATTGCGCACAAAATTGTCTGAAAATTTTAAAAATAATATTGATTAGCCCCGTAAATTCGGAGTATATCGGAGAAAACTTGGCAACGTCCAAAGGCTCTTACAGCGTTCTTCCTTAGCACGGCAGTATACTTGAAGCGTAAGTTGGTCACCACTAAAAACATTAGACAAAATGGATTGTCACCTGGCTGAAGTTTTGGCCGTGGGAAGAGCCATTATCTCACACTTGGGAACGCAATTTAAAGCAGAATCCTCCAAGGACCCAAATCCGTTGTAAGGCGGAAGATTAAGCTCCTTGCGCATATTTCGCCTCTTCTTAGGGTCCACAGTTTCATCGAACTCCGGATGATCTATCGGATCAAAGTCCTCTGCAAAGAATACAGGTGCTACGTGTGATTCGTGCAAGTCACGATTGAAATCCTATTTGAGCGGGTACCAAATCAGGAAGAGATGATAAGATCTGGATATAGGGCCGCTTCTACTACGTCTGATAAAATGCACTTTCTCGTCAAAGCAAAATTGCTATTTTTGAGGGATTTTGAGGCCTAGGCACATGGTGTCATTTGGAACCAAAGACAGAACGAGCCGCAATTTAAATTTCGGGCCTAGTGGCAACCCCTATACTTTTACGAGTCGTCTCTATTTACTGATCCACCTAGTGCCTACTTTCTGGGGACCTTATGGAAAATAACGCAGGGTTCATTTTTCATCGAAAATATCTCGAAATATATCGAATTTATGCATCGGAGGTTTCAAAAATCAATTCTCTAGATTTTGCTGAGGGGATTGATGGGTAAAACATGACGCTTTTTTCTCAAAAACACCCAACAGTTTGATCTGGAATTTGGTTTTTCACCGCAAGTGTCACATTTCAAGGTGAAAAAACAATATTCCAGGTCGAACTGTTCATGGGGTGTCCAGTTTTATTTTTTCATTTTGGGAAATCCTGATACATCCTGACTTTTCCCGATTTTTCACTGCTAAATCCTGATTTCATAATTTGTCCAAATCCTGAGTTTTTGCGGAGAAAAATCAATTTCACAAAAATAGCTCGATAAAAAAATCCTATCGGACGGCCGACTTTTCTCAAATCCTGATTTTACGACCGGTATTTCCTCAAATCCTGATGAAATCGGTATTAAATCCTGAATGACCTCAAATCCTGATGAAATCGGGAAAATCCTGATGCTAGACATCCTGGTTCAGTGTTTGAGAAAAGAGTGTCGTATTTTACCCATCAATCTCTTTAGAAAAATCTGGAAAAATTTCTGAGACCTCCGATGTGTAAACTCCTTGTTTTCGTGATATTTTCGATGAAAAATGAACGTGTTATTTTCCAGAAGGGCCCCAGAAAGTGGACACGAGGCAAATCAGCAAATCAGATACGACTCGTAAAGGTATACGACTCGTAAAGGTATAGGGGTTGCCTTTCGGCCCGCAATTGAACGTATTTCTGCCGAATGGAACTATGTGCATTAAGACATGAGCCCTGAGACCCATAAGAATATATCCGTAACAGGGCTCATGTCTTAATGCACATAGTTCCGTTTGGCAGAAATACGTCCAATTCAAATTGCGTCTCGTTTTCTATTCGTTTGGAACTGAGATATCTTAACCTCGGGTTAGGCGGTAAAATCAGTTAAGAGCTCACCGAGGCCGAACTTGAATTTGTAGTAATTCCTCGTGAATTCGTCGCAATCGTAAAGCACCACCTTCCTCCCGTACACCCACACTTCGCCACCTATATGCAGATCAGTCTCCGAATAGTAATCCAACCTTTCATTGCCGCAGTTCAAAACGTCGTAGATGAATCTCGTCTTCTGTTTTTCCCCGAGGACGTTCAATACCGTCAGGTGAGAATCAGAACCGATTTGGCTCGGATCATAGCCCCTCTGCAAGTAAAGAAGAAAACTCCTGAAAAATGAAACCCAAGTGTACTCCTGTATACTGCCGTACGAGCCGAACCGCCGGATGAGCCTTCAGACTAGTGGCGTGGCGTGAATAATCGATTATCGATATTTCGCCATTTGAAGCTATGGTGAAGAATCGATTACTAAGGTTTTCGCTGCGAACACCCTGATAATCGATCTTTTTTCATAGGTTTAAATGGCATAAAAATCGATGTATCGAAATTCACGCCTCACCACTGCTTCAGACGTTGCCGAATTCCCTTCTATAAAACCCAAATTTACCGGAAAAATTATGTAAATATTTTCCCCTTAAAATTTTCAGACGATTTTGTACGCAGTTTATAATCCAAAATATCTGAAAATGTCAGAGAAATATATGATTTAATTGCGTCCAAAAACACGTTTCATCAAGTGAAATTTGGCAACTCTCGAATTTTCATACAGCATTCTTCCTCAGTACGACAGTGTAGTATGGAGTTCTCGCGTGACACGGAACTTAGTATTTAAGTACTTTAAAAATTGTAAATATTCGCGAGAAACACGATGGCGCCACTAGTTTCTCCACGGCGCGGCACCGACAAAACGCACTTTTGCAACAGGGCCAGAAACACTCGTTTTTGACCGTTTCTCGGCTTAGGGAGCTCCGGCGAGTCTCGGGACCGGGCGCAATCGATTCTACGCCTCAAACTACGTAGGATTCGACACTAATCTCGACATTTTTTCCCCTCCGAAATCGAGAAAAATCCACAGGCAGGGGTACATACCATGGACTAAATTTTCAGGGTCAAAATCGTAAGTTCTCCGATCGAGCCGAAACCAAGCTAATCCGCTTGGAAATGACCCGCTGAGTCGGATTTTCTGGTCGGAAAAGCTCCACGAGTCTGCGGTACCGACAAAAACGCACTTATGCAACAGGGCCAGAAACACTCGTTTTTGACCGTTTCTCGGCCTAGAGAGCTCCGGCGAGTCTCGGGACCGGGCGCAATCGATTCTACGCCTCAAACTATGTAGGATTCGACACAAATCTCGACATTTTTTTCCCCTCCGAAATCGAGAAAAATCCACAGGGGTACCCTTTTGTTTGGGGCGGTAATCCAGGATTGCACTTAAGGTCCAAGAAAATATATGCGGATCGCGCGAAAAAGGCACTTAAGGAGTGTGCGAATAGAAAACTTAACATCTGCTACAGGAGTGCACGAATTTGAAATAAAGTTAATTAAAGGTAGAAGTTCGGCAAAACGGAAACACTTGGAAAATAAACGCATTTTTATGTTAACGCCAGTTTAGGTTAGTTTGTTGACAAGTCATCGATGTCTTACCTTCTGATGATAGGTATATGATTTGAAAAGATTGAATAATGGTCGTGGGTATAATGAACTTTCCTAAATTCTCGGAAATAATATGTATAATCGGGAGAAATGAGGCAACGTCGGAATGCTCATGTGGCGTCGAGACAAAACATGGGTCTTTTAAGATTTATTATTCGATGCCGCGAGTATTCTAACGCGAGTTCGAATAATCGCGCCAGACCCAGTGCGGCCGGCGTTAAACGTATAATTAGCGCCTGCAAGACTTTTGGAATACTTCGCGCATTGCGCCAAACGGTGCGGTCGATGTCAAGCCCATAATAGCGCCTACAAGACTGCCTGAATACTTCTCGTATTGCGCCAAACGCAGTACAGTCAGTCAGTTGGCGTGAGACGCATATTACACGTAGCGCCCACAAGTCTGTAGGAATGCTGTAGTACTGCGTGTCATCATTCTTTATACTCAATCCTGTCGCAGTCGTTAGGGGGCTGAGGGGTGGAACCAGGGCAACCCTGCTAATGTGTTCGCTCCCTATTTAAGCATGGAGAGTTTGACTGGATGTAGAAGTGGACTCAATCATAACGCCGAAACATCAGGTAATTTGAAATAAAAATGTCTTAAAATTTAAACATTTCAAATGATTGAACTTCGAATCATTCTACAAGGTACTAAAAAAAGCAACAAAAAAAAAAAACACAAAAGCAACATACAAAAGCAAGGGAAATACGTTAGTATACAAATTCCTCCGGGAATACAATTATTTTAACTTTCCTGTAACTAAAATTGCATTAGCACATATTTGAAGGAGTGACTAATCGCAGAAATCAAAATTCTTACCCTGGCTGTACGTAGGCGATCACCAGCGAATAACTGCCTAGACTATAAGAGCTTAAGACTATAAGACCATGATGGTATCTTAGAAGGGCGGTATGTTAGCACCTCAATAATTATCTGGTCAATATACGATGGAACAATGATAAAAAAAGTAACGTCGCAAATTAAAATGCATCCTCTGCTTATTCAACGGTCAATACTGAAAAAGAGGGACACAAGTAGAGATCCATTTCAGTCGTCAGTTGTCTACTATTGCTGATTTAAACTCACAAAAAGTTGGTAACTGGGTATGAATTCAACCTCGGGACCCACTCACAGGACGCGTCGTACCTTAGGAAGTTTACTTCGCTGCAAGAAGCATTTTCGCTTGTTATTGATCTCTGGTAAAATTTCAAAAACCTCGATCGTGCCATCAGCAAGGTAATAAAATAATTGCAATGCGTGGACGGTCCCTGTTTCACTGTGTCTATCATCCCAGTAGCCCTTGAAATTCAGCACTTGTCGATCGAATTCCAAAAATTGTTTAACACCGTGTAGCTTCCCATCAGTCGCTACTTTTGGCACCGCTTTACTCTGAGAAAGAGATCAAATATCAATCATATTAATAAAGAAGGCAAAATGATTGGGCTTTCCAAATAAAAATAAGTTTTCTGAATTGCGAGCTTTACACGGTTATAACGATAGCTTCGATTTGCATTAATAGTTTCGGTCATTTTTTGTGCACGAATTTGTGCCGCCGCACAGTGGATCGAGTCAATTGGAGAGGTCGGACAAAATTTGAAAACTTTAAACGCTTATAATTCCGTTTATACAAAACTTTGAGGTTCTAAAAGTGGCACTTTTGGTTTCTTCGTGAAATTTCTTCTATTAGAACCCCTTAAAATTTAAAATGTGACGAATTAAACATAAAAATTGTTAGTTTTAATCAACAATTTCATGTCTGACCTCTCTAATTGACTCGATCTACTGTGCGCCGTCCGATGGAAAAACGCCGCGCCGCATCAGCACTCCGGAATGCTGCCAAATTTCCCCTCGGAAAATACTTATTTTTAAAGAGAGTTAAGCATATTTTTCCTTGAACTCGTCAGGTGTTTTAAATCAAATTACGAAAAAAATTCTCTGAAAAATCGGGGGAAAAATATATATAAATTTTCCCGGAAATTCGTGATTTGTCACAGGGAATTTGGCAACGTCTGTGGCTCATACGGCGTTCTTCCTTAGCACGGCAGTGTTTATCTTCCAACTACACCTAATTGTATTGACGTGCATCATTGGTTTCTACCATCGACTCGGAGACAAAACCATTAGAGTCATGTGGGGTAGGATCCATTCTATGGGGGACGAAAGACTTGTCGAATAAAGTAACATAATATTTTTAAAAAAATATAGATGATGCTCAAATATTACCTCAGTTCTGGACTCGTAAAAACTGTCTCGAGGCGTTGGCAATGGTTCTGGGACCGGAATGCCGAAGCGCGTTAAAAAATTTCTCGTGAACGCGTCACAATTAGTTAACGTAAATTTCCTTCCGAAAAGTTTAAGTACTCTACCCACGTTTAAATCTGAAATATCATAAAACGCTCTTTGGCTTGTCGGTTTGTTGCACGGAACCCGCTGACGCGCGATTAGGCAACCTGTAAGATAAAGATGACAATACAATATTAGATCGGAGGAAAAATCCCTGCACTGAAAAAAAATTCTCGGCGTTTTTACCAAGGTCCGTTGGTACCTTTACCATCTCACTTTTTTTTTACCAATTATTGGTAATTCTACCAAGACAGACTGGTAAAGTTACCTAAAAACCGGTATTTTTACTGTTTTTTTTCAGGTAAGAATACCACTTTTATTAGTAATCAATTCCCGGTAACTTTGCCATTTTATCTCGGTAATTCTACCATAGTCGATAAAAGATATTGGCGTTTTTACCAAGGTCCGGTAAAATTACCGAGAAAGTTCAATAATTTTACTGAGATTTCTCGGTAAAAATACCAATTCCATAAATGGTAATTTTACCAAGAAAAAATTGGGATCAAATAGAACCCTGAATTCTTGGTAAAATTTACCCTTTTCTTAGTAAATACACCGAGATTTTTTTTTCAGTGTTCTGTATCAACCAAAAAACACAATCCCGAAAACAGCGGACGCGTGTGGTTTTTCAAATTTTACATTCTTTGCGAGAAATCACCCTCACCAATGGAATTAAAGATAGATGTACGGAATACTGCCATGCTAAGGAAGAACGCCGTATGCACCTTTAGGCGTTGCCAAATTTTCTCAGGTAATTCACGAAAGTTAGGGGAAATTGGTGAATATTTTTCTCTCAATTTTTTAGATAATTGTGTTCGCAATTTTACCTGAAGTTCTTGAAAAATTTCTCGGAAAAATATTCATAACTTTCCTCACAAATTAAATAAACATTTTATCGAAGGAAATTTGGCCACTCACGAATGTTCATACGACGTTTTTCCTTTGCACGGCAGAATACACATACATCAGTGGCGTGCGGCGTGCTTTGCGATATATCGATTGTCATGCTATTTAAACTTATGGAAAAGGATCGATAAACAGGGTGTTCGTAGCGAACGCCTTAATAATCGATTCTTTACCATAGGTTTAAATAACATAACAATCGATTGATCGCAATTCACGCCACGCCACTGACATACATATCGACGGTGAAACTACCAAACCACGTATCTCGGTTTGCGACGTCGCAGACTTCCTGTCATACTTTATTTTTTAAATGAAAAACTACTTAATGTCCAGTCTTGAAAATTTCTGTGATTTTTCCTCTTCGTGCGAAGAAAATTCTGTGAAAATTTCAAGGAATGATATTGATTTGGTCTACTTCAAAAAAATAAAATGCGAGCGTAGATTTTTAAACACCGCAAACGAGATACGTGGTTTGGTAGTTTCACCGTCGATATACCTTCCCTGCGGCATGGAAGAGGTTTTCATGCTAAAAGGTATCTCTTACCGCTATGAAGCGAACTTTTAGTAAAAAAAAAGTCACCAAGACGTTCACAGCCTCCTCCCTTTTTGCTTCTAATAGCTCATTTTCATGTCATTTGCTCTTTATCCATGCAGCCAAATTGGAGAATAAAAAACCATATTAACGGGTCCTGCAGGTAACCCGATTTCCAAGGTCTTGCAAACAAATCGCGAGGGTTATTTTTTTGGGTGGGGGTGAGTTTCCGAAATGTAAAGGCATACATTTAAAGTACTAAAAAAGGTGGGGTTCATGGGTGAAAATTAAGTAAATTAAATATTACATTACGAGGACTCGTAATTGCAAAGATTTGCTGGTATGCTAATTTTTTAACGCACCTTGAGGAATTCCGCTGTTTAATACTTTTGGCTCGACAACTTTGATAGTTCCGTCCTCGAGGAAGTACAATATTTTGACGTTTCGAATCATTTTCTTACACTGATATGACTCCGAGGCTGGTTCCTCAAAAAAGGCATCGAAAGTAAGCGTCTAAACGAAGAAAATTGTTTATTTTAGTGCTACAGTGAACGCTATCCAACACAAAAGGATGAAGAAACACATTACTGCCATAAAAAATTGGGCACTTGATAGCTGATTACTTTGTAATTTTTAAAGTCACATCAAAGGAATAATTTCAATTACTTGGATTGAACTTCGCTTATTCATTCTTTCCACTGCAGCTTTTCGATTTAGATGGCTGAAGTCCTCGGTCACATAAACCAAATTTTGGTTAGCTGAATTGAAGTTTGGTTTCTATGACCAAAAACTTTGGTTACCTGAATTGGAAAACTTTGGTATTGCGAGAAAAATCTATCGGTATGATTTCTTTAAAAACCCATGGTGAAGTTGAACACAAATCATGGAGCACTCTCCGCAGCGCTAAATTCATAACTGCTGAGCAAGTATTAGAGCAATATACTAGATAAAAAATTAACACTTTACGAAGGAATCAGCGATTTCCTGCTCTTGAAACAACGAGTCTCGCTTTCTTGCCATGTCTTACTTTTTTGAGCATTATTTTCTTTTCTTCCTCTTATTTCTTTTTGTCCCGCGCTTCTCTTTAGAATAAAGCATTGAACTCACCTGTCTATCGTATAGTACCCAGGATGGTAATTTACAAGAACTGTCATAATTTGGACAGCACTTTTCCTCCTTAGGTTCCTCGAAGTCGGCTTTGTCGGTTAATCGACACACACCATCGTAGTATTCAAAGTGATGTGGGCAGTGGAAATTCCGAGGCGATATCTAGATTAGGAAAATAAGTAAGAAAGGATTTTCACGATCAGAAGCTACATTTTCAATCATTTTATTTTTTTTTTGTCATTTATAAAATAACAAAATTCTATCCAACCTCACGTCCTCGTCGCAACTAATATCTTTGAGTTCAATTAAAATTGGTAGAAGCTTGCATGCGTGGTGGAGATTGAAGAAAACGATAGCGCCTTCAATCTTCTTGCATGCAGCGTCGTAAAATGTAAAAAGATTGCCCACTTTCAGAGGAGCGAAAACCGGGGTTTTTCCTTTTCACGTGGAATACCTAAGTTTTAAAGAATGAAGGAAAAAAGTTGAAATAGTACCGCTTAGATGGAAAACCAACCTCTTCAAACATTCCCGATATTGCAGGGTGTAGTCTGTGATGATGGTAAAAAAAAACTGATCTGAAAAACGTGCCTTATTACCTCGAAATCAACAAGTACGTAGCTCTTACATGCGTGTTTTCAAATTTACTGCGCTGCATAAAAAACCGCCTTCAAGTGCTCTTAGGTGTAATTTCGCTATTAAAATACCTAGCTTTTTTCTAGGTTATAACTGAAATTTTTTTCCGGCGGTTCCTGAAGTTGCTGCTACCGTAATATCGGACAGTGGTTATGGTTCCTACCCAAGTAGCATATTTCTCAACGGAAAAATCGCTATATACGAGGGGCGTTCAATAAGTAAGTATCCCCCCCCCCCTCTAAAATCCATAGGAATGGACCAATTTTAAAAAACTTGAGCTCAAAATCTTCCTTAGGATATTTTGAGTTCAACAAAACAAACCGCAACAAAATTGGACTATGTGCGGCCGAACGCGAGCCGTTTGAACGCGCCGAGGTGCTCGACGCTCCCGCCGAATCCGCGAGGATTTGAAGTCCGCTACAGGAGAAGAGCTTCTCTGCCAAAGCCTCAGTCGTTCATCATGTTGCGGTCTNGAACGACTGAGGCTTTGGCAGAGAAGCTCTTCTCCTGTGGCGGACTTCAAATCCTCGCGGATTCGGCGGGAGCGTCGAGCACCTCGGCGCGTTCAAACGGCTCGCGTTCGGCCGCACATAGTCCGATTTTGTTGCGGTTTGTTTTGTTGAACTCAAAATATCCTAAGGAAGATTTTGAGCTCAAGTTTTTTAAAATTGGTCCATTCCTATGGATTTTAGAGGGGGGGGGATACTTACTTATTGAACGCCCCTCGTATTGTGATTTAATCGGCGATAAAATCGCCAGGATCATCAACATCTGAGTAATTATCCTAGATCTTATCGCGATTTTATCGCCCGACAATTTATCGCGATATTTTCGAAGTGAAAATCGCCATAAAATGACGATTCAGTCTCTATTTCATTGACGAAAATTGATCACGATTTTATCAAACCAAAAATTAAGATATTTAGCGAATTAATCGCCGCATACCGCAATTTGTAATGGGTTATTATCTCGATATATTGCCACCGATATAATCGCGACAACCAATCGATAAAATCGCTATTCGTCGGGATCACTGCTTCTTGGGTACTGGTGGTCTTCCAATCCGTGCTTTCTTTTATAAATGTGAAAAGGGTGATTTTATCTGCTTATGGATAAATGACTTACCGCATTGAGAGTAATCCCAGGCACCAGAGGTAGAGAAGATTTATTCAACATTCTGAAGAACACCTTGGGAATTTACAATTGAAAAGAACGTTCCTAGAGGTTTTTAAACGAAGATAAATTGGAAAATAAAAAAGCCGAGAAAATTAATAGATACCCCTAAATTTCCTCCTCTCATAGCATGGTGATTTTAATTTGTACATAGGTGTATTACATCAACCAGGTCTGCGAATTCTACCCGGGATGACGAAAAGTAAGGTTCTTAAGTATTTCAATTACACTGATAAAATGATTAAATTAATTATCTTTGTCTTTAATACCTATTAAAAGTTTTAAAAAAATATTTACTAATTGACTAAAAATTAAAAATTAATTAAATTATTTCCAGCAGAAACCACAAGGTAAACAGACGATCCAATTTCTTTCATATTGCTTCATTTAAAAATCCAATTGTGGTCGAAAACTTTTTCATTCGCGATAAGCGTTGCAACTAGACCTGATGCCCTGAATGAACTGATGACGCGGTGATTTTTACGAAGGAACATCGGGGAAATTTGACCGTTTCCCGTTATGAAACTCTTGCCTCTTGCGTTGACTTTTATTGATGTAACAACTCGCAAACAGACGCTTGGAGCCACCGAATGCGTATCACAGACGTTCGGGGGTGCACGCTGGACGCAACGCGCAGGTGCGTGGAGTTGAGTTTCTTTTCTCGGGAAACGCACCTGTAGCTTTAACGAGAACACTCGCTAGGAGCTTACGACGAGGGTCCAAGAAATTGCACTATTTGGCAACACTGCAATCACTGCATACGGAAGATAGTGACTAATTAATGGGATACGATTTTTACATAGTTAGAAACTATTGCTGCGAGCGTTATTTCTTCCAGGCAGATACTTACATTATTTCACTTTCAATATACCTCCCTCGTACAATTGTTTGTGATTTGAACTGTCGGTAAAAACGCAGAACCTAAAAAAAGGGGGAAATTCAGAGACGTTTTTGTTGAAAATATAAAAAGCCGGGAAATTTTCCGCTCTGCAAACAGCGATAATCTCGATAAGTTATGATTCCACTCGTTTTCTCCGATAACGGTCCTGCAAATAGCACAGTTTGACAACGCTGCTACATATGGAAAATTGCTAATAATTGATGGGTTAAGATTTGCACATAGATCCAAGTAAATTAAATGAGAAAATTCAGTCGAAGAAGGTAAAGTGTGTGGTTGCCGGTGAAGTCAGGCGAACAACTTCGGCATGAACAGTCTCAATTTCATTTAAGTATATAATTTTCTTTTTATTTACTTATTTCCTTTTATCATTTTGATTTAATACACAAACTGTTCTCTCCGCATGCAACGACAACATGTGAGTGCAGTGTGTGACACATTCCATTATTACAAGCGGAATGAATTCAAGGCGCTCCGGCTTTTTCAATGGCTGGATTTGGATGCAACTATACGTGTTCTCGGGATGTCCGTGTTGCATAAGCAAAAAATTGCGGGCGCTTGGGTTTTCTTAAGCGCACCGTACGGCTGCGATTGTCAGTTCGCGAGGATTTTCTACTTTGCATTCCCAACGGCGTTTACCATGAAATCCTTGGAGTTCGAATGAGCCGTGTTTCATCACGGGGCGTTGCTAGATGGTGTAGATTTTACTTAAAGTAACCTATCCACAGAGGTATTGCGGATGTAAATCCCGCAAAATTACTACTGATACTAATTCCGCAATTTGCACTATTTTACAACGCTGCCGTGATGCAACACGGCTCATTCGAACTCCAAGGATTTCATGGTAAACGCCGTTGGGAATGCAAAGTAGAAAATCCTCGCGAACTGACAATCGCAGCCGTACGATGTGCTTACGAAAACCCAAGCGCCCGCAATTTTTTGCTTATGCAACACGGACATCCCGAGAACACGTATAGTTGCATCCAAATCCAGCCATTGAAAAAGCCGGAGCGCCTTGAATTCGTTCCGCTTGTAATAATGAAATGTGTCACACACTGCCTTCACATGTTGTCGTTGCACGTGGAGAGAACGGTTTGTGCATTAAAGCAAAATGAAAAAAGGGAATAAGTAAATCAATGAAAAAATTACATAAATAAAATGGAGACTTTTCATGCCGCATTGCTCGCCTGACTTCACCGGCAACCACACACTTTACCTTCTTCGACTGAATTTTCTCATTTAATTTACTTGGAATTATGTTCTAATCGTAACCCATCAATTATTTGCGATCTTCCGTATGTGGCAGCGCAGCGTATTGCCAAATTGTGTATTGCAGGGCCGTTATTGGCAGCAACGAGCGGAATCGCAATGTATCGTTATCATTGCTGTTTGCAGGGCGGCTAGTTTCCTTGGATTTAAAAATTCCCCCAATTTTTACATACTTTCAATATGAAAATCTCCAAATTCCCCCGGGCTTCCCTTTATTTCTATTTTTTGTTTTGTGTGTGAGTTCTGGGTTCTAACAAAAATTCGAATCACAAACAATTGTGAAAGGAAAGTAACTTGAAATTGAAAAAATGCAACATTCTGCCAGGAGTAATAATTTGCACAGCAATATTCTCTAACCTCTCTCGAGTTATCAAAGTTGGGCAAATCTCTCGATTGTTTTATACAAATTATTAATTAGCGACTGCTCACGGAAGAAAGGAGCTTAGATCCTGGATACATTTTCGCATAAGCGGAATTTTTGTCGTTAAGCGGGATTCGGGTTCCGACAAAAATTGCGCTCCAATTTTCCAAGTTGAAGTTGGAGAGCGGCCCGGTCATCGCGGCCGAGACTGATGCGTTGCCATTTATGGATTTTAATATCGAATAAAAAGTCTCAGGTTTCGTGAAATGGACTATAAATTAGGAGGGGAGGGGGAGTTTCTACTGTTCCCTACGTCATTTGATTGACTGAATGCTTCAAGCCGTCAGGACTCATAACACTGGTTTGACTTCACATTTGTGATGGTTTTTTGAAGAGGAACGTTCGTACAACATTTGACTTCGTGCCATCGTACGAATAATAATTTTGGGGTTTTCAGTACAATGGTCAGGGCCGGATTTAGGGGATGGTCACATGGGCCGCGGCCCATGTCGGCAAATTTTGCAATTTTTTAAATGTAGGTATCAAAAAAAAGAGAGAAAAACATCGGATTACGGAAATAAATTACAAACGAGAAAAGGCGACAAAAACTCTCGTTTCCTGATGGTAAAAGTATAGTAATTTCTAATTTTGTCGTCTTTCGGTAGACAAGAGACAACACCTTTAATTAGTCGAGTTAAGAGAGAAACCCAACTCGCAATTTGACCTGGAACGGAGCGGCGCGGCGCGGTGGTTGGCATGAAACGCATAGCGCCTACAAGACTCCATGAATACTTCACGCATTGCATCAAACACAGTGCGGTCAGCAGCGGTCGCCGTCAAACGCATAGCGCCTACAAGACTGCATGAATAATTCACGCATTGCGTCAAACACAGTGCGGTCAGCAGCGGTCGCCGTCAAACGCATAGCGCCTACAAGACTGCATGAATACTTCACGCATTGCGTCAAACACGGTGCGTTCAGTTTGTTCTTTCATAATTTTATCTTTCATTTCTTATAAATGGAAGGCCTTGTTCACACAGAGATAGGTTCACGGAACTTAACTTTCGCGCAAAGTTCCGTGAACTTTTGCTGGTAATGTTGACAGGGCTTCGCAAAAAATGTGCCCAACACAAGAAAACGTGTCTCATGCACCCCTCCTCGCTGCACGTTCACTTGATGGTTTTTATTGATATGTTTCAAAACGAATGAGAAGGGGGCGGCACAATACAGGCGGCCCATGAGCGGCAAGTAGGTAAATCCGGCCCTGACAATGGTACCTTTCATTGTGGAAGGTCTGATTTGGGAACTGGGCAAAGGCAAACTTGGCCAAGCTTTAGTCGAGAAAAAAGTAATTGGATCCATTATTCCTGCTGGACGTGAACTAAGTTCTGCGGAGATGGACCACTAAATTTATTATTTTCAGCGTCATATTGCACGTCATTTGAGTACCTAGGTATTAGATCTGGGATCTTAGGCTTCCAACGGTTAAGAGATTGAGAAAATAGGGGGGGGGGGTAGCAACTCCGGAGGTAGCAACTACCTCCGAAGATTACTTAAAGTGATTACTTAAGGTGTTTTACTTCTAAACATATTTAGAAGTTGTTCCAATACAGGTCATTTTATATTATTGAAACTGACATAGTTACTACAATTGGAGGTTTGTCTCGATGCGCTGGGGAAAAAAACACATTGGATCTAGAGTCCAGACTCTTAAAAACATAGACAAGAAAAAATACTCTTGATTCAATCGGATTTTTGCGTAAATCAAGAACCAAGCCTCTTAATTTGAGCGGATTTCCTTTTGATTTAAGCAAAAATCTGATTGAATCAAGAGTCCTTTTTCTTGTCAATGTTGTCAAGAGTCTGGACTCTAGATCCAATGTGTGTTTTTTATTTTAGTGTGAAATGGAAAATATTAATTTATCAAGAATTGGAAAGACTTCTTAAAATATAAAGTAAGGATAATTAAATCATAAACAAATGTGTCTTTGCTTCTAAAACAATCATAGAGCAAGGCTACCCAAGTAGCAGTGATCGCGATAAATAGCGATTTTATCGGTTAGTTATCGCGATTATATCAGCGGCAATATATCGAGATATTATCGCATTAAAAATTGCGATATACGGCGATTAAATCGCTACACATCGCAATTTTTGGTTCGATAAAATCGCGATCAATTTTCGTCGATAAAATTGAGATTAAATCGCCGTTTATCGCGATTTTTATTTCGATTGCCGGGCGATAAAATCGCGATTTTATCCCGATAAGATCGAGGATGATCACTCAGATGTTGATGATCCTATCGATTTTACCGCCGATAAAATTGCAATACATCCCGATTTTTCCGTTGATAAATGCTACTTGGGTAGGTGCCTTCAGGAGCTATATCTGCCGACGATTGCGACAAAACGATGACATCGACGCCTTGATGCAACTATTTGTGCTTAACGAACGTGCGTGCTGCATAATCACATGACTGAAGGTGCTATTGGGTATCTTGCCTAAACAGAGATTTGCGCTGCACGGCGTGCTTCAAGCGCTGGCGAACCTTACGCTTTTACTACGAATAATAGGAAAGGCAAAAAATCAAAAAAAGTAACTGACTTGTCTAGTTTATTACGTTCCTAACTTTACAAAATGAAAAACAGAACAATGACAGTACTTAAAGTAAATTGGAACTATCAGGTACCACCAACGAATGACACGTGGGTAAGTAACTAACAAATCGTTCATGCATCTTAGAGTATCCGGGGAGATACTAGGTGAATTTCAAAAGAGAAATCCATTTATTTTTTGTCTTTCTTTTGGCATCATGGTTGCGGCGACCAAAAGTAAAGTATAAATTAATTTCTAAGTATTTGTATCGAGCAATTGCTTTACTACAGGTGAAAGATGCATTGTCTATGGGCACCTGTGGGCCGATAAGATATCAACATCGTAAGACATAAGACGTCGAAATGTGATGTATTGCATGGTTCAGATAGAGCTTTTCTATTGATCCTTTTCACTATGGAAAGATCTGTATTTTAGATTTATTTGTGGTAAAAAATCAGTAAGTTCGTTTTCTTTTTACTTTTTCTGGAAATTAAGTCGTTAATTCTCATTAATTCATAGGAAATGCACCGTGAATGGTAATAAATACAGCACTTTGAAATGAGGATCCGGAAAGATAGATATAAGTACCATAAACACAGAAGCTTGCATAAGTTAAAGCTAAGTATTGACGAGAGAGGAGTTTCAGTGGTGTGCTGATTTGACTATGCACACTTGTTTATACTGCGACTAGTACTCTACAATTACAGGAATGAAGCAGCTTTAAAAAGTTCACAGAGAAAGATCTATACATCATAAAAATAAACAGTTGGTTGTAGGTTACTGTCCCTAATCCCCAACGGCTCATTTCTAAGTAATGGCGAGGTTGAGTAAAATGATTCTACATGAGATCAAATGAAAAAAAAAAATCAAATACAACAGTGACAAGACGGACATTTCCGAACGCCATATTGGCTTTCTCGGCGCCACGCGCTTAATGCAATTGTTTTTTGTGGGTTAAGAATGATTGTACATTGTACAAATCGGGGGAAATCCCTTCGAACTAAGTGCACTTCCTGTATGGCAAAATTGTACAAGATGGAAATTACTAAACACTTTCGTGCTACGGAAGAACGCCGTATGGGCCTTCGGACGTTGCCAAATTTCCTTTGATAAAATATGAATTTTCAGGGAAAATTGGGAACATTTTTCCACGAAATATTCAGAGAATTATTCGAGATCGGATCTGAACTATCTGAAAATTTCAACAGGACACACTCGTAATTAACTCTCCTTAAAAATAAATAATAACTAGTAGGACGTTTTGCAACTCTCGAATGTTCATACGGCATTCTCCATGTCATGACACGGCGGTACGCAAGCTCATTGGGCGGCCATTTGGATCGTGTTTAATAGGAAGAAACCAAGCAAAACTATTGCCAAAAATGGAGCAATTTAATTTTTTACGAGAGAACGTTTGTGCGGATTCCTTTGAAAAATTTGAGGAATTCGCTACGTACTGTGGGGAAAATTCACTGAAATTTGCACGAAAATTCGCACAAGCGTTTTCATGTAAAAAATCAAATTGCCCAGTTAAATTTGGCGATAGCTGATGTGGCTTGGTTCCTTTCTGTTTAACGCAGTCCATCTCATGAAAAAATAGAATAATTAAAAGTAAGTTTTGCAACCTTGGATTTCAGTTACGTTTTTACGTCGAAGAAACGCGCCAGGGATGGACGAAAAGTGCATCCGGTGCACTCGGCGAGCGGAGTCATGCATCGCCGCTTCCCGCTACCGATTTCCCTTCCGCTTCTTTCTCGATCATTTTTTTAGTGTTTTCTTCTTCTTCTTCGGTCTCATCCCCGCTGCCAGCGCTGCTCCGAGTGTTCGAATCCGACTCCACCGCATCTGCGTCCGTGGTTTCAGCTTCTGCGTCCGCGGTTTCAGCCCCTGCGTCCGCAGTTTCAGCCTCGGGAGCCCCGTGAGTTTTTTCACCGGGGGTCTCGCTTTTCTCGCCCGCGTCGGCAGATTCCAAAAATTGATCCCACTTCTTCAGTCTTTCCTTCGCCTCTTGCTCGGACTCTTCGATTCTGAAAAGAAGCGCAACAGAAGATCTTTAAAAACTTCTGTTAATTTTCAAGGTGGGTTGACGTTTCCGCACAAAATTTCCGATTTTGACATTCCCACACAAAAACCTGTATTGTCATTTCCGCACAAAACATAGAGTACATGGAGTCGTAATGTAAGTGGGAGAGCTGGCGCCACTTTCAAGCATTTTCCATGTCCCGAATTCCGAGACTCCTGTGTGACGCCGGTCACTTTTTCGATACATAATCGATTGTTTGCGATACACGGGTACCCGGCCATCCGATGACAACAACAACAACAACAACAACAACAACGGAGATAGGAATTACCACGTATTCCACACCGCCATTTTGGATCGAAAATGTATCGAAAAAGCGACCCGAACTCGGCGCACACCGGGCTCGGAATTCGTCGAGCAGAACATGGCGCCAGCTCTCCCATTAACATTACGACTCTATGTACTCTATGGCACAAAATCAGCCGGCAAAACTTTATTTTTGCACGACTAGGCAACTCCGCGCAGATATTCGAATTGTGTTTCTTTTAATCCACGTACAGAAAAAATTTAGAAGAATTAGAGGGAAACATTTTACTGACCTATTGTTTATCGAGGATCGCTACATTTTTTTGTAAAAGATAACACCGTAAGTTTTGTCATCATTTGATGGCAAGGTAACTTGTGTAACTTCATGACACTTGTGCGGAAACGTCAATCACGATCGTTGTGTGGAAATGTCAAAATCCCAGATTTTGTGCGGAAAATGTATACTTCCATTTTTAAAGATTTGAAGCAGTTCATTAAATACGTAATATTGAAACTCGGATTTTCTCATCCCCCTCCTCTCGCTCGAAACGCTGGTCTAAGCCCCTCCCCCAAAAAAAAATTTCTGATTAGGCCCCTCTCCTTTTCCCTCCCNNNNCCCAAATAGGGTTTTGTGATAAGTTAGAAAAATTGCCAAATTGCGTCGAGTTTCCACAAAATTATCGAAAACTCACAAATTTCAGCGTTATGTAACGCAGTCTAGGATCCAACCCCCTCTAATATAGCATTAAGTTTTCCTTAAACTGTCCTTTTTAGAGAAGATTGAAGGAGGTTTATAAGTTTCTAGCATCTATTTTGGACGCGGGATGGATGAAAAAACAAATTAATTACTTATATCATAAAATTATAAATTATTAAATAAATGAATAAGTAAGCAGAGCGAAAAACTGCGTCGGGTCTCGGTCAGATAATTGTAAAGCCCTTGATATCAAACTGAAATTATTGTTTACATTTTTGCAAATAAACAATCAAGAATTAACAACCCGTATGCTATTGGAAGTGTTGAAAACTTTTAACTGCCCGGAACCTTTCGGTACCACGAACTAAACACAGACCCCAGATCTATTTGTCCATTTGCTTACTTTATTTGTTTACGTTTTTTTTTTAAAAAGATATGATATTGAAGGAAGCAGGTTCTTGAGGAACTTTGATCGTAAAATATCTGGAGTTTTATTGAAAAACAAGCTCGACGAGTTTTCGTGTGATTAATGTGTTTTACATACCTGTACTTGGTTTTTCCATCCCATTGTTCAGCGATGATTTTCCGTTGACCGAACCATCGACCGTTGATCAACTGGATACAGGCGTCTGCGGCTTCAGCTTCCTTAAAATTTATTTGGGCTACACCTTCAGGATGTCTCTAGAAAACGAAAAATTAACAAGAAAAATACATTATTTGCAAAACTAGAGCATTTTCTGCATTTAAACTTCTACACATTGTTCACCTTAGATGTCTCCACACCCTCCTTGATAAGAAATATCTGGCGACCGTGAGGAAATTGAGGCAAGATTGCCGGAATATGCAATAAAATGAGAATACTTAACATGAGTTCAAATGGGGGGAAGTGTTGATTTTCAGCACTATTTGGCAATTGGGAACTATGAGGAGCCGGGGGCCCCCAGAAATCTACTTTCAGTTTTCCAGAGAATGTGAGGGATTTTGCTAAATAAATACGTGACATATCTTTCATCTTAGAAATCGTATTTCATTCAATTTTTAGCCGCAAACAGCTCAAAATTGCTATTGCGAGGTCTCCTTTTTTCAAAGATTTCTAGGCAGACCCTCTGTACTTTCTTTGGAGCCAAAGAAGACCCTCTGAACCCCTCTATAAAGCAAGTGAAGTCCCCCAGATCCCCCTCGGTGGAGTGGTTTTCTGAACCCCAAACCCCTTACGA